ATCCGGAGAGCAATGGTAAAGAGAGGAATACCAGAATCTGCTAGTCCTATCACTAATTAGGGTGTTCCGAAACTATTGTGCCAAAAATTAAGGGATAATAGATCTCATCAAAATAAACGTTTTTTACTTATAAACCCATTGGCGCATGCGCGTTGGTTAGGTGATGCTAGCACATAACAGTCTACGCTATGGTAGCCACCCTGCACATGGAGAGACGTGTTTGGAGCAGAACCTGCATTATTGAATAATACAAAACCCAAGGAATGCTTGCAGTATTTATTAAAAACAATGATTCACATCAAAATATGCTCAAAATTACGACCACTCGCATAAATGCATGCGTGACAGCGCCGTAGCAGAAACATCGAGTAGATTTCTGCAGGAAACCCTTCCCGAACTGTTATAGAAACTGTTTCCATGTATGCCAGACAAAACATGTGGTACCAACACGACGGAGCTCCACCACATTACTCGTTAGCCGTAAGGGAACATCTCAACGAAACATAATCTGGAGAGTGATTGATAAAGGCGCACCTATTGTATGAACTCTACGGGCTTTACACGTTCACCAGACTTGACCAAATGCGACTTTTTTTATGGGGTCACATGAAAGCTCTTATGTTCGACACTCCAGTTGAAACAGAGGAACAGCTAGTGAGAAGGATTGTTGCAGCATCAGCTGCTGAAATTTGTGAAACGCCAGGAATTTTTCAACGTGTTCAGGAGGCTATGCTACGATGCTGCCAGGCATGCATTGAGGCAAGTGGTCGTAATTTTCAGCAACTTTTAATGTTAGTCATTGTTTTTAATAAATACTGCAAGCATTCCTTGAATTTTATATTATTTATTAACACAGCTTCTGCTTCAAACACGTTTTTGCGTGTGCACACAGCGCGGACTGTTATATGCTATTATCAGCTAACCAAAGCGCATGCGCCTATGGGTTTATAAATAAAAAATGTTTATTTTGGCGAGATTTATCATTCCTTAATTTTTGGCACAATAGTTTCGGAACACCCTGTAAGTAAAGGAACACTCGACCAATATAATATATGTTACAAAAAATGGTGGTCATATTGTAGAATTAGGAACATTTGCCCAATTACATTTGATTTGGGACACTATTTATCATTTTTTCAAACACAGTTGAATAATAGTTTATCATATTCAACAATAAATATGTATAGATCAGCTCTTAACTTAATAAACCCACAAAGTTCGGAACATGAAAAAATAATTAGCAGATTTTTAAAGGGAGTTTATAATATTAAGCCTGCAGAACCAAAATATAAATTCACCTGGGATACAAAACCAGTTCTAGATTATTTGAAAAGCCTTCACCCTCTAGAAAATATAAGTTTACCAGTTATTAACAAAAAAGTTAGTTATGTTGTTAGCTCTAACATCTGGTCACAGAGTTCAGACATTGTCAAAGGATAACTTTACAAAATATAATAGATTTAAACGATAAAATAGAAATTAGGATAAGCGAAAAAATAAAAACTTCGGGAAAAAATACGCTCCAACCCGTACCTACTAATTTTTCCTAGATTTGAAGAATGTCCCGAACTATGTGTTTTTTCTGTAATTAAGTATTATATTGTTGAAACACAACAGATTAGAGGAAATAATACGTATCTAATATTAACACATAAAAAACCATACCATCAAGCGTCATCACAAACCATTAGTAGGTGGTTAAAAGACGTCTTGAAGTGTAGTGGTGTAAATACAGACATCTTTAAGGGTTACAGTACCCGTCATGCATCGACATCGACTTCTATGGCTTTTAGATTAGGTGATTGATACTATTAGAAACACAGCAGGTTGGTCAAGAGAATCCAATGTTTTTAATAAGTTCTATAATCGTCCAGTAATTGAAGATACAACTGTATTTGCCAAAAATATATTGGGAATAGAGACAAAAACGTAATAGTTAATATTTACATAATTTTGTATACTGCTAGGACTAGATTATAATATGAAAGCAATTTACTTGTAGAAATTATAACGGGATTTTTTTTTTGTATACCTATTAGGTATTATTATTATTATCATAAATGTGGTTATTAAATAATATTGTTGTTGAGAAGACTATGACTATTATTTAATAGGTAGGTAATCTATTATAGTCACATCTTGTAGATCTAATTTTCAGATCGCACTGTTTTCTTTAAACATCTACGAGTGTAATTACCCAGGAAGAAAAGCGAAGTAAAATTAGAAAGTTGATTGACTTACCTGTAAGGAGGATCAACTTTAATTTTGCGAGCTTTTCTTCCGAAGGTAATTACAAACCCCCCCAAACCCATAATGCCCTGTGCGATCTGAATTAATAGACAAACAACGAAGTGAAGCCACGATATTCCTTTGTCGTTGGGTTGGTTTTTGTGTTTATGTTTATGTTAGAAGTTTTTTTGCTTTGAAATGTACCGGCCAGGTATGAATCAGCGATACTACGAGTGTAATTACCTTCGGAAGAAAAGCTCGCAAAATTAAAGTTGATCCTCCTTACAGGTAAGTCAATCAACTTTCTAATTCTATTTTTTCTTCGACTATTTAGGAGCACCTAAAAAGCACCTGATTCTGATACAAAAGAAATTTTTGGAAAAATATTTTCCACTATAGGGGACTACTAGCTTTCATAAACCTAGCAATCCCTTAGTTTTTTTTGATTTTCTCGAAAACTAGAGGAACACCTAATTTTTAATTAGCGGGCCTAATTAGCACCTAATTATTATATAGATCCCGAAGTTTTTTTGCCATTCTGACACACTAACATGTAAACGTAAAGCCAGCAGTCCCCTAATAATTAAAAAAAAATCTGTAACTCAGTTAATAATTAATCAATTCTATTTTTTCTTGGAATAATTAGGAGCACCTAATTCTGATACAAAGAAAAAATTTGAAAAAATATTTTTTTCTAATTTTGTATATTATGATCTGATCCATTTAAATTCCAGTCAAAAACATAAAAAATGTCCCTTCTGTAATTATTTCTAAATCGTCAAGTAAGTTCAGAGATGTTTCATATTCCGTTGTTATGGAAGCGTACTGTTCAGTATCAAGATTGGCAACTCAAACCGGTCATTGCTTCCGGCGATCATCGACTACTTACTTTGCTTGTAAATTCTATGGGTGATTTGCTGAGAATTGAATACCATGGGGGGTGGAAGTCTAATACAGCCGCTAAGGGCTATGTGGAGAATTCCATAACTATAATAAACAGGAAATTGTCACCAACATCCTTGGAGAAACTTCCATGGAAAAACTATTCAATTTATTCAGTTAATCAATGCTACATAGAAAACTATGTCGACAATATCATCAATAATTATTCAAATTGTGTTAAGTATTATTATTTTTAACTAATTAGTTTTTTTTCCATACATTGTCTTATAATGTAAATAATTTGAATTAAATTTAATCTTCATAATAACAACAAAGTACTTCAAGTAGTTCAGCCCCAAAAGTATCACAGATTTTAATCCTGTATTTTTTGCAACTAATGGTAAAAATTACTTTATGTCATACCAATATATTATTGTGCTTTTATACCTTAGATACCATCTACATAATTCATTACTTTATGCCCGTGCGGGCATAAAGTACACATTAGGGCCCGCGCGGGTATAAAGACGCAAAAAACAGTTTTCAATTAACTTATTTTTTATTAACAAAATATAAATTTTCTTCAAACCTATAAATTTACGTTTATAAACATATTATTTTTGTCAAAAAATTATGATGTTTGCACACAAATGACAATTTGCGTAGTGACACTTTTTTCCTAGGTATTTATTATTCGCAACCAACTGGTATGACATAAAAGTTTGTATGCACCACGGGTACTAATAGATATAATATACCCTCGGGCGACTTACGAACCCTCGGGCCAGAGGCCCTCGGCTTTGTAAGACTGTCGCCCTCAGGGCATAATCATCTACTTAGTACCTTTGATACATAAATAACTATTTCATCACCAGTTGCGAAAAATTTTACTTTTCGTAACTGGTGATGAAAAGTTTGATAACGTCAACGAGTTTTGAAAAGTGTCACTTTAAATGTCAAAATTAGAAAAAATATTGTGTGAAACACGTTGGGAAACACTATTTTTCGTAACTCGCTTCCTTTTGCGAAACTCGCTTCGCTCGTTCCGCAGAAATCTGCTCGTTACGAAAATTAGTGCTTTTCCCAACTGGTTGCACAAATAACTATTTTACTATAGGGGACTGCTAGCTTTTATAAACCTAGCAGTCCTTTAGTTATTTTTGATTTTCTCAAAAACTAAAGGAGCACCTAATTTTTAATAAGAGGCCCTAATTAGCACCTAAAAAGCACATAATTATTATATAGTTCCCGAAGTTATTTTCCACCTTGGGACTGCTAGGTTTATAGACCTGAAATTTTCAGCGATTCTTATCCCAGTAGAGGACTACAATCCCTGAAAATTTCAGTTCATTTGGATTTATAGTTCCACAATGGTGTTAAGGAATTTGGGATGATTTATCAATTTTTCTGAGTATCTTTTTTCATAGAGTCTGGCTCCAAATCTCAGTATAATTTAGTGTATGGAGTTTGGGAAATCCCAAAGAACCATTAGGATACAAAATCTTAACATAAAAAAATTTGAAATTTCATCATTTTAGTAAGAAGGTAGCAATTTGGGGTGATTATCAATTTCTCTGAGTGCCTTTTTTCATACAATTCGGCTCCAACTCTCAGAATAATTTAGTGCATGGAGTTTGGGGGGTTCCCAGGACCATAAAGATATCTCAACAAAAAAAAATTGAAATTTCATCGTTTTAGTAAATACTGAGGCTATCTTATGATTTAGATATTAGAAAACTTTGAAAGGTCATAACTTTTTTTAAATTATAAATCGAACGCTGAATCGAAAGCTACAATCCCTGAAAATTTCAGCTCATTTGGACTTATAGTTCCAGAAATAAAATTATTTTTAAATAATACTACTATAATTCATTAAAAAAAATTCATATTTATTTCAACATATTAAAAATTAACAACCTCAAATAATGCAACTTGTGTTTCTCTTGTAGCTCGGCACATTTCTCACTTATTCTATTTACCCCATATTTGACTAAATAATTACAAAATCTATCCTGAGTTGTTAAAGTTATTTTATTTATAAAATCGCCTCGATTTCTTTCAATTATTGAGGGATTATTTGTAAAAACTATATAAAAAATTTCGTAAAAAGATTCCAACTCTTTATCTTTCAAATTTAGTAAATTATCTGAATCAAAAACAGATTGAGAAATATCAAAAATAATTTGCCCTGTATATTTATCAGTACGGATTTTAACAATATTTAAAAGTATATTGAATATGTTTGGCATTTTAGTGCCCATATTACTCAATTGAGACAGTAAAGAGTATTTTTCAATTAGAATCTTAACTCCTAAAGGAATCTTACAAATAGCTTCTAAAACATCTAAAATCAACAATTTACTGTCCAAATCTGACAAGCAACTATTAAAAAGCTCTGAAAACAATTTAAAGCCCATCGACTTTAGAAAATCTAGAAAATCCTTTTCACATTTCATACCGTCCCTTAAAATTTCCAAAATAAAATTTTGATGTTCTTTATAGTTGATATCGGGACTAAATAGTAACGTATACAATTCAGGCACGGTACTTAAATCCAATTCCTGTTTGGCCATTAAATATGACGATAATGGAGAGTACATTAGGTGTTTTGGATTGGTAAGAATTAGTGCCATCCTAGCAAAAAATATGGCTGAGAAGGAGTTTAGCTTAAAGTTAGGCAAAACTGCAACACCTAGAAGAAAGAGAAAAAATCAAAATCAAAAATATCCAGAGTTGTTCCATCTTACCTTTACATAAAGCCTCAACAAATCGAATCCATAACAAATTATCTTTTCCAGTTTGTCTCGCTTCTAAATGGAAATGTAAACGTGCTAAAACGTGACAAGCGGCCTGTCGCACTTCTTTGTCTTGGCAGGCCAGGCTTAGAACTGATAAACTCAAAGCACCACATCTAAAATTTAATTCCTATATAAATTGGTCCTAGGTATTTTGTTATCCAGTCTTAGTCTTACCTGGTGAAAACGTAAGTTTTAACTTGCTGTTCTGGAGCTAAAATGTGACTGAATAGAGGCAACAAGAATTTCAAGTCGTAGCAGCGCAAATCTTCAGTTAATTGTAAATCGTGTAAACCATTATTTAGGGGATAATTTGTTATTGTACAATTTACTAAATCCTCTTTTAAAATACCTATAAAAAAATATATAATTGATAATACTATTATATATATATTTCTATAACAGGAATAAATATTACCTAAAACATCAGAAATTTTAGGTTGTCTAGTCAATGAGTTACCAATTTGTGTCCTAACAGAATAGTGTGCAGCAGCAGCTCTGCCCCACAAAAAAGGTTTAAAATCATAAAATCCAGTCTGATCAGGTTTCGATTCATATCTGTAAACACTCACTATATTAATTGAAAACTTAATAAATTCACTTACAATTTGAGCAAAGCCAGTATTACTTGGTCACATTTAGTCAGCATTCCTCTATAAGCTGACAATAAAACAGCTATATGGCTTTTCACCATAAATTTGGGACATTTTTCGCAAACACTCAAAATTAACTGGAGCACTTCCAATTTTGTCACACTATGTTCACCTAACATGACATTTAAAAACTCTGAGTGCGATAGTAGCATGTCCAGCAACAAACCTGCTTCATCTTCAGATACATTGTAAATTTTTATTAGTTTGTTTAAGACATTTAACAAAACAGATTGTCCAGAGACACCAAATTTCAATGCAATCTTACAAAAACTATCATTAACAGTAAACTCTAAAGTCCTTGGTCCAATTTTACTTAAAACATTACTAAATACATTTGTTATTTCATTAGCTTTATGTATATCTTCTTCTTTTTCAAGCTTCCTTTTAAAAACAGCTATTTCCAAATGTACAAAAGTCATTATAATATTATTTAAGTGTTTATCATTACTACTATCTGAATTTATTATTTTGCTATAACAAGCTTCAAGTAAACGAGCATGAAACACTTCAGCCACTTCAAATTTTTGTACTTTCTCAGCAAAACTTATACATTTATCCAAAGGCATGAATTTTTCAATTAAAGTGGTCACATCGTAGTTTTTAGCAAAATGCTGGCCAACTTTTTGAGGCTTCCGAATTGCTTTTATTATTGAAGATTCCAGGTTTGAATAAATGTTTTCTAAAATCTTATTAGAAGTATTATTGTTTACCAACACATGCACTATAGGCAATATTAGGCCCTTTTTGTCACAAATTGAACTAATATTAGCTTCAATGTGTTCTAATAAATCTAAATCGTTTTGTAAAAGGAATATTACTAAGTCCACGTGGTCTTTATTGTACTCGGACAGTGTTAAAAGGCTTGAAAATAGGTTTTTGTTGATATTCGTTGAATTATGAGGAAATATTTCAAAATAATGCCTTAGGGCTCTTGATAATGAGCTAGCATCTTTATTTTCATTGTTGAAATTAATTAAAACTGTAGTTATTTTAAGTATAAGTTTCTCATTAATAGGTTCCAAATGTGGTTGATTTTTGCACAAAACTAAAATCCTGTCTATGCTGTAGGTGAGCAAATTTAAAATTGCAGGATTTTCTGTATCTGTATCAACCGATATTTGGTCAATAATCTTTAAGCTTTGCTTATAGTTCAGAGGAAATACTTGCAAACATTCTAGAATATTGTTTTCAGTTGAATATTTCTTAGGATTTTTCAACAACTTACAAATATTCTGATACAATTTGCTCGAATAATATTGCAAATAATTATCCAAATTGATATTGGATTTTTGCAAAGCTATTGCCATATCTAAAATGGGTTTTGTAATAATGTTTTTGCTTAGAACATTGAAACTCTTCACCAAAATCGGTTGTGCTAAAATAAGCTGCAAAAATCCATCATCAATGGTGTCAAAATTATTGTCAATAATATACTGGATTAAAAATAATAAATTTTTAACATTATTCTCTGATGGTGAGTTTGTGAAATAGAAACTTGCCAGCCTTGTAACATCTAGCAAAAAGTCAGGATAAAATGTTCCATGTAAATTGTCTGGTTTCAAAGAGGCATTCAAAAAATTGTCACTTATATCTTTAAAAATGCTTAAAACACCTTTAATTTTACTTATGTGGATTGGCTGATTTGCTAACCAACTATTTATGTATTTACAGATATTTGAAGGGATTAATTCTTTATGTTTTTGTATAATAGAGGCAAATTTTGGTAAATTAGTTTGATTGTGGAATAAATTAATCAAAACATGCTCCAAATATTTTTTCAAATTTTTGGAGTGTTGGCTTTTGTTAATGTACGTGAAAAAGCCTTGAATCATTGCTGAACAGTTTCGGTTTTTAATATTTACAGTTTCTTCATTGTTGGATAGTTTTATAAGGTTTTCTATTATTTCATTATTTTCTACAGTCTCATCATCATCACCTTCAGTAGTTTGTAAAATTTCTTTTTGATACTCCAATAAATTTTCTGCAGTATCTTTAACAATTTCAACAAAATCTTTAGCAAAGTTATTACTAAAACTATTAAAATTAAAAATCCCATTGAGCCAGATATTAATTTCATGAATATTATTATCAAAAATGCTAGTATTTTTCAAAAGTTTCCATAAAATTAATTTGAATTTATTATCGTGTTCTTTGTGATAGACTTTAAGTAAAATTGGAACAATATAGGCAAATATTTCAGTTTCAGGCAAGAAACTTGCCTGATCAATGTCAACAAAAATGCTTATGATTTTTATTTGTAAATGTTCAACTTTTTCAACTTCTTCAGAATTTTCAGATAATTTTTCCAAGAAATCTTTGAAGTCTAACGCGGCAACGTTATAAAGCAATTGAGGGGCAACGTTTTTATAAATATTCAAAATATCCAAAACAGTTTCCAAATATTCTTCTTGTTCATTTTTACATTCCTGAAGCAAGCTATAAGCATTTGGATAATGTTTTGAAATATAATTAGATAAATGTTGAGTGATTTTTAAATGGTTATTAGTCCATTTTCTTGAGGCACTCAAAAATAAATTAATTTTTTCCAACATGCGATGCAGTAGTTTTAAAATATGAATTTTTACATCTTTATCATGATTGTCTGTTAGGAGGGTTTTCAGGATTGGTACTGGTGATACAAGCATTTCTATAATTTGGGCAAGCTGAAAATAATCACATATGTTTTGAGTCTGTAATATACACGGTGACAATTTGAAAAGTAGCAATCAGGAATATCTCTCACTATCAGAAAGATCTCAAATACGTATCAGGAGATTGGAGGGGGAACCAAAATGAAGCACTGTTTGAGTCTTTCCCCTTAGGGGATAGCTACCCTAACGTATTTTTTTGAAATAAGAACCTACCTTGTGTTGTACATACATCATGGAATAGCTCATTGCTTTCCCTTCGCAGTCTTATAGCAAGGTGTTTAAAAGTAAGCACATTTTGAAAACTAGCGATTTCGACTATCTTTGAGTAGTGGTAGTAGTAGTAACTAGAACTCTACTTAAGGGTTTTCGAGTTTGAAGTTTTGGACAAAATGTCGACCAAATTTCAACTTTGAAGCTCAATATCCTGGAAACTTCAAGAGTTACAAAAACCAATTTTGCAAGACTTATAGAGAATTTGATACTATTTTTAATGATGCATAATTGTATGCAATTTTCTCAAATATCATTGAAGATATGGGCAATTATTCATGTCAAGATTCCAAAAAATGTTCAGAGCCAAAAATAAGATTTTCCTTTTTGGATTTTTTTGCTCACCCAAATTTTCAAATGTTACTGATGTTAGAGTTGTTTCTGACTAATTTGGACTCGCTCTATCGATTTGAAAAGTCAGAATTTAGGAGAAAGACTGTGAAAGCAACAAGCTATCCAACGATGTGCAACACAAGGTAGGTTCATATTTGAAAAAAATAAATAAGGGTAACTTGCCTGCTAAAAGGTGAGGCGGGCTCGGGCGGGGTGAATCAAAAAGTGTCTCATTTTGGTTCCCCTTCCAATCTCCTGCTAAGTATTTGAGATCTTTCCGATTGCTGCTTTTCAAATTGTCACCCTGTATAATTAATTAATGTATTACCTGTTGTGGAGTTAGATCTTTTGCACAATATTCTATACACATTGGTTCCATTTCCTCAATTAGTTTAGCAGAAAACTCCATAGTATTCAACCATTTTTCAGTCAAACGCGGTTCCAAAAAAGGCTTAACAATCAACCACATATTCTTGGTCAAGTCAGGACAAGATTTGCAAATTTTAAGAACAAGTTCGCTGGCATATGAGTGCTCCCAAGGCCTATCCAGGCTGTCCAAAACGGTATACATGAGGCTGTTTAGGTTTTTCCTGCCCAAACCCACAAGATGGTCTCTAAATATTACTCCTAATTTATGTGAGGTGCATAGTATCAACAAAAAATCGTGAATGCATTCGCTGACTTTTGATTTGGCCAATTTATCAATTTCGATGATGTTCTTGTTGTTTTTGTCTAGTGCCTTAAGACCTTCAGGACCTTTCCAATTATATAAATTGACAATATCTTTCACAACTGCTGTATTAAAGACATGCATTTTTGTTGTTTTCATTATAGAAGGGTTTTCTAAAATGTGATTTTTCATTGCAGCTACTACTACACATACTGTGTCTGGATCGTCATATTGAAGACCTGAGAGATTGGTTTGTGTAGAATCATAAAATTAGGAAAATTATAAGGAAATTACCTGATATTATACTGGTTAATAGGCTGCTTTTTTCTAACAAAACTGATAGTGTATGAGTGTCAGCATCTACTAAAAATGCTGTTAAAAAATGTACAAAACTATCTCTGACACTATTTTTTTCTCCAGTATGTTTGGTCAATAGTGCTATATTAGCTGAATGGAATTTAACATTAATTAAAATGTCTTTTGCTAGGTTTGATGATAGGGCTGTCATAGCTGTTAACAATTTCAGGCAGACCTGAAATAACATTACATCTCATAGAGTCTCATAGAAAAGTTCTAAGCTATTTCTTCAAACAAAATACCTATTGTTATTATAATCATTTATTTGCCTGTGAACTTAATAAGTAGCCAGATAGTTACCTTTCTTTCCTCCTTTGACGAGCTCAATCCTAACATTTTGTGTACAACTGGCAAATAGTTGTTGATCAAATACCTACAAGATTCGTAAGCTGAACTGTAATAATCGACATATTTAACAGTGATTCCCAAAAGAAGCTGAGTAACCAAGTCGAAGACCAATGCTGGAGATATAGCCGAGTCACTTTCAAGAGTTTGAAGCAGCTCCAGACAATTACCACCATTTTTGAGGTAGTCCAAAAGGTAGTCATGTTTTGAAGGAGTTGAGAGAACTGATAAATATTCTCTTAGAGCTAAAATGACACTAAGGTGTGAGCTAGTTGGATTTTAGTACAATTACATGACTTACCTTGATGCTTTTCAGCAGAATGAAGCTGTTTTCTAAATTGTTTTATAGAAAACACTTTGGGTTTTTTCGTTTTTGGCTCTTCTTCAACCGATTCATTTTCTAATGGGCGTTTTTTGGCACTGGCATTTTCTTCAGGCATTTCACTATCCATTTTTAGTGTTGCAATTTATATCAATATAAAAATAAAATTAGCTTGTGCTTGTGAAAATAAACCTCATGTTATGTTTACTTTTTGAATTTCGCGTGTGAAAAGTTAGGTTAGGGATGACGTTAGATAAAAATTTACAAGCAATGTTGCCAAGTTAACTTATACGACAAAAGAAGACATTAGGCGTTTTCTTTATGTACTCTGGAACCGTGGGGATTAAAAGTGGTGTAAGTTTTAACACATTTGGGGCCTTATGCCTCATTCTCACTAAGCGAAATTCGCTCTTTTTGCGCGAAATTCACTCTTTTTTTGACATTGCTTCGACAAGTTGACGTTTTATGCATGTATCAAACGCCAAATTTTCGAAGCAATGTCAAAAAAGAGCGAATTTCGCGCAAGTGAGACTGTGGCGGATATCGGTGTCCGATGAACTTAGTTCCATCGGTCATAGCGGTCACCAGGGTCCTTATTCTTGGAACAGGGGAGCAGCGTTCCCAGGAGAACGAGTGTTCCGTCTTTCTCGATGATATGCAAATGATAATATAAGTAACAGAAACCGAACATCTCCTAGGAACGCTGCTCTCCTGTTTCAAGTATAAGAACCCTGGGCGGACACCACTTTACCCACTAATAGGCTTGTTTCTGTAGAAATCACAAACCAGTCAGAGTGAATTTCAATTGGTTGAGTTGGAAGTGTTGGAACTAGTTTTCTGGAGGTTTTCAACCAATGAAATTCGCATTGACTGGTTCGTGATTTCTGCAGAAACAAAATAATAATCAAAAATAACCTGTACTCTACCTTGGACCCTAGAGTCTCTAGGGTCCAAGGTGGACACACATTAGTTGTATTCCTTTCACACCTACGAGGAGCTCCAGAACAGCTCCGGGGCGTTACGGTTACGCGCTTATTCCTTTCGAAAAGTGTTTGGTGCACCTGAGGGCTCAAGCCCAAATCAAACCATTTAAAAGCACGAAAGCCAGCGCATCTGTTCCTTTCAAATCGGGGTCGACTAGTACCGAAGCGAGTTGCTCCAGTGTTCTAAACTCTTGAAAGGAATAAAACTTATTATGCAGGGTGTCCGTACAGAGTGAACCAAATTGGAAAAAAGTTGCGCAATCAATTACCTACAAAAAATCTGGATGAGATTATTTGTAGGCACTTGATTGCGCAACTTTTTTCCCATTTGGTTCACCCCAAGAATCGTAAACTCTACAGGATTGCTCATTCCCATAAGACATACGTTCATAAAAATATCGAACATGGAGGAATGCGAGTGACGTCACGCAGCGCGCAAGACTTTCTTCCCGCACTAGTGCGGGAGAGTTTGCAATAATCATTGTGACGTCGAATTGTTTGTATTTTTAATACACCTTTACCATTACCTTTACCTTCACCTTTTTTTTTGTAAATACCGGTTAATACATTTTTAATTTTACCTTCTGCACATTCGCATTTTATTTAAATTGAACTTTTCGTAACATGACCTTTAGTATGCTCGTAGAAAAAAATTAATTCCTAACTCTTGCAGGAAGAAATTTCGGGCACTCGGGCGCTTCGCACCCTCGTGCCGGAAATAGCTATATTATGACAGTGCATTTTCCTTGCATTTTCAAACGTGAAAAATTGTTACTTTGAGGTTATTTCCTTCGTAAACTGTGTTTTTTAAATTTAGCAGGCTTCAAAAGTTTGTGTGCTTGAGTGGTTAGCTAATTACGAAGACGAGTTGGTTTGTTCTCTGCTTATCAGCAAGGTTATTTCAAAATATCCACATAAATTTTAAATTAAAATGCGCATGCATTTCTTTTACCTTTTTCTAGTGCAACAAGAAGGTACATTCATAAAATAGATATGCCTGGAATGAGATGTGCTGTGTCTAATAACAACTATTTTGATCAAAAAGCAAGCACTCAAAAATGTAAATTTCAACGCTTTCCTAAAGGAAAAGATCTTGTATCTAAAACTATTCAAAACGAGTGGATAGTTTTTTGGAAAAGAAAGGACAAACTTAATGCAGATACATACATTATTTTTTGCATTTTATTATCAAAATATAAGCGAAAAGTGGTTGCAATATTGTGTTTTATTTTTTACCTCCACTAGGTACTAGAACGATTTAATATGGACATTCAAAGTAAGCTTATCTCACAAAGCCAAATAGTGATACCTTATTTAGATTTTCATAATCATAATCCAGAAAAACACTGCAAGTTTCCCATATTTTCCATGCGTTTACATAGTAAACGCGCCAGTAAAGGAATTTATTTACATATTTATTTATTTATTTACTCTTCACAAACACTAATTTCTATCTAATATACCATGTAGAGGAAGCTTATACAACTAAGTAGCTATTTGTAGGAAAAAAAAAAACAATACAAATACTTGACTAGGAAATACTAACAGTAGAAAACTGAGTAATACACAATACACACAAATAAAAGAAAGCTACGTCCTGATGCAACAAATCCAGTATTACAAAACCACTAAACCAGAAAATGTTTGGGGTTTCCGCGATTATTTTTAGCCATGAGTCTTTTGCTTACACACATTAAATGAAACTTCAAATTACACTTATAACACTTGATAAACTTCGAATTTACGATAAAATAATTTTCAGCACAAACTCAACTCATCTGTATCGGCGGCCATCTTGAAAGTCAGGAGTGCAGGTGACGTCACAGCACTTGTGACCAAATTTAGCCGATTGAGCAATCCTGTAGAGCTACTTTTTTACCGGGTGTATGTCGATTATTTTGTGTCCGCTATGGCCTTTGTGGGATAAAAAGTATCTGTTTTTGGTTCTAGGGCCAGGGCGGACACCGGTGTCTCCTGGAGCCTTGGGTGGCTTGATTTAATGAAACTCTGAACATGTTAAAATTTGAATTTATTTCCTAAACATTTTACATTAGCTGAAATTTAATTATCAACAAAAATACAATAAGTTTAATAGAAATCAAAAGACTCGCTGAACTCGAAGGTTGGGGTTGATTCAAATGATTGCCGTGATTGCATAAATTATCTGAGCAAGCATTGCAACTGAAATTCGAAATTCTGTTCAACGGATGTATTCGATTGTAGTACTCGCAAATTTCGTATGTAGCGCCTCCGCTTCCGTTTCTTGTCTGGGATTCGCAACCTCTAGAGGAAACGATTCTTTCATCTATATATAGGAAAAAAATTATTGGGATTTGGCCTATTATTTAAAAAAAAAAATTACTCACTGAACACGTAGGTCATATGATAGCACACTTTTGGATGAGTAGTATAACGCGTGGAAATATTTGTTTCTACTGTTTCATGCGTAAAAAAGTTCCAAAGTTTAGAAAAAATCGAGGAACTTTCTTGTACAGTTTCCATATTTGAGCAAGTTTGAATTTGCATGTCAGCGATTACGGTTGGATCATTGCATCCCTGTCCGTGGACTTCGGATTTGCAAAAGTAACAGGTTTCAGGCTCACAAAATCCTGAAAAAAAAATTGATTAAACCACCTGATTTATAGAAGTTATTATACTTACCATATTGTAGAAGTAAGGCAAAGCATACAAAAAGTCTTAAAAACATTGTTGCTGAGCTACTGTCTCGAAAGTAACTTATTTGTAGACAATTTCATCGGCTGTAAGATAGCTGTTATCCCTAAATCCTTTTGATAAATGTTTTTATAGTACTTGATTAGACTAAGCTTTCTAATTAGAATTGAATTAGTCCAGTAGGTACGTAATTCGGTTATTCGATATTAATTTATTGGGGCTATAAAATCTGAAATATTCTGACATATTTTTTTAATATTCTCTGAATGGCTTTGCGTTATTAGTTTATAGGTAGTTTTTCTGGAAACTATATGTTTCTAAGCGAGTTAGGTAGGTACCGTTACTCAATACAAAATCGATATTTTCCAAGTCAACTAAAACAAACACATAGTTTCTGCTTTGCAGTAGAATCCTGTTACAATGATGGATCAGAAATAAGAAATTGGACTTTTTAAGAAATCATAATTTTACTATTGAAAATGCGAGGGGTTTTTCACCTAACAAAATTTGTACACCGATTAACATTACTAACTGAGATATTTCCATGTATTAACAGATATTTCTATGTACCTAATAACAAGATATTGCTAATTATTTCCATGTATTAACAAAATATTTTCACATATTGCCAGGTATTTCCCTAGTTTTATCACATATTACCAGGTATTGCCATGCTATTAACAGACTAAAATCAAATATTTGTTTGTCAGAATTCTAAATATTGACATATCCACAGGTATTTCCATGTTATTAATGGGTATCAACCAATAACATTAACATATTGCCTAGATATCTACAAGTATTGACATATATTACCTACATAATTAACAAGTAGGTATTGCATAGTATTGACACTATTGACATAGTATTTACCTGGTATTGACATATATTAACCAGTGATTTGCACACCGATTAACAAGGTAAAAAACCCCTCGTAAAAATGTTTCTGACTGACTATATTATAGCTAATACATTTCCATAATGTTAATATTATAATAGCTTCACCTTAATGGTAATGAAATCCTTATTTCTAAAAAAACACACTAAACAATACACTAACAATGATAACCATTAATGTCACATCTACAAAAGACGATCCATTATTGCTATTATCATCGGGAGAACCATCTGCTCTAAAAGTAATATTGTTGCAGCGGGTGGTGTTACATGGCACACAAGATACCACTTGGGTATTATTATTATCGGTCTCTTCTTTGAAATAATCACAAAACGATTCAACTGAGGCTTCTTGTTCTTGACATCCACGGTAAATACCGGTTTCATTACTGAGGTGTCCTGAAACGAGAAATAAGAATCAGAAACATTCTATGGAAGAGCAAAGACTATTATTTGCTTTGGAAAAATAAGAACTTGATGAGTTTTCTTTCCTTCTCAGTAGGACTATAGAAGATTTTTCTAGGGAACTATTCTTACCATAAAAAGTTATATTTGCAGATAAACAAATAAAAGTAGAATTTTCGTGTTTCCTGGGTAATTGATTGCATAGAGTTTGTTTGACGCCATTTCTTACTGGATTAGCACACGCTTCCGGATTATTTTTTGGATCGCAATCGTAGCAATAGACATTGGTTGATGAATTTGTGCTTTGAGCTAAACCTGGAAAATCATTGGACATTTACAGATACAGTTTAACATACCTATTTGTAACTTAAGATTGATAATCGTGTCCTTGTTGAATAGAACTAATAAAAATCGAACTTACTTTGAGATACAAGGCCAATAAGGATTACACAAATAATTGATAATTGGGGATCCATTTTTATTGAAATTTTTCACGGCTAGGAAACAACTTTCATGAAATGCCAAACTTAACTGATAAAGAATTATATTTTGATAACCAATCTATATGAGTGTTTTATCAATAATTATTGATAAATGATCTAATTTCTATTTTTGAGCAGATTGGTACTGAGAAACTCTCATCTGCTCGATTTGGGCAGGAATTTGTTATAGATACAGTATTATTATAATTTCTGTTGCCATTCTGGCACACTTTGAAGAAATTAGTTAAATGGAGTATGGTCTAGAGACCTTGGTGGCCCTAGCCAGAAGTTTAAAAAACAAAATTCATGGATCTACTAATATTCTTTCATAAATTGCACTTTGATCCCGTTTCTGGAAAATTTCATTCTCGAAAGATTCTGTGTTAAATAGGTAGGTACATCAAGGTAAAATCAAAATTCGAAATTAAGAAGAGCTGTCCCTATTGGTTTTGGGACTTGTTTGGTTGTCATAGGGTCATCTCATCTCAGACATCTCCAGAAACTTTTTTACGGATTTGCGGATTTACCGAAGTTGTTATCATAAAAAATACTTTATTATAAAAAAATAGCTTTATGCTAAATTATATAAAATTCTTCTTATCCTGACTAGAATCTAATTAGGCTAAAAACAAAAACTAAACTAAATATCGTCAAAGAGAGCATAGAAGCATTAAACACGTAAGCATTAGCGGAATTACACAAACTAGTATTGCAAGTGTAACAAGATTCAACATTAAGAGTCAAATTGGGGTTCAATCCGTGCGTATTCTGGGCTCTAATGTTTTCGCACTCATTATTCGGGCCACAAAGTCGATGGATCCTGGACTGGTTACCGTCTAAAAAAAAAAAAAAATAAGTAAATAAAATAATTAGGTACCTATTTTTTGAAAATCTAGTACCTTTTTGCACAAAAGTTGTACATTGAAACCCTTCAGTACAGTTTTTGACAAGGATGGTAACGCTGTTTTTCAAGTTCACTTCGCAATCGTGTTTTTGGCCTTTTGGGCCGCTGCATTCGTAACATTCTAAGCCAAACGCTATATGGAAAATTTATGCATTAGATATCAAAAATTAATCAGTAGATAAGACTTACCTGTCCCAAAAATAACCAACAAACATGCTAAACCGCAAATAAGTTTTCCAATCATTTTCACTCTGGTTGGCAACGAAATTATCTTTATATAACTGCCGGGTGTTATAAGTTACTACTTTAACAGCTAATTGAATAATAATTATAGAAATGCTCATATCTCACACCTTGGGAGATAAAGATTATCTTGTTCAAATAACATAAAATATCACATGCGCCATTGATTTTTGTTTGTACCTACATTGCTATTGCAGGTTCTAGGGCGTTGTTTCTTTGTTAGAAATTCGGGTAAAAATTATGATTTGTCATTGTTTAACATTACTATTTGTTTATAAAGAGTGACTATTGCTAAATCAATGATCAAATTTTTGGCTTTCTATAGGTATAAAGGACTGGAAATACCGATTGCGCTATACGAATATAGAATAAAGGAACATTATTGAAATAAATACCTCTATAATATGTTGAAAGACCAACAAAACTTTGTCAAAAGGGAGGTATTCTCTGAAAAATCAAGTTCCTATCACATCAACTTAAGTACTTTTCCAACAACATTGCTTTTTTAATACAATATTGCTATTGATGTTATCACCATTCACAGTAGTGAGTTCTGATCACATAATCTCCTGATCAGAGCACCAATTTATTCGTTCATTCATTCCAATCAGGATATAAGTCAGACCAAATGGAGTATTGGAATAAGAGATGGAGTGGTGACAAACAACTACCGAACAGGAAGAAGTGTCACGATCTCTTCGGAAAGAGTCAATTATTTTAAGTTCATCCGTTACCTAACTAAAACATCTACAAAAATTGCAAAGTATAATTTTCAAAGTTCTATGTTCTTCTATAGGATGGCAAATCTTTCGGGATCCCCTGATGTACATTGACCCACTCATCATCACAACTAGGTATTAAAAAAGCTTATTGATAATTTTTCAAAAATTGAATTGGATTTACAAGTAGGTAATACAAAGATAAAGAAATCAAAAATGCATTTATCTAGTTTCTAGTTGCACAAAACTGGATATAAATACGTTAAAATCACATCAAATCTCCAATTATTGTATTGATTCAAAATCAAAATGAAGTCTCTCCTGATTTCAGTTTTCTCTCTTGTCATTTTGTACCTAGTGTGTAAGTACTTTTCATATTATTTCAATTCAAATTATATCAAGTTAAACTTTTACAGGCGATTCTAGTGAAGCCTTAACATGCTACAGTTGTGCAGGCAAAGGTGCAGCATGTCCAGTATCACCGACGCAGCTCCAATTGAAAAATATGACCCTTGTCGATTGTCAGAGCGTCCTCAGTACAAATTGCGCTAAATATTCTGTCAATTTACTCAATGGTACAAATTTTGAATGTAATTTTGAAATCACTGATTTGTTTTTTTTTAGGAGAAGCTTACACTTACAGGGCCTGTGAGCCTACCTACATAGGAGGAACCAACTCACAAAATGCAACTCCATTTTGTAATTTTGTTACGACCCTCTACAATCCATTTATTACTGAAAGACTTGTAGCTGGTTCTACTTGTACAGTTTGCCAAACAACCGAGTGCAACACATAAAGAAATTATGTTAAAATTTAATAACCAAATAAATATTTAATCAATAAATTGGACTAATGTTTACAAATACCCTATAAAAATAATTAGTGAAACTAATAAAACTAAAGATCCTTTATAAAAAGTTCCAGAATTGCAAAGATTCTGATCGGAGCAAGTGGAACATTCCAAAAGTTGATCGCGTCCGTTGCTGTACATGGATCTGAGGTGGTTGCATACGTCATAAGGTCTGCAGGATCTGTGAACCCAGTTCATACCATCATCTACAAAAAATTCAATATTGAATAGGAAACACTTGCACATGTGTTTTGAAATTTTGTCAAGGCGTATTATGTACATAGCGTTTTTTTCATATATTGACACCCCACCTACAGCCTTTACCTTTACAAGTAGAAGAAGGGTGTAAATACAAAAGTTGTACAGTTTTGGCTGAATTTTTAGAAACCATAGTCAGAACAAAATTTGAATGTCAGAGATGTGAAATTTTGCATGCTTCCAGCTTTTTTCAAATGGGATGCCCTATATTTCACTCTATATTCTTGAAGAGCACAATGCCCCGATTCCAAAAATATATAGTTTGATTGAACAGTCTCTCATATATTCGGCTCCAAAAATTGTAAAAATACTATCCTACTACTGATTTTGTGAATCATTCTACGTGTACAGTTGAAAGCTGCAGTAAAATTTGAGGTACTTTGTTTCTCTGATAATATGTTGGAGACGGCTAAATCAAATATAGACAAACTAAGTATATAGTTTTGGAATCGGAAAATTGTGCTCTTCAAGAATATAGCACCAAATAAAGGGCATCCCATTTGAAAAAAGCTGAAAGCATGCAAAAATTTAGCCAATACTGTACAACTTTTGTATTCACACCTTTCATGTACTTGAAAAGGTGAAGGCTGTAGGTGGGGTGTCAATATATAAAAAAACACCCTCAACTTGAATAATAACTTATTATATAAAGTCAGAATTTGTATAAGATTATCCACTTTTTGTCAATTTGCCTTTAAACAGGAATTAGTAATGTTACTTTACCAAACTAGTAACATAAATGTGACAAGTTATTCAAGTACAAACGAGTGGATTGTTGCGGAACTTATGGGTGGACCTCTGCGGGACGAGCGCAGCGAGTTCCGCAGCCATCTATTCATCAATATGTTGTTTAATCACAATACTAACCTGACTCACTCAAATGTGAGTTATTCTCATGAGTTTAAAAACTACACGTTTCAGCTGAGTGTCTCATTTGAACAGTTCAACAGTATATTGGTAAGTAGATGGCTGCGGAACTCGCTGCGCTCGTCCCGCAGAGGTCCACCCATAAGTTTCGCAACAATCCACTTATTTGTATTTGAACAATAACTTATTATATAAAGTTAGAATTTGTAAGATTATCCACTTTTTGTCAATTTGCTTTTTAAGAGGAATTAGTAATATTACTTTACCAAACTAGTAATATATTGTGACAAGTTATTCAAATACAAACAAGTGGATTGTTGCGGAACTTATGGGTGGACCCAGCCATCTATTCACCAATATGTTGTTCAAGTACAATACTAACCTGATTCACTCAGTTGTGAATTTTTCTCATTAGTTCAAAAACTACACGTTTCAGATGAGTATCTTATTTGAACAGTTCAACAGTATATTGGTGAGTAGAGGGCTGTGGAACGTCCACCCATAAGTTCCGCAATAATCCACTTATTTATACATACTTACGATTCACGATGTATTTGGCACAAACTTGATCTCCAGGCATACAAACAGATTTTCTGTGATTATCGTAATTGTTGAATCGTTCACAGTCGTTGAGAGAATTTGAATTTCCAATGTGACCACTACAAGTGTAACATTCTAAAGAATTACCTGTATAAAAAAAAAATTGCATTTCAAGATAAGTTCTCTTCTGTTTTTCATTGACTTACTAATGGAAACCCAACTCAGAATAAACCAAACACTAACCAATAGCCAACGCATTGTGCTTCAAACTTTAAAAAATAACTGCAAGGCTCTCACTGGGTTTGGTTTTTTGCCAGATAACTTTTCTTTTTAATGTGCGAAACATAAAATATCATCTTTCCTGTTTGTTAGCTAAAAATTTCGTAAATTGTTTGATTAGTTTATAAGTTTGCATATTGTAAATTAGATCATGATTTTATAAAAAGCGGATCCTATTCTTTCCAAAATAATTATCGTAATCATAATATGGTATTCCCAATTTTCCCATTGACATTGATTCAACTAGAATTTTTCAATAATTGTTAATTTGTTTCAATACTTACTGATAGATAAGTAGATTCCTTGTTAAAATATATATGTCAGACAAGTACTTAAATTATCTGAGACCTTGGCTTGAGTTTATTCAATACTGACAAGGCAAATAAAACTACGTAAACTGTTTGAAAAACGACGAAAAACATGGAATTTCCTGTTTGACTTTCGAAATATTAACTTGATTTCCTTCAAGTTACAGTGAAAAAAGTAATCATGCGTAATGAAAATAATGCTTACTCTATTTTCGAGCTCTAGATCCACATCTGGTTTATTTTGCCTTATGCAAGAGACTCTAATCATACATCCTAGAAATTTAAAGTAACTGTGTTTCCGATAAGGTTCTCAAATCCGATTTTAGAGGAATTTTTCAATTTTCTTGATGTTGGAGACGGCTCAACTAAATATAGACAAACTATATAGTTTTGGAATCGGGAAATTGTGCTCTTCAAGAATATAAAACCAAATATAGGGCATGCCATTTGATAAACGCTGCAAGCATGCAACATTTCACATTTCTGACATTCAATTTTTGTTTCTGACCATGGATTCTAAAAATTTAGTCAATAATGTACAAATTTTGTATTTACACCTTTCATCTACTTGTAAAGGTGAAGGCTGTAGGTGGGGTGTCAATACATAAAAAAACACCCTGTACTTGAACACTAAATTATTATGTAGTCAGATATTGTAAGATTATCTACTTTTTGTCAATTTGCCTTTTAACAGGAATTAGTAATGTTACCTATTTTACCAAACTAGTAACATAATGTAACAAATTGTTCAAGTACAAACGACTGGATTATTGCGGAACTTATGGGTGGACCTCTGCGGGACGAGCGTAGCGAGTTCCGCAGCCATCTATTCACCAATATGTTATTCAAGTACGATACTAATCTGACTCACTCAAATGTCAGTTATTCTCATTAGTTCAAAAACTACACGTTTCAGGTGAGTGTCCTTTTTGAATAGTTCAACAGTATATTGGTAAATAGAGGTCCACCTATAAGTTCCGCAATATTCCACTTATTTGTACTTGAACAATAACTTATTATATAAAGTCAAAATTTGTAAGATTATTCACTTTTTGTCAATTTGTCTTTCATCAGGAATTAGTAATGTTACTTTACCAAACTAATACCTATAATAATGTGACAAGTTATTCAAGCACAAATAAGTGGATTGTTGCGGAACTTATGGGTGGACCTCTGCGGGACGAGCGTAGCGAGTTCCGTAGCCATCTATTCACCAATATGTTGTTCAAGTACATACTAACTTGATTCTCTCAGTTGTGAGTTTTTCTCATTAGTTCAAAAACTACCTTTAGATGAATGTCTTATTTGAACAGTTCAACAGTATATTGGTAGGTGTAGGTAGATGGCTGCGGAACTCGCTACGCTCGTCCCGCAGAGGTCCACCCATAAGTTCCGCAATAATCCACTTATTTGTACAGGGTGTTTTTTTATATATTGACACTCCACCTACAGCCTTTACCTTCACAGGTAGAAAAAAGGTGTAAATACAAAAGTTATACAGTTTTGGCCTCTATGATTTTGGCTGAACTTTTAGAAACCATGATCAGAAACAAAATTTGAATGTCAGAAATGTGAAATTTGGCATGCTTCCAACTTTTTTCCAAATGGGATGCCCTATATTTTATTCTATATTCTTGAAGAGCACAATGCCCCGATTCCAAAAATATATAGTTTGATCATATTTGATTGAACAGTCTCTCATATATTCGGCTACAAAAATTGTAAAAATAATATTCTACTACTGATTTTGTGACCCATTCTTTCTGTACAGGTAAAAGCTGCAAGTAAAATTTGAGATACTTGGTTTCTCTGATAGTATTTTTAAAATTTATGAACCAAATATGTTGGAGATGGCTCAACCGTCATTGGCTCAACCCAATATAGACAAACTATATAGTTTTGGAATCGGGAAATTGTGCTCTTCAAGAATATAGAACCAAATATAGGGCATGTCAATTGAAAAAAGCTGAAAGCATGCAATATTCACCTGCGCAGTATATCAAGCATGCCATTTTGAATTAGTTAAAGCCATTTCAACAGAAGAATTGATTTTTTCTTTTTGATGATTTATTGCCAGAACAGAAGAGAAAGAGTATCTGTCATTTATTCTGATAACGGAGGTAACTTTCATGGAACTGAAAATCTTTTTAAACAAATAGATTGGAACGAAATACAAAAATTCTCTTCAGAATTTCACTCCACCCACAGTCGTTTGGTGGGGCGGATGGTGGGAGAGAGTAGTACGTATGATTGAGGAGTTGCTTAGAAGAAATTTGGCAAAAAGATATCTTGCTTATGATGAACTACATACAGTTCTATGTGATTGTGAAGCTGTGGTGAATGCTCGGCCCTTTACTTACAATGAAAATCATACCAATGGAGATTTGAAACCAATAACACCAGACTCGTTTTTGAAAAGTTTAGTCAGCAGTGAGATACCAGGTTTAGATCAAAATATTAGGGATGCATTTAGAAAACGATTTAGGAATGAATATCTAGCTAGGTATATTGGTACAGTCTAAAAAGGGAAAATTCACAAACATTAAAGTTGTCCTAATTCAAGCCGAAAATATGGAGAGAACAATGTGGCCTGTAGGAAAAATTATAGAAGTTTACCCAGGACAAGATCAAGTGATTAGAGTTGTGAAAATAGAAACGTCTAATGGAACTCTCACAAGACCAATACAACGCATACATAGACTTGAAATTGGCAGAGAAGAAGAATTGGCTGAATGTTTAACACCTGAAACCTCAGAAAAAACCCAGATCAAAACGAGATTGTTATGCCCCCAAAAGCCTATTCACCCCAAACCTTGAATAAGAAGAAAAATTAGAATACCGACGAAGGGAAGACCGTTTAACAAGAAAACCTCGAAGAAATTCAACAATCTCAAGAAATTATAAAAAAAATTTAAACCTACTGATACCATCCAACCAACAAGAAGAAGTACGAGAGAGATAAAGAAACCCTTAAGATACCAGTAACCTAAAAAGAAGTTTTTTAAAAGTTAGTTTCGCCGGACTTGGGCGGGAGTATGTTGAAAGACCACACCAGAAGTCCGACGAATGCAACAATGGTTGTTATAGTTGTTTTTAACAGTTTTTGTTTTTTACGTTGTCCAATTGAAAAATAAAAATTGTCAAATAACTTGCTCCACTTCCTTATTTATATTATATATTACTAATTACAAACAACACAAACGAGTGTTCCGTCTTTGTTTCTTATATTATCATTTGCATATCATTGAGAAAGAAGGAACACTCGTTCTCCTGGGAACGCTGCTCCCCTGTTTCAAAAATAAGGGCCCTGGTAGGATGCAGGTTCTGGAGGCCGTAGCCTAGTGCAAGTCTACATGCTCGCCTTAACCCCAAAGTTGCTGTGACTCCGAGAACTATTTTTCAGAGGCTCTCAAGAAGAACCCAACTTTGCGATCTCTCGATCCACTTCTGATTTATTATGCCTTATGAGAGAGACTCTAATCTATAAATTTAGAAACTTCAAAAACCACTTTCGCTTTATTTTGCCTCATAGGAGAGAGAGGCTCTTATCCATAGATCCTCAAAATTTGAAGACACTTTGACTCCTAGAAGTATTTTTTATTTCCTAAAAGCTGAATTCAAATAAAAAGCAATTTTTCTTTTGAACACACATATTTTAATTATCAAAGTTTTGTACCAGTAAATATTAAGTATGTATGAACTAATACTAAAATAAAACTAATAACAAAAAGGGAACAACTACAAATAATGACATTCCTAACTGAATTCCAGAATTGCAAAGGTCCGTGCTACAAGTGGTGCAAGTGTGCTGTCCGGGCAAAATTTCGTTGCGCCTTCTGAGCTGCTGAAAAATGTCCTCGCAAGTTGCCCCATAACGCAACGCCTGACATCCTCTGGTTATGTGGTTTATAGGAGGCGTGCCAGGAATGATGGCTAAAATCAGAAATTTAAATAAATGACACTTGAAAGGAAAAAAATCCCCTTTTCCCTGATAATTAATCATCAGATATTGATTTTATCTTTTTAAAACAAGTTGAAGTAGGTACTTAGATTAACTATGTTTGTTTTAAAAATTGTATAAATAGGTAAAAATCCCAAAAAAAAAAATATTATTTGAAAAAAATAATAATAATGACTTCAAAGATTATCTTAGTTCTCAGTGTTGTTACTTTAGCATTTGGTAAAAGTTTGCACTTTACATACTTTATAAATTAATTGATTTTAATTTAAGGTCTATCCAATGCGGCTTTGTCTTGCTATTCTTGCTCAGGCAAAGGTTCAGACTGTCCCAAACAAGCAAGTGAAGATGATTTAGGCAAAATGAACAAAGTTGGTTGTGAATCTACTTTGAGTACTGTTTGTGCTAAATATTCCATAGATCTACTTAATGGTAAGAAGCTATAAGTACAATAAGGCAAATTTTAAGTTAATTTTTTTTACAGGCGAGTCTTACACCTACAGAAGCTGCGAACCCAGGTACATTGGAGGTATTGCCTCAAATGGAACTGAATTTTGTAATTTTATCAAGGAGCTTTATGACCCAATTGTTAATGAAGGTCTTGTAGGCGGTTCTGTATGTCAAACTTGTAGAACTCTAGATTGTAATACATAAACTTTAAGTTTACTTTGTAAGGTGCCAAATTATCTTTTCATTGGGTAGTTATAGTGTTTAGCTAATTAGATTGTAATCGGACTTGAAAATTTCGCAAAAGTTATTTAAGGAATTGTTTTCTTCCAAGCCAAGTACTGGAAGTACTTCATAATATCAACACACACATGTCATTATCATTATGTTCATTCAAATTTTGAAGTTAAATAAACATTTATTAAAAAAGTATATTCAGAGTTTTTGAAATATCGTGCTTGGAAATTGAAAGATACAATCATATCTTTTAAACGAAAAATGCCTCGTTCATTTTGTCCTTATAAAATATTTTCTGCGTACTTACTTTGATAGTGATATGCTGCGCAAACGGAAGGTCCCATACAATGTACTCTGCGCATCTGAGTTTCGTCACCGTACAGACACGGACTGGAATCTCCTGGAAGTAATCTTGCGACACATTCGTAACATCTTATAGCGGAACCTCAAATCGATTTGGGTCTTATTAATTTTTCAATTATTGTAAAATACAATCCCTTACCTTCTGGCAAAGCAGACGAGAAAACTAAAAATACTACAAAACCCAACAAAGAAAATGATATTTCCATATCTATACACTTTGACCATGCACTATAGTTAAAAGCTACGTACGTACGTTCGAAAGGTAAAACCGTATTTGGTAGAATGATTTCACTGTAAAATGTGCCAAATATTTTTGACCCAAATAGAAATCTGGGCTACTGTAATAAATATACAGACCTACTATAGCAAGTCATAACTCTATGGATGATGTATCAGTTAATTTCAATTTTATTACAAACTAACACTTTTATTTGGTGCCGTATGAGATAAACTTCGGGATGTAATAAATAAGCCATTTAAATTTTGACACACTGAGATAGTTGGGAAGGAAATTGCAAGAGATGGAAGGGTAAATATTGTTATTAACCACTTTGTTTATTTCAAAAACAATATTGCATGGTACCTACAATGTTTGCAGTGTTAGGATTAAAAATATGGGCAGAAATCAATAAAAAAAATCATCTTCAAAAACCATTTATTAATGCCACACCAACAACCCACAATACAAAACCTAAACAAATCCTATTGGCATTATTATTATTTTCCTCTTGATGACTACTAGCCTTAAAAACATGCGTATTACACCCAGAAGCATTACAAGAATCGCAAAATGGTATATTGACATTGAACACTTGCATTTGTGACCTAAACCAATCACAATAGTCATATTCTAGCGAATGCACGCCGCAACCTCTATACATTCCAGTGTCGTTATCCATAGGATTACCGTTCCAATCTGAAAGACCTAAAATATTTATGTTATGTGAATTTTAATTATGTTGTTTTGCTACTTGCCAGTGTAATTTAAGTAAGCCGAATAACAACTTATTTCCAAGTCAACAGTTGGCCCAAGAATATCTGAACAATTTATTAGTTGGGATAAAGTGGGATTTGAACAATCAGTATCAGTGTCTGTGGGACTACATCGATAGCATTGTAATGATGATGATTGTCCTAGAACTACAAAACAATATTAAGTCAAATCATCTCAAACTAGTGAAAGTATTTTTAAACTTAAGGTAAATGTTCCAGTTTTCAGCTTTCTTTTGGTACTGAGACTTTTAAATACCATAGTTTCATTTATTTGGACTCGTGTTAAGCAATTTGAGCTAATTAATCAATTTTTCTGTGTGACTTTTTTCATAGAATCCGGCTCCAAATCTCAGAATAATTTAGTGTATGGAGTTTGGAGGATCCCAAAGGATCATTAGGACACAACATCTTAACAAGAAAAAGTTTGAAATTTTATCGTTTTAGTACCTACTGAGGTAGCTGCCTTATGATTTAGATTTTGGAAAACTTTGAAAGGTCATAACTTTTTTTCTATTATAGACAGAAAGGTGAAATTTTCAGCGATTCTTATTCCAGTAGAGGACTACAATCCCTGAAAATTTCAGCTTATTTCGACTTATAGTTCCAGAAATATAATCGTGTTAAGCAATTTGGGGTAGATTATCAATTTTTCAATTTTTGTGAGTGCCTTTTTTCATAAAATCCAGCTCCAAATCTTATAATAATTAAGTGTATGGAGTTTGGGGGAGTCCAAAAAACCATTAAGACACAAAATCTCAACAACCAAAAAAATTTAAATTTCATCGTTTTAGTACTACTTAGGTAGCTAACTATATGTAGCTAACCAGCTTACGATTTAGATTTTGGAAAACTTTGAAAGGTCATAACTTTTGTTCTATTATAGATAGAAAGCTGTAATTTTCAGCTATTCTTATCCCAGTAGAGGACTACAATTCCTGGAAATTTCAGCTCATTTGGACTTATAGTTCCAGAAATAAAATCGTGTTAAACAATTTGGGATGATTTATCAATTTTTCAATTTTTTTGAGTGCCCTTTTTCATAGATTGCGGTTCCAAATCTCAGAATAATTAAATGTATGGAGTTTGGGGGATCCAAAAGAACCATTAAGACACAAAATCTCAACAACATAGATTATAAATTATTACTTCTCCAAGGCCCTGGAAATTCTAGCAAAACATTAGATTCCTTTTTTATCAGTCATCAAAAAACTATGGGAAAAAACTGGTAAAAGCTTAATTTTTGTTTTGTTTTTTCATGTTTAGGACCGTTTCGATTTTAGAGAAAATAGGAAGGAAACAAAAAAATAATTTGGAATAAACAAAAATTACATCAAAAATAAATGGGAAATACTCTACATAAGTAGGAAGGAAAAGCTTTTTTTTATTCAGAGAAATTTAGAAGCAAACACAAATTCAAGAGCCTGGGAGGAACAAAAATTGAACCAAACAAAATTACAGAGAAAAAAAAAATAATAAAAATTAAAAAACAAGCAATAGAACCTGAGTTAAACAAAACTAATTAGTACCTATATGAGAAATAAAGAGAGTACATTTGATAAAAATTAAGAAGAAATCGTCAGACAAATAAGTAGATATATATTTTTCCTACTCCAGAATCTTGAATTTTCCTTATTTAGAAAAAAAATTATACAAAAACTCAAAGAGCCTGGAATAGACAAATATTGAGATAAGTATAATATTATGTATTTATTTTTTTAAATTTCCTATGTATCCACACTGATAATGAATTTGAGATTTTTTGAGATGACCGATAAACAGGGTTGTTACAGACCAATTTTTGAATGTGTGGTTTTCCACATTGAAATTGTGTAGCAATTCAAGCAATTGTGCACTGTCAATTTAACATTTAAATAGGCATCTGACAGCAGACGCTCGCGACATCTTTTGCTTCGCGAGCACAACTACAGAACCAGTGCCCGAATTCAGAACCCACAATTCAATAGTAACGTAGTCTATCTATAAAATCTGTTTTTTTTTTAAAGATAAAAGTCAAAATGACATTATGTTGGCAATACAATGTAAAATTGTCAATGCTTTCAAATTTTATATGTAGAAAAGGCTTGTGTTGCCAACAAAGTTACTAAATTTTTGACTTGGGGAATTATCTTTAAAAAAAAAAACAGACTTTAGGTCTGTTTTCACAGAAATCACAAACCAGTCACAGCGAATTTCATTGGGAGAAAATAATCAGGAAACTGGTTATTGTCGATTTGGACCAATCAAAAATGCTCTGAGTGGTTTGTGATTTCTGTGGAAACAGACCTTATATTTATGTGAGGTCTGTTTCTGCAGAAATCAAACCAGTCTAAGCGAATTTCATTGGCTCAAAACAGTCAGAAAACTAGTTTCAACCAATGAAATTCACTCTGACTGGTTCGTGATTTCTGCTGAAACAGATCTCATGGGCGATACTATTGAATATTGAATCGTGGGTTCAGAATCCGGGCCCACAGATCTCAACTCTGACACTCAACGCTTGCGACATCTTTTGCCACTTTGCAGAAGTGGCTAAATTCACTATCGTTTCAAGAATTTTGAGTTACGGAATAAATTATTTATCCATTGTGTAGCATTTCTGTGCAGTTTATTAAAAAGTTTAGCAAACAGAGGAAATTGGTCATTGGGGTGCACCTGTGTAATCGATAGTCCAATTGTGTAGCAAACTACACAATTGTGTAGCTTGTAACAACCCTGCCGATAAAATATGTAGGTACTTACCTATTAGTCCTAAATACCCCAGTACAACTAATATTGTAAAATAAAACCTATTGTCCATTTTAAAACAATTATTATTATAAATAAAACATCATATGAGCTATCTATTTATACATTTTGGCTAGGACTTTATTTATTTTTATTGCTGCAATTATAGCCATAATAAATTGGAAAATAAATAAAATACCTCTTGACAGAATAATTTTTGAAATATTTATTGATTATAGGTAATTCTTAGTTAACTGAACAATACAACGGATTGTTAATACTCGACAATAAAAGAGGATCAATTATTGAAAACCAGAGGAGAATTTCTGATCTGTCTAGTTTCTGAACTAGATGGTCTTATAGATCTCATATTATAAGAACTGATGGTATTATATTCATCTGATTTGGTACTACCGCCAGGGCCGGCTCTAGGTATTTTGCCGCCCTGGGCAATGAGTAAATTTGCCGCCCCATCGCATGGCCCGCTTAGGGAAAATGCGAGATTTTGAATTGTAGAAACAAAAAAAAAATTACACGAAACAGTAAGGCATAGCATCTTAGTAATAAAACCATACACACTTTATTGTAAGTTGGGTAACTACAAAAAAAATCTAACCTAAGAAAACAAGAAACATAACCAACAAAGTAAGAGTCAGCCAATCCAAATTCTTAGGCGGTTACACACGGACGTGGATGTTTGAAAACATGTACGTACATACATGAACGCGCAAACAAAAACATCAATGTGTATGCAAAATATCGTCGCGTTTTTGAATGTGGAATCGCTAGAAATTTTGTATGCACACTTCGGATTACTGTAGCAAGAATAGCAAGACTGCAGTTTTGTGCGAGCGTCTGTACAAACGCGACATGCACGTTGTTGTTTGCACGTTGATGTATGCACGTACCTATATGTATCAAGACATCCACGTCCGTGTGTAACCGCCTCTTAGCAAATTAACAGCTGCGCAAGCTTGAGGTCTATGGCAGTGTTGCCAGCATCAGTACAGATGTACTGAAATCAGGACAATTTGACTCTCTTCAGTACGTCAGTACCACACTATAAAATTCAGTACATTTTGCCGCCGCTGTACAATACCGGGGATATTTTTAAACGGCGGGCAAAATTAATGAATACCTGCATTTTCGAATGGACGGACGGGGCGCATGGATCACTCCGGGTGCATCCCAACAGAATATTGAGCGCACCCCAAACATGCCATTAGCCCGCGCTCATTTTACGCCGGTATGGATTTAGGGCCAAATTACAGTATATTTGCATCTGCAAATTTGCAGTTCTGTAAATATGGCCGACTTGCATTTTTGTTCACGAGCAAATTACAGAAAAAATCTGCAATTTCGTCATATTTATCGGAAAAAAGTGTTTGGGCGCTACTGATTTACCAGTTTTAAATGTCAAAGTTGTCAAAGTGATTGCAAGGACTTGCGGGACCGTTTCACCATCCGCAAATTTGCAATTTGCAGGCGATTTGCAGATGCATTCTGCTTTTGTAATACGAAAAGTCAGACTTGCAGGTCCTGCATTTGCATCTTGGTGTTGCAGATTTTCTGTAATTCCGGGCTTAATCTCGATTAGGAGTTTAAACTCGCTTAGTTCGGAAATTTGTCATGCACCGCAGGAAAAAAGTAATTTAAGCTTTGGATTACGAGATCCACCCGAGAGGAGGGTTTTGCTTGATAAGATGTTGATCAAAAAAAAATGCCAAGAAGGGTGATGACATGGCAGTATTACTAAAACTAACTTAAATTGCTTAACGTAAATTCTTGAAGATATCATTAAATTTCGTGGAATAAATAACCTACCCCAATCTGTAAAGTCAGATCTTTAGTGACTTTAGTTAGGTAAAGAGGTTCCTAGTAGATAAAAAAGAATGTTTTTCGTGAAGCCCATCGCCCATCCAAGTGTTTAATTAACCCACTAACCAAACCGTGAAATATTCAAAATAATTTGAAATGAATGATCTTTTATTTGATGTTTTAAATTTAAAGCAGTACAGGAGTAGGAAAAACAAAATAAGTATCCTAAAACCATCTAGTTTATCAGTTTTATGAACTCCAGTTCAGTTTTTGAAGTTAGTACATTTTTCTGTTTTTCAGTACATTTTTTTGTCTCTTAATCAGTACTTTAATTTTCAAGGGTCTGGCAACGCTGGTCTATGGGTTTAGAGGGAGATGTCTTGAGTGGCTAGCATCTTACCTTGCGGGAAGAATGCAGACTGTTGTGGTTAATAACATCGAGTCACTTGTGCGATACGTCGGGGCAGGGGTGCCTCAGGGATCCTCCCTTTCCCTTGTTTCTACTGTATGTAAACGATCTGCCCAAGACGGGTATATCTGGCACTCTAACCATGTTTGCCAATGACACATTAGTTCTGTGGCACGGCTTAAATGCTGATATCCTAGGGCCGTATTGGGCAGTGGTGTGATGCAAATCGTCTTGTACTCAATCTGACAAAGACTAATAGCATGGCTATTAAGTGTAATCTGTCTGACATTCATCTTGACTCCTCAAACATTGGTAGTTGTGAACAGAGTAAATTCTTGGGATTACACATCGATAAATCCCTTAAGTTCGAGCATTATCTCATGGGGGTTGCAGACTGGGTTTCCAGGGGTTGTTTTGCTATGCAAACGGTCTCTGGTGAGCTTGGTGAGGCTACTGCAAGGACCACCTATTTTGCATTGGTGCAATCTCATTTGCAATACGGCATTAGTTTCTGGGGTTCATGCAGCGAGTACCTCTTCAATTCATTTTTGTGCTGTAGGAAAGAGCAGTGCGTTACTTGTGCAGCGTCTCGCCATCGGAATCTAGTAGGCCGCTGTTTCTTTCTCGTAGGATTCTGACGTTTCAAAAACGCCTTAATACGAACGCTTTTAAACGAAAAAGGACGTTTTTCAAAGATCTCTATGAACATTCACTGAACTTCCTTCAAAGTATCCAACACCATCCAATAGACTTATTTTATAGGTAGTGCAAATATCACATTTACAAACAACCTTTCAAAAACGTCTTATCCGAATTAATTTCCGAGTGTGTGGACGTGGGATACATATATTTCCAATGGTGTTCCCGAAAATAAACAACAGAAACCTTTAAATAAAACGTCTCTCATATGACTTTTCATGAAAACATAGGTACCTACTTTTATGAACTCATAGAAAACATTCTAACGTTCTTTAATTGTTCCTAACAGAGGTTTTAAAAACAACTTAATCAAACGTCTAAAAAACATCATTTCTTTACCTTTTTAGAAACACTCGGACATGGATATTACCACGTGCAGAAACAGCAGTTTGCAAAACTTTTCTCTCAGAACTTATGCTTATGGAAAATATGTAGCCCAAGTTATGTTTTAAAATACATTGATTCAAAATATCTAAAATGGCGATATCTCAAAAAACGGCGAAACTTTGTATGAGAGTAAATATGGTCAAATAGCTTCCAAATGATTCCAACTATCATTCATTAAATTTTCCTAAACACCCTGTATAATTGGTTCGCTGTTCGATTTATATTTCTTTATTTTTTTTAAGTCGTTGTTTTCATTTTCTATTAATGTTTTTTGTTATTGTATGGTATGAATTTGCCGCCCCTGGATCGTGCCGCCCATCTCGCCCCCCCCCCTTAAGCCGGCCCTGACTACCGCTAATAAAGGGTACTTATGTTTATGAATAGTTTATTTCAATCAACATCAGTCTAATTAATCATTGAAGAATATGAGCTGTTGATGGAAGAACTTAATATAGAGAAATTAATGAGACAAAATATAATTTTAAACATGAGAGAATATGAGACTTATTGCTAAAACAAAAATTGCCGGTGATAGAATCGAAGACCCATTTGGACGATTTCCAGAACCGCCTCCACCTCCACTTCCGCCTCCACCTCCACTTCCGCCTCCACCTCCTATGATTTGTCCAACTGAAAAAAAAATCAAATCTTATCAAGGCTGTTCTCTGATAATGTGGATCCCAATTTCATTTCGTTTTTCTTTCGATCCACAACGAAACTGGGTACCAGTTGCATTAAATGTAAAACACTACAAAAAAGTAGTAAAGACTAAATACTTACCATTATTGAAAAGATGCGTATTACAATACGAAGAACCACATGACCCACATCCTACATGAGTAACATTAATTCCTGGACTTGAAGAACAATAATTACTCGGCACTGCTATGTTTGACGATATATGACATCCCCTATGTATGCCAGTCAGATTTTGTGGTCCAGAAATGTCTATGAAAATTTGTTAAATTCATCTAATTTTGTTTCAAATTATATTTACTTACTGTAAACTAGATATGACGAATAACAGCTGTATCTGTACAAAGTAATATTTGATACCAACGAAGTGCAGTTGAGCACTGGAACGCCATTAAGCGGATTAGCACATGAGCTTGGGTTTAAACCTGGATTACACGAGTAACATAGGAAAGTGTTGTTGTGGATATCTTGTGCTGAAACTATAAATTGATTTATTTTATGCAATAATATCAATGATAGTAATAACTTACCTAAAGTTATGAGACTTCCTATAAAAACTGTGATAATAATTTTATACATGATTATGAATTTTTCAACTATAATACAGCCAATTTTATCCTTGCAAGGCCTATATATATTGCATTATCTTATGTTAATATTGGATGCTGCGTGTTATGTAGACAAGAGATTATGATAAGAGTTTTAAAAGTTTAAACCTGTCTATATTTGAAAAAAAAAAAAAGTTAAAAATAAATTATTGTAAATAACATTTTAAGTTGATCAAATGATTACAACACATTATTTAGAAACAATATTTAATATTATTCACTAATATAAATAATGGTCATCTAACTAAAAATAATAATAAAACAATAAAACTATAACTGAAACTAAGAAATAATTTCGCACTAGAGTTACAAAGATGAGTTTCGCATTCTTCAAAAATAATTATTTTAGCCGGATTTTTCATGTCTGGCGATACCATTTTAACTAGTTCGTGTTCTGTGTACAAAGCACAATCTCTTATTGTTGCTACAACCAGCCTTCCAGGCATAGGAGCTTCAAAAAATAAAAACAAAATTAATAAATTTGTTAATAAACATAAGTACCTACTCACTTTCATATTTTATCAAAGCACATCTGTCTTCTGAGCAATTTTTCTGATTGTTTTCTCCTAAGTTTCCACTGTTACACTCTTTGGTGGTTTGATGGCAATGGTAGCACAGTAACCCATTACCTTGAAGAGTTTTTTAAATTCAACATCCAGATTTTATATCCTTATAATTCAAATTACATCTTACCATTTTGAATCAAAATTGCCAAACACAAGATAATCCAAACACCTTCCATGATCACATAACAACTTGTGGTTAAATTTCAAGCCTGAAACCTATAAAAAAAAGCAATTTGCCAAGATATTTTCGGATATTGGCTCAAAAATATGTATTTTGGGGTTTTAATGTAAACTGATGTTTAATAAATCAAGATTTACCTGGCGGGAGTATGTGAGAAGTCAAACAATCTATTTTGTACTAGAAACATTTATAAACAATTTTTTTTATTAATGTAGCATATGGTCGACTTGAATTTAAACAATCTCGCGCGTTTATTGACCACTAAAACACAAACTGGAACACACGCACTCAGCACATTTCTGGATATTTATAAACTTCTCACTCTCTGGATAACGGGACAGAGACCGACTGCAATCCATCCAATTTGATGTTGATTTGTATTTTTAGATTCATGCATAATCGATAGGTTTTAACGTAGAAGTTTGTTCGGGAAATTAACAAGTTGATTTACAGTGATTTACATGCAACAGGATTGGATTTGGGAGCATTATTACGATTAATTAATTAATTACTTGATCAAATATAGGTAGTACAAAGTCTATCAGCGAATCATGACGTAAAATAATTAAACGTTGAACAGAAAATAGCTGAGTATGATAGTAACATTTTAGTAGAGTTGCTACATTGAAGAATTATTCATTAGAGTGATTATTCCCGGCTCTTGATTCGAATGAAGAGCTGGGAATGTTAAGAAACTGATCATGGATCGTCGAGAACTTATCAATACTCCCAAACGAGCAGTTCGGATTTCGCCCCCGTCACAACAGCACTCTTCTTGCAGCCAAAATCTGCTGCGACGTCTTCAAAGCGTTCAACAGGCGCATGAACACGACTCTTCTGCTCGTGGATATGGAGCGCGCCTTCATTCACTGTATTCCTTTTACCTGTTGAGTTACTCGGAGCTTCTTAATGTTACAAGCTTGAACGTTCCTTTTAAAAGTGCGTTAAACACTCGAGTCGCTCATAGTAAATCCCCCTTTCCCTCGATTCACGATTCACCAAATTTGCGGGGGGTGCAAGAGACCCTTTTATATAAAATCTGAATTGTGTGTTTTGGAGTGACTCCGAGGAACTCGTTCGGTGTAACTCGATCTATAAAAGGAATACAGTAATTAGGGTCTGGCACTCAGGCCTTATCTAAAAACTCTTGAACTCCAAACTAATTCAGGCCGGAGTGCTCCAGGGTTCGGCACTCAGTCCGCTCGTACTCTCTGTTCATACACAGCGGACATTCCAAAATTCCAAAATACAAATCTGGCGCTGTACGCAGATGACAAGCAACAAAATTTCAGCTAGCCCATCACCTTGCAATTCTTCAAACTTATTACGATAAGTGGAAGCTTGGTGTTAATGAACAAAAAAACGGAACTGATATGTTTCCACAAGAAACATACAATAGCACCATGCCCACCCCACTTATTGTGAATAACCTGTCAGTTGTCACTCTGTCCCCAAAGGCGAAATAGGTACCTAGGAATCCTTTTTGATCAGAGAATAAAATTTCATCATCACGTTTCCCATGCTTTGGCTCGCACCTTCAGTGCGCAGCAAAAACTTTACCCCCTCATCAACATCCTAACTCCCCCCTATCGCCAGGTAATAAGTTAATAATATACAAACAGGTCATAAGACGATAAGACCTATGCTAAGATATGGGGGCCCCTGTCTGGAACATAATCTCCACAACTCAGCGAAACCGCCTACAACGTTTTCAGAATCGCATCTTGAGGAAGTGCTGTCGAAATTCAGGTACGCCAGAATAAGGGACATACATGCGCAAGCATGCATTCCTTATATCTCTGACTATCTGGATGAAATCAGCGAAAAATTCTTTAGGCACCAATACGAGATATGATCCAGACAACCCCATAGTTCACGGTCCACCATACCAATCTATTTTGAACCCTCATGAACACCTCCCCATTCCAATCCTGCTAATCATACACCCAAACCAAAACCCTCTCCAATGTACAGCTAAAATCTTAACGTCAAGACAAAATTAGACAAGAAAGTTTGGCGCTGGCGCCAATAGCCTTATTCTGAAGCAGGAGACTCTGGTAATCCCATCTTAGCTGAAAAATGCATGTCCCAATCCCGGTAAATTCTTGCACCCAATCCTCCCAACCCTCATTCTCTGACATCCCTTACAAACCTCCCCACCTGCACCAAAACCATGTACCAAAACTCTGACTCTGAGCATTCCACCCTTATTCTCGAGACATGCCAGTGTAATGACCTTAGTACGCGCCATCCGTGGTATTCACCAGCGACCTCAGGGTCAAATAATTGACGTTAAAGGGCAACCTGGGAATGTCATCGAGAGTTGTGATAAAAATAGGAACAGGGGTTTGCGGTCAACAATATCGACCTGGCTAAAGCGCCTACAATGCTCGCTAGGCGAATGTGTGAGCACAGCGTGCTGCGCACGCTGCAATTTAGTTTGAGCCTGTAAGACAAGGGTTTTTATAATTACGAGCCCGAAGGACTGGAGTTTTTCTCATACGAGATTTTATAAACATTCGTGCGTATTGCCATACAAAAACCCTCGTGATTTGAAAAAATCCCAGCCCTATGGGATCGTGATTTAAAAAGATTCCGGCCCTTCGAGCTCATGATTAACTAAATCTCGGCCCTATGGGTTCGTAATTTGTAAAGTTTATAATAACCCCGGCCCTTCGGGCTCGTGATTTAAAAAGACACCGGCCCTGCGGGCTCGTAATTAGAAATAACTCTTGCTCTACAGGCTTATCAAACCAAGTAGGCTTTAAAAACATATATTCAATGTCGATACTGCACGAAATTTAAACTTTGAAATTTTCCAAAGCTCACTTTGTCGCTTGTCAAATAGTGTTGCCAACTACAACTTACAACAAACATGAGAAACAAATTAATAAAAAAAGTTCAAGTAGGTCTTGCAAATTTCAAATTTTCTATAGTATTTTTTAATAATCGGCAACACTGTTGGGAAAAATGTCAAATATTATATTTTTGACAAGCGACAGAATTACTTATTAAAAACTAAGTAGGCCTTGGAAACAACCTTGCAGGCGGATTCCGTGCACTGTCGAATTCTATAGCGACATGTCGCGTTCGATATTTCGTATTCCGTGTACCGTTTTCTACACGATTTCCCCTAGTACAGAATTCGCGTCCTGGTTTTAATCGATGTCGGTAATATGGATTACTGTAAGCGAAAGATTTATTAAACCAAGTAGGTATTGGAAACATGTATGTATTGCGATGTAGGTATTACAGGCTTCAAATTCAAACTCTGAAATTTTCCAAAGCCTACTTTGTCGCTTGTCAAACAGTGTTGTTAACTAGAACTTACAACAAACATTGTTTCAATGGGTACATTCAGGTGGTGCCAGCGGCTAAGCTCAGCCACTCAGCAGGGACTTTATTCTCAAAACCGAGGAACAGCGTTCTTATGGGAACGATTGCTCTGTCATTGTCAGTGTTATGGAAATATGAATACGGATGACGAGGATAGAAAATTCGTTCTTATAAGAACGCTGGTCCCTTGTTTCGAGAATCAGGTCCATGCTAAATGGCTGAACTTAGCCGCTGGCACCGCCTGAATGTACCCATTTACTGAGGCTCAAAGATTTAGAAAAAAAAAACAAAGCCCAAGTAGGCCTTGCAAATTTCAAAGTTTTCATACTAAGTAACTTTCAAATATTAACAATACTGTTGGGTGAAATGTCAAATATCATATTTCAGACAAATGACAGGATTACTTATCAAAAACTACGTAGGCCTTGGAATGGTTTTAATCGATGTCGGTAATACGGAAAACTGTAAGTGAAAACTTTGTCAAACCAAGTGAGATTTAAAAATAATTCTAATTTCTACAGATTGTTAGTGTTACAGGTTCGAATTGAATCGGAAGAACGTGGCCATTTTGAATTAATTGTCAAAAACTATAAAGCCTACTTTGAATTTTTGACATTGGGTACATTCAGGCGGTGCCAGCGGCTTAGTTCTGCCACTCAGCGGAAACTTTATTCTCGAAACAGGGGAGCAGCGTTCTCATTGGAACGAAGATTCTGTCTTTGTCGTCTGGCATACCACTGACAATGATAGAGCAATTGTTCTTATGAGAACGCTGTTCCTTGGTTTCGAGAATAAACTCCCTGCTGAGTGGCTGAGCTTAGCCGCTGGGACCGCCTGAATGTACCCATTTACACTAGGGTTGCTTCATTTTTAAATTAGGGTTGTCACATTTTCAATTTTTTTTTTCTAAAACCCAGTTATTAATGAATTAGATTGAAAATAAATACAAATTAAATGAAAATTATTGACAATTTAGCATAAAGGTTAAAAAAAGGTTGTTTTAGTGTTAACTGTCAAAGAAAACACGGCCTACTTTGAAACGTCAATTTTTTGACGTTTGTTTTGTCATAAACAGTGTTGCCATATGTTTTTTTTTCAAATCTCGAAGGCCGGGTTTTTTTTTATTTCGGAGCCCGTAGGAAGAGGGCTTTTCTAATTGCGAGCTCGTAGCTATAGGCAAATTCCAAGCAGTTTCCACAATATGAAACGAACCAAAAAGCACTTCAAATTGATTTGAACTCATTGAACGATCCAACGATGCTCATAATCAAAACTTATTACAGAGTAATCAAAAAATCAACTTTTATACTATCAAAAACCCGGCAAATAAGGGACATGCATGCACCAGAATGCATTCATTCCTTAATCTCTGACTACCTGGATGAAATTAGCGAAAAATTCTATAGGCAACAAGTTCAAGGCAGAATAACTGCAACGAGATATGATCCAGACAACCCCATAGTTCACCATACAAGAATTTACCAATCTATTTTGAGCCCCCATGAACACCTCCCCATCCCAATCTTGCTAATCATACACCCAAACAAAAACCCTCTCTAATACACAGCTAAAATCTTAACATCAAAACGAAATTAGACAAAAAAGTTTGGCGATGGTGCCAATAGCTTTAGTCTGAAGCAGGAGACTCTGGCAATCCCATCAAGGACTAATTTCTACCCTCAGTTCTTCGGAAAATTCCAACTAGTCAGCGATTTACTGTCTGACAAACTCCTCTCTCGCTGACTATGAGGAAACCACTCTTGTCTAATTGAACATCAGACACCCCAATCTGACCAACAACCATATAGGCACAAATTGCCCAGAGCTGAAAAATTCATGTCCCAATCCCGGTAAATTCTTGCACCCAATTTTCTCAACCCTTATTCTCTGACATCCCTTACAAACGTCCCCACCTGCACCAAAACCATTACCTAGAGACTCATCAGGTCTCAGGATTGGTCAGGGTGCAAGGCTGTCGAAACCCATTCAATCCGTACCCGCGCTCATGCGCACATACCCGAAGCTCACAATTGCTAGTGAGGACGCGTCCAGTGAACCCGATCGCCCAAGGGCACAACATTTTTGTTTTTTATTTAAGTCTAAAATTAATGAAAAGTGGGGTTTTTCTATGCTTTTTCCCGACAAAACGAACTTGATTCAAGAGCCGGGAATAATGAAAAATTGAACATTTTAGACTGTGTGTAAAACAGTTAAACGTTGAATAGAAAATAGTTGATTTATGGTAGCAACATTCTAAAAGAGTTGCTACATTGAAGAATTATTTAATCGAGTGATAATTTCTGGCTCTTGATTCGGATTAAAAGTTGAGAATGTTAAGAAACTGATCATTGAACATTATCAACGAATCAACATCCTAGAAAAGTTGATACATTCAAAAATGAGTTGATAGTTGATTGAACGAGTTCTTATTCTCGGCACTTGATTCAAGAGCCGGGAATAATCAAAAATTTCACATTTTAAACTGATCAGTGAATCGTGACAAAAAAAAAACAGTCTATGAATAAATCAAGTTTAAGTTTTTTACTAATTATTACTCTTCCAGATTGAAAATGGCTGATTTGGGTTGTATCTATAGTGACTTATTTAAAGCACATCTTTCATTACATAGTATAACATACAACAATCTTAGAAATGACGAACTGTGTGAGAATTACAAGATAGACATGAAAAATATTCAAATAATTCTTATGTTAAAAGTGCATATTTCAATTCTCCATTACGATAAACAATTATTTCAAAAGTTAATTGCTGCTAGAAGTTCTTTTCAAAACAGCAGCCACAACAGGATTGGTAGTAGGTTTCACTCCAGTTGGTCCATACCAAGTTTTGTACAATTTCAAATTGCAAATGATCCTCAACGATAGAAAGTAAACGAGCTCGATCATTGACAATAGGGAAAATCCAATAAACAGGCCCAAAAGACCGCCAACGTTGGCCAAAAAGTCGAAAGTTTCGAATAGTGCGTTGCGTTCTAACGGTATGAAGGTGCTACCCTTGAAATAGAGTAGAAGCTGAGAGGAAGATAATCTGAAAAAAATAAATATGCTTAAGAATGCAATACAGTATTATTTGAAGATGGGAGCACATTGGATCTGATTCTGTAACTTTAGATTTTGTGGTCAAACACGCTCTGATGACTCTCTGGTTAAAAGTTTCTGCAGATGAAAAAAGGCAGAAAAAGGAAATTCTACATTTTTATTCTGGAAAAATTTTATTCAAAATGTCACTGGAAGGTGAAAAAAAAACAAAGGTTAGGTATGAAGATCTTAGTTCAAATATGGACTCCGAGTAGATGATAAATCAAGATTTTGTGTATTTTGGTCAGAAAAATGTGGTCCACTATTGCACCAGGAGAAGCTCACCAACTCACAAACTGATGAAAGTCATCTATTCACAGTTGAATTAGATGGAGTTGATTCAGTGAATCTCTGTGGTGATTATGATCCCCAAACCAGGAAAAAACCTAACACTCCCATCCTCTTACCGCCCAATCTCCCTTCTAAACTCCTTATGGAAAAGTTAATCCTGTCCAGGGTCAAAGAATCGTCGAAAACTTATCCATACTCCCAAACGAGCAGTTCGGATTCCGCCCTTGTCACAACACCACTCTTCTTGCAGCCAAAATCTGCTGCGACACCTCCCAGGCGTTTAACAGACGCATGAACACGACTCTTCTGCTCCTGGATATGGAGCGCGCCTTCGATAGGGTCTGGCAATCAGGTAACTTCCCGTTACATATCATCTCCCTGTTACAGTCATATATCAGCAGCCGCACTTTCTGCGTTAAACAAGATGATGCTCTATCAAACTCCAAACCCATTCAGGCAAGAGTGCCACAGGGGTCGGCACTTAGTCCGTTGCTGTACTCTCTGTACACAGCGGACTTTCCAAAATTCCAGAATACAAAACTGGCGCTGTACGCAGATGACACTGCTGTTTACACTCAATCTTTCTACACGCAAGCAAAAAAATTTCAACTAGCTCATCACCTTTCTATCCTTCAACCTTATTACGATAAGTGGAAGCTTGGTGTTAATGGACAAAAAACAGAACTCATATGCTTCCATAAAAAGCATACCAATAGCACCATGCCCACCCCACTTATCGCGAATACCATCCCTGTCACTCTGTCCCCAAAAGTCAAATACCTAGGCATCATTTTCGACCAGAGAATTAAATTCCATCACCATGTTTCCCATGCTTTGGCTCGCACCTTTAGTGCGCAGCAAAAACTCTATCCCCTTATAGGTCTTCTATTTCCCAATAACAAACTCCGTATCTACAAACAAGTAATAAGGCCGATGCTTACTTATGGGACCCCTGTCTGGAACATCATATCTAGAACACAGAGGAACCGCCTCCAGTGATTCCACAGAATTCTGAGGGGAGTCCTGTCAGAGTCCAGGTACGCTAGGATAAGGGACATGCATGCGCAAGCATACATTCCCTATATCTCTGACTACCTGAATGATGTCAGTGACAAGTTTTACATATCCCAGAGCCAAGGCTCCCCACTTACACGCAGCCTCACTGCGACTAAATATGACCCAGACAACCCCATAGTACACGGCCCCCCTTACAAGAATTTGCCGATCTACTTTGAACCCCCATAACCCATGGTAAATTCTTGAAATACCTTCAACCTACATTCTCTGGCATATAAACTCCCTCACCTGTATCAGAGTCATCAAATCACTGGACTGGCTAAGATGCAGGGTTGCCGAATCCCTTTAAGTCATACCCGCAAAAGCCCTCAAAGCTCATCCTTTGCAGTTGATTCTACTTTCATTGGACCCCACCGCCGGCAAGGCACAAAGTTTTTTATTTCGTTTTATTTATAAAAATTAATTAAAAGTGGGGTTTTTTCATTTTTCCCCACACAATGAGCGCTGGCGCTCTAGAACCCCAACTCTTCAGGTAGACCACTGTAATGGCCCAATGCTTGCCGTCCATGGTATTTCTCAGCGACCCTAGGGTCATATAAACGACGTGTAAGGACAGCCTGGTAACGTCACGAAGAGTTTCAGAAGCAAGAATAGGAACAGGGGCTTGGTGGTCACAACATCCGACCACTGCTAAAACAGCACGCTAGGCATGACTGAGCGTACAGTGGACTGCGTCCCACTGAGTGTTAATATAAGTCCATGTCCCTAGTATTAAGTTAATGTTGTATGTTTTTAGTTAACCTCCCCTACCTGAAATGTATTACGTATATAATTATTAAAATAAAGAAATTTGAGTTGAGTGAATCTTCAAGCAAGAGATGCAATTAGGCTCCAATACTTGAGAAAATTTCTCATCCGTCAGCACGTTTTTCAAATATCATCTGCTCAGAAAATGAAGAAGCGATCAAGAGTTATTATTCCAACTGTTTTTAAAAGAACTATTTGATGTCCGCATGGCTGCTGGATTACTCTTCCAGAAAACATGGAATGGTGTGGAAAGAGCATCAGAAATTGTTGATGTCAGAACAATGTGTTCCCGATCTCAAAAAAATATATAATCTTAAGACATATTTCTTTTTAAAGAAAATGAGCAATAGTTCTTAGATTATGAGGGTTAGAAGAAGACGCCAACTAGGAACTTTGATTTAGAAAATAAAAAAGATACCTACATTTTCCAAAAAGAAAAAATCTCACCCTTCTTGATCTTCAGTAATAACATCCACACCCAACGTAGCCATTTTTCTAGGCCAATCATAATCGCTTTCAGTAATTTCCACGTTGTAGTCCAAATTGTTGCACATATCTGGACAAGGACACAAATGCCTGGTGGTACTAATATTGTAAATGCTATTGCCAAAGTACTTGTTCATCTTTTCCCTTTCTTCTATAGTGGCGTGCACATCTAAGTTATGTTTCATCAGCAGAAGGGTGTGCTGTGCCAAGGCGTTTTTCACGCACTCGTACTTTCCTGTACCGCAAATTGGCATGTTGGAACTTCCTGAAAAAGTAAGCAAGTTTTTAATATCTATGGCAAATCAATGTTTTTGATTTAAAAAAAAAGTTCTAACTTGGCATGTAGTACTCGACGCATCCACACATATCCATAGTCAAATTCAATAGGCACTCCAACCGACAATTCAGCTGCGAGTACTTCGAAAAGTACTTCAATTGCGCATCTGTTTGAAAAAAGCACTTTCGCTTCCTAATAGGATACTGCGCCACCGACTCTGAAGTGTTAAGCAACTGTGGCGTAATAGCAATACTAACAGATTTCCTCAGAGGAATCCTTATAGAATGGGTGTTTAGTAATGGAAATCTACGAGGACTATGCAGCAGTACTTTATAGCCTTGCAAATGAGTGCAGCCATAATCTAGATCTGTATTGTTAATAGCAAAGCTAACTTCTAGAGAATTTCTGGATCCAGAAAGTAAGGCTCTTCTAGGATAAGCATCTACGCCTGCATGTTGAGCGTATCCGAAATCAGCTGACCAATTTGTAGCCATACGGTCTTGATAGGCATCTGGAGGAGGCTCAATGTTTGCTCTAAGAAATAACTTGTGTGTTAACAAAATTTGGTATATGATGAATATTATACTTACGTCGCTTCAGTAAACATTTGCTTCTTGCTCAGCATATTAAAAGTAACACAAAGTCCACCGTCAGTGTAAATAGGCTGGAAAATTTGCTCGCAGGGATGATCTTCGCCCATGAAATTGCATTTAGTCAAAAAAAATGGAGCACCGTTTTTCAAAAACTCATAAAACCCTTCGTCAATAGTATCGATTTTTGGTATTTTGTGATAGTACATGTTAACGTTGCAAAGTAGCGACATGTACTGGAGCTTTTTCAGTTCGTCTTTGGAAATGCTTTCGTTTAAACTTCTTCTTAAGATAAAGGAATAATTGAAGTGGTCACTGTACACTTGGGTCTCAGGGCATATGGTGACAGCAGGGAAAGTTATATCGAATATATTGACTTGTTCTGAGGCAAAATTGACTATAATGGGGCTTCTTTGCCATTTTTTGAACACTTCGTATACTACAGATATACAAGTGGTTAGGCTGAGTCCAAAAATGATTGTCCAACAAATCCTGCAATAAGTTTTACAATAAATTATAAAAATTGTGTAAAATGATTCTTACTTTTCCAGCAAAGAGCGTTTTTCTCCAATATACTTCAAACCGTGTATGCCAGTATAATCGCAATATTCTCTAAAATAATGCCGCAAATTATTGATAGACTTTTTGTTGCTTTTAATGTCTGCCATGTTGTTATCTTGAATGCTGCAACGATGGAATTCCGTAGAAATTCTATTTCTCGATGACGAATGGTCGTTAATCATTATTATTTGCTTTCAATTTATATATTATTTGTGAAAAGAATGACGCTGTTGCAAAGTCAAACTAGGAAGAGTGTTTTCTTATTGATGAGCTTCGTTACTTTAATAAATTGATTAAATATTGTTGTTTGTATAAGATGAAACTTAAGAAGCCATTTTTTAATTGGTATTTTTCTAATTATAAAGTAATATGCTAGACAGGGTGATACGTCTTAGAGGATTTCTTTCCAGGTGAAATACTTGTTTCAAATTGGAACGAAAAATGTAGTATTGTCTTTGCCTTTAGAGGTAGATAAAAGATGTAAATACAAAAGTTGTACAATAGATAGATAGATTCGTAGTAGTATTGTCTTTGATATTGGCTAAATTTTTAGAATCCTTGGTTAGAAACAAAAATTGAATGTCAGAAATGTGAAATATAGCATGCTTTTAGCTTTTTCCAAATGGAATGCGCTATATTCTTGAAGAGCACAATTTCCCGATTCCAAAACTATATAGTTTGTCTTTATTTGGTTAAGCCGTCTCCAACATATTGGGTTCTAAAAATTTTTAAAATACTATCAGAGAAACCAAGTTCCTCAAATTTTACCTGCAGCTTTCACCTGTACAGTACAAGCAGAATGGTTCACAAAATCAGTAATATGTATTTTTACAATTTTTGGAGCCGAATATATGAGAGATTGCTCAAACAAATATAGATTGGAGGATTCTGCTCTCCAAGAAAATAGAATGAAATATAGGGCATCCCATTTGAAAAAAGCTGGAAGCATGCAAAATTTCACATTTCTGACATTCAAATTTTGTTTCTGACCACTGTTTCTAAAAAGTCAGCCAAAACTGTGCAACTTTTGTATTTGCACCTTTCTTCTACCTGTAAAGGTAAAGGCTGTATGTGGGGTGTCATTATATAAAAAAAACACCCTGTACAAATAAGTGGATTATTACGGAACTTATGGGTGGACCTCTGCGGGACGAGCGCAGCGAGTTCCGCAGCCATCTACTCACCAATATACTGTTGAACTGTTCAAGTTAGACATTCACCTGAAACATGTAGTTTTTAAACTAATGAGAATAACTCACATTTAAGTGAGTCAGGTTAGTATCTTAATTAAACACAATATTGATGAATAAATGGCTGCGGAACTCGCTGCGCTCATCCCGCAGAGGTCCACCCATAAGTTCCGCAACAATTCACTCATTTGTACTTAAATAACTTGTCACATTATGTTACTAGTTTGGTAAAATAACATTACTAATTGCTGTTGAAAGGCAAATTGACAAAAAGTGAATAATCATAATCTTACAAATTTTGACTTTATATAATAAGTTATTGTTCAAGTACAAATAAGTAGATTATTGCGGAACTTATGGGTGGACCTCTGCGGGACGAGCGCAGCGAGTTCCGCAGCCATTTATTCATCAATATTTTGTTTAATTAAGATACTAACCTGACTCGCTGCGCTCGTCCCGCAGCCATCTACTCACCAATATATACTGTTGAACTATTCAAATAAGACACTCACCTAAAACGTGTAGTTTTTGAACTAATGAGAATAACTGACATCTGAGTGAGTCAGGTTAGTACCGCACTTAACATATTATTGAATAGATGACTGCGGAACTCGCTGCGCTCGTCCCGCAGAGGTCCACTCATAAGTTCCGCAACAATCCACTGTAAGTTATTGTTCAAGTACAGAGTGTTTTTTTTATGTAGTGACACCCCACCTACAGCCTTTACCTTTACAAGTAGATGGAAGATAAAAATACTATCAGAGAAACCAAGTACCTACCTCAAATTTTACCTGCAGCTTTCACCTGTATAGGTAGAATGGTTCACAAAATCAGTAGTATGATAGTATTTTTACAATTTTTGGAGCCGAATATATGAGAGACTGTTCAATCAAATATAGACAAACTATATATTTTTGGAATTGGGACATTATGCTCTTCAAGAATATAGAATGAAATATAGAGCATTCTATTTGAAAAAAAATGGCAGTATGCAAAATTTCACATTTATGACATTTAAATTTTGTTTCTGAACATGGTTTCTAAAAATTCAGCCAAAACTGGACAACTTTTGTATTTACACCTTTCTTCTACCTATAAAGGTAAAGGCTGTAGGTTGGGTGTCAATTTATAAAAAACACCCTGTACTTTTATCATTACCATGCAGTGCAGAGTACCACATTCAACCGAAGCAAAATACTCGCATTCAACCTCACTAGATGGCGTTAATGAAACAAACCCAACAGGTACTTCCAAGTACCATCATCAGGTAGACAACCATCGTACCATTGCGGTATGAATTAACAGCTATTTCAACTTTCTTATGCGCGACCAAAAACCAGTTCCTTCGCTCTCGAGGCTATCGAAGTACCCACTTTCAGACCCAAAGTAGTTCCTTGTCGCAAACGCGAATCGTACGACCTGATTTTTTCGGGACTAATTTTCGACGAAAAATGACCCGCGACTGATAATCGTGCATCTTGAATTTGTGAGGTTTTTTTTTTAGTTACTTTGAGGTACTTTCGCAAAAATGCCTTGTTCCGCTGTTACGTTAAGTTTAGCTACTATTACTAGCATTATAGCTGTTGCCCTTTTGGCTATTGCTTTTGCTACAGACAATTGGCTCTATATCGAAGTTAGAAGGACTAATATACAGGTATGGATGAGTAGATTTAGTTATTGTTAAGTCACCAAGGTTAAATTTAAGAGATTTTGCAATACGGACGCGCATCAGCATTTCTGTTTGCATCAGTCACTGAATAATAGGATTTTTCTTCTGTGAATCGCGGCAGCAGATGCGGATTTGCTATGGAAAATGTAAAATTTCAAAGGATTTACCTTTATGTCTGATGTATTTGTTCATTGGTAAAATGTAATTCAGCAACGACCGCAAGGCAGTTCATTGATTTTGGGAATCTTATTCTATGGGAATGAGAACTTTAACAATGAAGATTTAAAAGAAGAAAAGTTGACCCAGGATTCAAAGTTTTTCTAGTCAATCAGAAATTAAGCATCTCCATAGTTGACTATCAATCAAAGAATTGTTTGGAATTGAATAAAGTGAAGTTTTAAGAGATCAAAATTTCAAAAAATAACAGAAAAATATTCTTAATCCCTTACTGCACACCATGCACATAATAGGAAGTCGCAAAATACGTGACTAAAGAATCCAATAAGAACTTGCAAAGAAGGGTCACGTTTTCAAGACAATACAATAATTTCAATTGTTTGTAGTGCCTCTACGGCAACACCTATACAAGGATATTGTCTATTTTTCGATCCACCCTGTATATTTTATAACAGAAAGTCTATTTACGTAACAATTATATCGCATTCTTCCTGGTAGTTAGCGGGCCTCACCTCTTAATTCCTTCAGTGCATACATTAACGAACGTCATTAATATTAATAAGGAAAATCGAGGTACTGGAACTACTTTATTTGATTTTTTTCAAACAACTGATTTGAAATAATATAAATCGACAAGCAGAATACAAAAAAAAAAAATGTTTTTCCTCATACACCTAAAGGAGAAAGCAAAAACAATAAACTTTACAGTGCTCCTCCGTATATGTTTTACAATTATTGTTTTGTTTGATTGGAAATTTAAGTCACACACACACACACTTAGAATAAAGTGTTACAGGGGGCAAGTTAAAACACGGAATGGTAATTATTTTGGTTTGGTCACTTTCTAACGGTTAAATGAACATATTTGCACACCATCGGCTATTATATGGTCTGGTTGGAATTTATAATTTAACACATATTGTGTATCTAATCTGAAATATTTGTACCAATGCAATTATGTTGAACATTCTTGTATAAAGTTCTGGTTTCTAAAAGGCAAATTTGTTAATTTTGGTACAATCAGATAGGTATAAATTTCTCATTCGGGACTCTCCTTATTCACCACAAATGTTCATAAGTTTACTATTATTTTGTCTAAATTTACATACAGTGAAAATTTTTCACAGTTATACCAAGTGAATAAACACTTTTCGTGTTTGTCCCCATGCTCTGAATAACGTTTTATAACAGTATTCGAGTGTGTGTGAACTATAACAACACAACAATCCGGACCCACCATTGAAAAACCCAATGGAACAAGAAACATATCCTATTTGTTGCAAAATTTACATTATCCAATGGACAATCAAACTGTATATGTCACAAGAAAGTACCAATTTTTCAATGCAGTTGCGTGCTCCACTTAAATTGTACGGAATTGTTTGAGTGAAATCAATCTTAAAAGGAGCTTCTCATTTTGTTGAATTGAATTTATTCATAAACTTAATTTATCAGGAACGCCTACAACAAAAAATAATGTGGTAACGAATTGAAAATAAGATAATGATTTTTATAGTTCGTTGAGTAGTGTTTCAAAATTTAAGGATTTGATACTTTAATGGCTTAATAAGTATTTTATACTTTACAGAACATTCAAAAATTGGTTTGAAACATGTGTTTTTCTAATAAAACAACAAAATAGAAGATGCAATTTTTCATGTTAAAGAATTATCTTCATAAGAAGATCCATATAGGTACTTTTCATATAGTATAATACCTGTTTGCTTATCTTTGGTGTGGTTTTTATGGCCACATGTGTTTAATTTACAGGTAGTACCATTTTGGGTTGCTGACCCAGTAAGGTCACACCTGAGCCTCAAGATCAGGTGAAAAATACCGTTGGCGAAGAAAAAAAATTGGGTTTTAACTTTCATTGGCAACCGCTTGTTTGAAAAGAAGAGGGCTTTTAAACTTCTTCCTGTTTGGGTTCAGTAAATATAGGAGAAACATCTGGTATGTATCAAGGGTGGAACATTAAATATTTGAAATTTCATCAAACCATGATAATATACCTAATGTTAGTTTTCTCGTTTTGTGAAGATTATTTTATTTTTTTCTACTAGCAAAAATTGAAAAAAGATGGAAGCATGCAAAATTTCACATTTCTGAGATTCAAATTTTGTTTCTGACCATGGTTTCTAGAAATTCTGCCAAAACTGTACAACTTTTGTATGTACACCTTTCTTCTACCTGTAAAGGTGAAGGCTGTAGGTGGGGTGTCAATATATATAAAAAAACACCCTGTACAAATAAGTGGATTATTCCGGAACTTATGGGTGGACCTCTGTGGGACGAGCGCAGCGAGTTCCGCAGCCATGTACTCACACACTGTTGAACTGTTCAAATAAGACACTCACCTGAAACGTGTGCTTTTCAAACTAATGAGAATAACTTACATTTGAGTGAGTCAGGTTAGTTTCGTAATTAAACAACATTGATGAATAGATGGCTGCGGAACTCGCTTCGCTCGTCCCGCAGAGGTCCACCCAAGTTCCGCAACAATTCACTCATTTGTACTTGAATAACTTATCACATTATATTACTAGTTTGGTAAAGTAACATTATTAATTCCTGTTGAAAGGAAGTTATTGTTCAAGTACAGGGTGTTTTTTTATATATTGACACCCCACCTACATCCTTGACCTTTAGATGAAAGGTATAAATACAAAAGTTGTACAGTATTGGCTAAATTTTCAGAAAATCCATGGTCAGATACAAAACTGTACAACTTTTGTATTTATACCTTTCTTCCACCTGCAAAGGTAAAGGTTGTAGGTGGGGTGTCAACATATAAAAAAACACCCTGTACAAATAAGTGAATTATTGCAAAACTCATGGGTGGACCATCTACTCACCAATATACTGATGAACTATTCGAATAAGACACCCACCTGTAACGTGTAATTTTTGAACTTATGCGAAAAATTCACAACTAAGTGAATCAGGTTAGTATTGTACTTGAGCAGCATTTTGGTGAATAGATGGCTGGGTCCACCCATAAGTTTCGCAACAATCCACTCGTTTGTACTTGAAAAGATTGTCACAATATATTACGATTTTGGTAAAGTAACCTTACTCAATTTCTGTTGAAAGGCGAATTGACAAGAAGTGAATACCTAATCTTACAAATTCTGACTTTATATAATAAGTTAGTATTCAAGTACAAATAAGTGGATTATTGCGGAACTTATGGGTGGACCTCTGCGGGACGAGCGCAGCGAGTTCCGCAGCCATCTACTCACCAATATACTATTGAACTGTTCAAATAAGTCATTCACCTGAAACGTGTACTTTTCAAACTAATGAGAATAACTCACATTTGAGTGAGTCAGGTTAGTTTCGAAATTAAACAACATATTGATAAATAGAGGTCCACCAATAGTTCCGCAACAATTCACTGGTTTCTACTTGAATTACTTGTCACATTATGTTATTAGTTTGGTAAAGTAACAGTACTAATTCCTGTTAAAAGGAAGTTATTGTTCAAGTACAGGGTGTTTTTTTTATATATTGACACCCCGCATCTACAGCCTTCACCTTTACAAGTAGCTGAAAGGTATAAATACAGAAGTTGTACAGTATTGGCTAAATTTTTAGAATCCATGGTCAGAAACAAAACTGTACAACTTTTGTATTTACACCTTTCTTCTACCTGTAAAGGTAAAGGCTGTAGGTGGGGTGTCAATATATATAAAAAAAAACACCCTGCACAAATAAGTGAATTATTCCGAAACTTGTGAGTGGACCGCCATCTACTCACCAATATACTGTTGAACTGTTCAAATAAGACACTCACCTGGAACGTGTACTTTTCAAACTAATGAGAATAACTTACATTTGAGTGAGTCAGGTTAGTTTCGTAAATAAACAACATATTGATGAATAGATGGCTGCGGAACTCGCTGCGCTCATCCCGCAGAGGTCCACGCATAAATTCCGCAACAATTCACTCATTTGCACTTGAATAACTTGTCACATTATATTACTAGTTTGGTAAAGTAATATTATTAATTCCTGTTAAAAGAAGTCAGGTCACACCTGAGTCTCAAGATCAGTTGAAAATATACCGTTGGTTTTTAACTTTCCTTTGCAGTCAACCACTTGTTTCAAACGAAGAGGGTTTTTAAGCTTCTTCCTGTTTGGGTTCAGTAAATATAGGGGAAACATCTGGGATGTATCAAGGGTGGAACATTAAATATTTGAAATTTCATCAAACCATAAATAAACACAACAATATGACAAAGCTAACATTATACTTTTGTCGTTTGGTGAAGATTATTATTTAACTAAACTGGATATTTGAAAATAAATGGAAAGTAAAACCATAAATAATGAAACATAAAAACCGCGATGAGAGTCGAGAGACGAACTTTCCACCAACATTTGCAAACATTGTTGTATATTTTCATTTTCAATGGGAAAATAAGTTATTTAAATTCAAAGTATGAGGTAGTTTACAGGTTTTAAATTATCTGCAATTGTTCGTAAACGCATCCATTAATAACTGAAAAAGAAAACGTTATAGGCCTATATAAACACATGGCGTTTTACTGGTTTTGCCTTTAAAAAAAAAATTGAATTATTGATGATTAGAGTTTTACCATAAATCCCTAACAAATGGACTAGGTACTGTAATTGAACAATATAATGCCTATATTAGAAAAAAAGTCTTTGTGTGTGCAATGATCCAAAAAACTTGAATAGTAGTGCTTTATTAAATAAATTTCACTTTAACTTTTACTGACAAATTACCTTTATTGGGTTTTATATTGTTTATGAAATATTTGTGAAAAATTCATTTGAAATCAAGGCATAAAACATAGGAATATTCGCAAAGATCATTGGGGATGTTATCAGAAAATCCTTAGAATAGATTACAGGCACCATTTCCTGAAACATTTCTTATGGAACAATCCATTAGGATATGAAAATAAAAAGGCATCTGAAATTGTCGTTAAAAGTTTAGTTGAATATTATTTTTAGTTTTAGTCGGTTGGGTTGGCAATTGCATGTAGAAGAAGGTTCTAAGAGCCTATTTTTCACATTTTAACAATACCTATTTTATGCAGTTGGCTTTTGTGAATGTAAATCAGCGAATATCAACCAAAAGAACATCCTCTAAACCCAGACAGCATAACAAGTCTTAAAGACGTTTTTTTTTAGGTCTGCATTACGCCTAAACGTCTAAGGTTTGAAAAAAAAACGTCTATAAGATGTCCTGAATTCACATCCTAAAGACAACTGAGCCACACTATTTGGTATAAGGTATAACAACCAGGCCTGAAAGTGAATAATAGTTTTTGTATTAGAAAGAGATTCAACGACGTCTTCAAGAAATCTCGTTGAAAACGTCTTTAGAATGTCATATAGGTAGTCCTAAAAACGTCTGAAAGTCGTTGGGTTTTGTAACATACGATGTCTTTAAGATGTCCACAAAAATTCAAATACCGATATACGATTTCCGAAAGCATTTTTAAAACAATATCGATGTTTGAACTCATTTTAGAAGGTTCCAAAACGCTCCAGAAACATTTTGAAAATCGCCAGAATCTTAGGATTCAGGTTGAGTTTCATCCAAAATAGTTAAAATCCAAATCAGAATTTTCAGGAGCATTTTGGAACAATTTAGAAACTGCACAGTTATTTTAGAACAACTAGGATTTAATTTAGAATAGGAAACCTTTTAGAACTCTTCTGAACTAATTAAGAACACTTTGGAGCTTCAATATAGAACTCAAAAATCTGTCAGGTCTGGAGTGTTTCTCTACGATGTTTTGGTTCATCGATTCTATATTTGATTTCCTTGATTAAGATTCTTAACATATGAAAAGATTCATTGTTTTATCTCTATCTAGCACATTTGAAACGATAAAGAGAAGAGGAATTGAATGCGCCAAAAACCTACTAGGTTTTCAAAACGAATCGTTTTTTGAATGTATTAATTATCTTTGTCTATCTCATTTGAAATGATAAGGAAAAAAGAAGAATTCTATTTCAGTGACGTCATGTTACCATTTTCATTACGATCTGTCATTTAATAAATAGAATCCTGACGTCAAAATGAATTCACTCAAATATAATTCTATTTATTGTAATCTGGGCCCTAAGGCCTACTTTGATATGTTTCTAATAAAAGACCAGACATATTCGCTACGGAATATATCCATCTGTGTATCTCTATCTAGTGCATTTGAAAGGACAAAGAGAGAGAAAGAATTTGATGCACTATGATGTTTTTGGAATATATTCTTTATCCAGCGTATTTGAAACGATGAACAGAATAAAATTATGTAAAGCCTACTTTGATATTTTTAATAAAGACAAGATATATTCGCTATAAAATGTATTCATCTCTGTCTAGCACACATAAAACGACAAAGAGAAAAATAGTTTGATGCACTTAAAGCCTACTATGATGACTAAACCTTTTTTGGAATGTAGGTATTAACTTATTATCTTTGTCTAACGCACTTGAAATGATAAAGAGAAGAGAGAGCACTAAAATACAGATCACATAAATAGAAATCTATTTCAGTGACGTCATAGTTCTCCCTATCATCTCCATTACGATCTGTCATTTGGAACAGAATCGCTGACATCAAAATGAAGTCACTCTAATATAATTCTATTTATAAGCTTACTTCGATATGTTTCTAATAAAAATAAGTCATATTCGCTATGGAATATATTCATCTCTGTTCAGCATATTTGAAACGACAAAAAGAAGATGAATTTTATGCGCCTAAAGCCTACTTTGATGTTTCTGAAACAGACCAAACATATTTGGCCTGCAATACTTTCATCTCTGTCTAGCATATCTGAAACTATGAAGAATACAGAAATAAATTTGATGTTTTTGGGATGTATTAATTGATTATCTTTGTCTAGCGCATTTGGAATGACAAAGACAGAGAAGAGAAACCACCAATCTAGGCACAGATCACATTTAAAAAAAAATTCAGTGACGTCATGTTGCCTTATCATTTTCATTACGATCTGTTATTTAAAAAAGAATTTTGACGCCAAATTGAAGTCATTCAAATAGAATTCCATTTATTGTCATCTGGGTCCTGAAGACTACTTTGATATGTTTCTAATAAAGACTAAACAGAAAATATTCGTCTCTGTCTAACATATCTGAAACGACAAAGAGAAAACGAACTTTATGCACTTCAAGCCCACTCACTGCTTTGTCCGTATTTTCCTAAGGTATTTTCATTATGATCTGTCATTTCAAATATAAACCTGACGTCAAATTGGAGTCACTCAAAAAAAAAATCCATTTATTGTCATCTAAGCCCTGAGGCCTACTTGTTTCTAATAAAAAGCAGACAGATCATACTTATTCGTCTTTGTCTAACATATTTGAAAAGACAAAGAGAAAACGAATTTTATGCACTTAAATCCTACTTTGATATTTCTGAAACAGACCAAACATATTTGGCCTGCAATATTTTCATCTCTGTCTAGCATATCTGGAACGATGAAGAATACAGGAATAAATTTGATGTTTTCAGGATGTAATAATTTATTCTCTTTGTCTAGCGCATTTGACAAAGAAGGAGAAGAGACACCACCAATCTAGGCACAGCTCACATTAAAAAGAATTTTCAGTGACGTCATGTTGCCTTCATTTCATTACGATCTGGTATTTAAAAAAGAATTTTGACGTCAAATTAAAATGAAATCACTCAAATAGAATTCCATTTATTGCCATCTGGGCCCTGAGGCCTACTTTGATATGTTTCTAATAAAAAGCAGACAGAACATATTCATCTCTGTCTAACATATTTGAAACGACAAAGAGAAAACGAATTTTATGCACTTAAATCCTACTTTGATGTTTCTGAAAAAAACCAAATACTTATATGTTGTCTGGTATATTATATTCATTTCTATCTAGCGTATATGAAACGATGAATACAGCAATAAATTTAATTTTTTCGGAATGTGTTAATTTATTATCTTTGTCTAGCTCATTTGAAACGATAAAGAGAAGACAAGGCACAAGAACTAGGCAAAGAACACATTAAATAGAATCCAATCTATTGTGATCCAAGTTCTATTTGCATGATGCAAGATGCAAACTTCTAGAATGCTCCAGATCTCTTCAAGCTAAGTTAGGAACACTTTAGAACTCCAATAAACTATTTAGAACGTTCCAAAATAGGTTCCAGCAGCATTTTGGAAGGCTTTAGAGTTCAGAACAATTTGAAAACCTCAGAATTATTTCAGATAGCCTAGCGCCTGGGAATAGGCAAGAATTGAAAGTTATAAAATGAGTAATAATAAGGAAATATTAGCAAGAAAATGTTTCTGTTTCAATTCAAATACATACTTGAATTTTTATAAGGTTTTTCTATTCCAGGCTCTTGATAGTCTAGGTATATGTTAAAGCTAAAGTCACATCTGCAACTGGTACCAATACAACAAGAGTACCAATGTAGGTAGTACTCGACACCCAAGTCACGTCAAGGTCGACCGAACATTCCATTCTTTGACCCCGGCAAGGAGTCTTTGGTTAGATGCTTGATGTTTGCCACTTGAAATAAAGTCCTAGACGATATTTGATGGCGAAGAAAATGGAGTCAAACTCAGAAACTTGAAAAATATATAATTTCCATAATAGAAATGTTAAGGAATTTCTCCCATACGATAAGAGTTTTATACAGGGTGCTTCCTTAATTGAATGACTATTATCCAGGGAAGATGAAATGAAATAATCCTTGGATAATTAGGAGTCTTAGTTTAATTCATACTATATAGGTACTGAAAGTAAAACCTTAAGTAATTTTAGTACTCAGTACTTATCATAACTGTATGTCTACATTGAAGACAAATTAACCGCATAATTGTGATTATTTGTAATCCAATACCTGTATGCAAGTACAAGAAATGAATATTGCAAAACCACTTTTGCTTAGCCAATGAATTTTTTTATCAATCGCATATTACATGGACAAGTTGTTTGTGTTCTTACAGCATTGCATCATGTTACATGGGAATTCTATTTTTGTATCTTGTCCCAACAAGAAAAGTAAGATAATAAATAATTGTGTCATTAAAGGATAATAATTGGCATTAGTGAAATGACGATTGCAGTTTTGCCCATCGAATAACCAGGTCGTGAAACCAATTAGAAATGGTTTCGATTTTCGTTTCGGACTATACGGAAATACATAAAGAAACTCAGTGTTGTCGTTTTCGGAAACAAAAAATGTTTTAATTTAATTAGACCGAATTCTTTTGGAGGTCGTTAGAACAATAATTAGCAGAGGCATTTGTATTAGAAAGTGTATTTTATTTTGGTGAAGGTAGCATTTCAAACATATGCAGTTTGATTTATGACAAAATAGTATATAAATTAATTAATCTATAGGATCTCAAGTGGTTTATAATATGGGCATACAAATTGTGGTCCATTTTCTTCTTGATACAAAGATGTTATTCAAAGAAAAAACCGACAGGAAGTAATAAATAGGTATACATAGTTGCTTATTAGCAAGGAAAAGTGGGTTAAAGAAAATACATATTTCATTAGCCGCCATACGCTAAAGACATTTTTTCCGAATCGAACTTCCACATACCAGTCCAAGGTTGGCAAGTTGGATTTTTAGTTTTGAATAATTTTTAGCAATAATCACAGGGTCGTTTATATTAGTATTAATAATTAATTAGGGTTCTTTTTGTTTCAGAATTTCCTAAGCCGGAATTCAGATGTGCAAAGTCAGTCGCTGTTGGATGCGGTCAATTCGAAATACTTTTATTACACGAGGACGAAGGGATTGTTCAGGACGTGCTTCCCTAAAGAACGACCACCGACACGTAAGAATATTTCATGGCTTATGAGTCGTTATTGTTACCTTAACTAACATCAAAAAACCCTCTTAGATATAAGCGGTACACACAAAATATTGAGAAAAAGTAACTTTTCTTGCAGAAAGTAGTCATTGAGAAAGTATGTCACCTCGCATATAGATTCTATAGGTCCATAGAGTCAATTAGAGCCGAAGCACACTAACCTGTGACCTTGTGGATTCAAATTAAAAAAAGGAACAATAATGTAGTATAACATATCCGGGTTCGTTCAGTAAGATTGAACGGTGAGAATTTTTATTACCTTTAAACAACAAATCTTCTGAAAAACGAAATGAAAAACCAATAGGACCTACGTTGTGGAAACTTACTCAATTTTACTTACTGAACATGCGCCCGACATAGCAAATATTAGGGAAATTTAAGAGAGGTTGTGATATGTGAAAGAAACGAAAAATTTGTAAAACGTCTACTTTATTATTAAAGTAAATCGTACCGTTTTCATCCTGGAACTAACGAAGGGAGAGAGCACGGCAGAGAAACCCTCGATCTAACATTCCTCAAAAATCGAAACATACTGTGTCACACAAAACATTCAATCAACACTACCTATATTCAATACTGAAGAGTTTTTGGTTAGTTAGCCAGTTTCGCAGCAGGTACTGAGGTCCTATACGGGAAGCTACTCAGCTATAGTTGTTTTTGAGGCCATATCTCTAGACTGATTATTTCAATTTGTTAGGATATTCTCTCGTCAGGGTAGGGAAATGTTAGTAAATTCAACAAGGCCCTAATACACGCTCTAAATCCAAAAATCGAAATCCTAGCACAAAGAGACAGCACATAATTTTTCTAGTTTTTAATTTACTCTTTATCGGTGTTGTTTACAGCATGAAACGATTTTTGTTAAATACATGAACAATGCACATGTTATAAAAAGATGTTATGAACAAACAAAAAAACATAAAAATGGATGAAAGAAGAACTCTAAAACGAATGGAAGAATAAAGAATTCTGTATGTTTTGTCCTTTGAACCCTAGGGTTAAAATTTTGTGGAAAAAAAAAACATTTTGGTGCCGAATAAGTACTATTATTACCAATAATTGTCAGTCCTGATGGTAAAATAGAGTATTTTTAAAATGTGGCACCATTGCCGGAATTTCACTGTAATTTCACACTATTGTATCATGGCAAATGTGCACTGTTGAAGTGTTTAGCGCGGATCTTAGGACTTTGAAGAATGAAAAGTGTGACACATTTAATAACGATATTTCTTTTTTGTAATGAAATCCGCAAGTCGATTCTCGGATGAGACTTTCTCAACTTTTATTCAGCCATCTAATACCAGCTCACGAACAAAGAAATGTCTGATGTGAATGTGTTTGGTTCCTCGATGGAACTTAGGATTCTGGGTCAATTTAATTGCAGTTTCGTTGTCAACTTTCAGCACTGGAATTGACTTTAAGATTCTTTGCTTTAAGTCCAGAATTTCATCAAACAAGTGTTTTATCCACCCAATTTGCTTAGCAGCTTCGCTAGCCGCCACTATTTCAGCTTCAGTCGTTTAATATGGCTGACACTGATGTCTGTTTTTGGCTTACCCACGTGATTGCCGCATCAGCAAACATAAATCTCCTGAAGTTGGGCGTCCTGTGGTTTCATCGCCACCATGGTCTGTGTCACTAAAAGCTATACTTTCTTTTGGTACTCCTGGTTTAGGTTTATACAGAGTATCCATGAAACACCCGGTATACTTTACAAAAATATATAATTTTTTTTCAATTCTCTCGAAATTGATTCGTAAAATTGCACTTTGTTGAAGAGTGTACCATCGACTGGCCTCTCGCTATCTTTTCCCATTTTCGAGATATTTACCTGCAAAATGTGTCAGTTTATCTAAGGACACCCTGTATATAAAACCAATCTCAATGGTGCCTTACAGGTAACGTAAAATTCTCTTAACTCTTCCAACGTCTCTGTATGAGGGATTCTCGAGTTTCCGGGAATCAACACTAACTGCATAGGCAATGTCTGGTCTAGTGTTTGTCATCAAAAACATTAAGGCCCCAAGAGCCTCTCTATATGGAAATGTAGTTGTAGTGTTCAATTCGTCCTCCCTAATAATTGTACACCTTCTTTTACCTTTACCATAAGCGTCAATACAGGTTTACAGTTTTGCATTCCAAAGCGGTGAAGACTTTTTCTTGTATAAGCTGTTTGGCTAACTTTTACTGCAACATTTTCGGTTCTTCTAATTTCTGAACCTAAAAAATAAGAAGCTGGTTTAATAGTAATTCTTAATTATCTTCGTAAACTTTCTAAGAAGGGATCCTTTAATATGTCGTTGGTTGACGTCAGGAGTCCATCTTCTACATATAATACTAGTAGAAGCGTGTCTTCTTCAACTTTCTTTATAAATAGAATAGAGTAGAATAGAACTTTATTTTTCGATTTTTCACAAATGCGAAACTATTGTATACCCAGCAGGTTTAAATCTCGTCAGAAACAGAAACATTTCAAAATAAAAAACTTCACAAATAAAGACATATTGTCATAGGTACACCCAGTACACCACACTAATTATACATAAAAAAACAGACTTAAAGTTTGACTAGAACTTGAGATCTGTTGGCAGAAAAGTGCATGAACACTTATCCAAGTGACCTACCTAACCTCTGGATCTTCAAAATACTGATTGACTGTGCAATAGGCCCTTGTGCTCGAAAATTTTTCAAGTTTTTTTTTCAGCTTTTGAGGTAGGTTTCTAAAAGTAACAGGTAGTTTATTCCAGATCTTCAGGATACTGTACTTGACACTCCTCTGGATGAATGTAAAGCGTGCAATGTTTGATGTAAGGTTTTGTTTATTCCTTGTTGAGTAGTTATGATTTATTTTTGAGTTCTCAAATAGATCTTGATTTTCAAGAATAAATGATACGCCTTCCAAGATGTATAGATTATAGATAGTGTGTACATTATTATCTATAAAGTGTTCCCTGCAACTGTTCCTGTTTTTTAGTTAAAGTACGGCTCTTAGGCATCTTTTTTGTAGTTTTAAGATCCTTGCAGCATCACTTGAGTTTCCCTAGAAAACAATCCCATAGGTACCGTATTCTGGACTGCACAAAAGCATGGTAAGATGAGAGCGACACAACCGAGCCAACATTATCTCTCAGCATTCTAAGAGCATACACATATCTGCTCAATGATCCAGGCAGTTTTACAATGTGCTCTGTCCAGTTTAGCTTTCCATCTAGCACCATACCCAGATATTCCTGTTATACTAGGTCCTCCCCTCCATATCCTACACTTAAATTTTCTTGCTTTGGTTTGAAATGTATTAGTTGGGTCTTTTTGACATTAAGGAGCAAGTTATTATCTTTTTACCACAAGTATTGAGATACTTTTTGCAACTTCTTTTTTTACTTGTGTCCAGGAGGTGGCGCCAAAAACATGCAAGAGTTTTCGCAAGGCGGATATTTTCAAAATAGGTCGTACTTTAGTGCTAGAATGCTAGTGTACAGTCAGCACTCACAGTTCCGGGACAGCTGGCTCTGGGACGCGGGCAAAGTTGTAATTTTAAGAAGCATCTAAACTGTTTTCTCAAAGCTCAAAATTTATAGAAATTTTGCACATTATCTGTTTGAAGGTCACAGATAACGTATGTAAATCGTCAGACGTCTAGTTCGTTGCAAAAAGGGGGTCAGACGTCCTCAAAGTTTTTATTTTATGGCATTTTCTTCAATGTCCTGTCAAAATATATTTTTGCAGGTATTTGACAAATATATTTGAAGAAAATGCCATAAAATAAAAACTTTGAGGACGTCTGACCCCCTTTTTGCAACGAACTAGACGTCTGACGATTTACATACGTTATCTGTGACCTTCAAACAGATAATGTGCAAAATTTCTATAAATTTTGAGCTTTAAGAAAACAGTTTAGATGCTTCTTAAAATTACAACTTTGCCAGCGTCCCAGAGCCAGCTGTCCCGGAACTGTGAGTGCTGACTGTACACTATCATTCTAGCACTAAAGTACGACCTATTTTGAAAATATCCGCCTTGCGAAAACTCTTGCATGTTTTTGACGCCAGCTCCCCAACTATAATGATTGTATCGTCCGCAAACATAACGACCTCACTTTTCACTATGTTTTCAATTTCATTTGTGTATAGAATATAGAGTAAAGGTCCCAGGAGGAGTAATTTGATCTTATGTTCATTCCAGTGTCATCCAGTTCCTCGACACATTGTTGCCTGTCTGTCAAGTACGACACAAAAAGTTTTGAGTTCAGTTTCCTTCACCCCAAGTAGTTCCAGTTTTTTTATCAACCTACCATGGCATACGCTGTCAAACGCTTTTGAGAGATCCAGACAAACAGCCACAGTGGTTTGTTTGTTGGTTAAAGATTCAAAGATTTTATTAGGAGCCTGATAAGTATACTGCTCTTATTGTATTCTTTCCCTTTCTAAATCCATTCTGTTTGCCTGACAGGACCCTCTGTTGCTTATGGCCATTTCCACCAAGCAAAAGTTAAGTTTACAGGGTGTTTTTTTATATATTGACACCCCACCTACAGCCTTTACCTTAACAGGTAGATGAAAGGTGTAAATATAAAAGTGGTACAGTATTGGCTAAATTTTTAAAATCCATGGTCAGAAACAAAAATTAAATGTCAGAAATGTGAAATGTTGTATGCTTTCAGCTTTTTCCCTATATTTGGTTCTATATTCTTGAAGAGCACAATTTCGCGATTCCAAAACCATATAGTTTGTCTATATTTGGTTGAGCCGTCTCCACCATATTTGGTTCTAAAAATTTAAAAAATACTATCAGAGAAACCAAGTGAAGTAGGTACCTCAAATTTTACCTGCAGCATTCACCTGTACATGTAGAATGGTTCACAAAATCAGTAGTAGGATAGTTTTTTACAATTTTTGGAGCCGAATAAATGAGAGACTGCACAATCAAATATAGATAAACTATATATTTCTGGAATCGGGACATTGTGCTCTTCAAGAATATAGAATAAAATATAGAGCATCCCATTTGAAAAAAGTTGGAAGCATGCAAAATTTCACATTTCTGACATTTAAATTTTATTTCTGACCATGGTTTCTAAAAATTCAACCAAAACTGTACAACTTTTGTACTTACACCTTTCTTCTACCTGTAAAGGTAAAGGCTGTGGGTGGGGTGTTAATATATAAAAAGCACCCTGTACAAATAAGTGGATCATTGCGGAACGTATGGGTGGACCGCTGCCATCTACTCATCTATATACTGTTGAATTGTTCAAGTAAGACATTCACCTAAAACGTGTAGTTTTTGAACTAATGAGAAAAACTCACAACTGAGAGAATCAAGTTAGTATTGTACTTGAGCAACATATTGGTGAATAGATGGCTGCGGAACTCGCTGCGCTCGTCCCGCAGAGGTCTTCCCATAAGTTCCGCAACAATCCACTCGTTTGTACTTGAATAACTTGTCACAATATGTTACTAGTTTGATAAAGCAACATTACTAATTATTCCTGTTAAAAGGCAAATTGACAAAAAGTGGATAATCTTACAAATTCTGACTTTATATAATAAGTTATTGTTCAAGTATAAATAAGTGGATTGATGCGCAACTTATGGGTGGACCTCTGCGGAACGAGCGCAGCGAGTTCCGCAGCCATCTACTCACCAATATACTGTTGAACTGTTCAAGTAAGACATTCACCTGGAACGTCTAGTTTTTGAACTCATGAGAAAAACTCACAACTGAGAGAATCAAGTTAGTATTGTATTTGAACATCATATTGGTGAATAGATGGCTGCGCTCGTCCCGCAGAGGTCCACCCATAAGTTCCGCAACAATTCACTCGTTTGTACTTGAATAACTTGTCATGTTATGTTACTAGTTTGGTAAAGTAACGTTACTAATTCCTGTTAAAAGGCAAATTGTCAAAAAGTGGATAATCTTACAATTTCTGACTTTATATCGGGTCTTCAAAAAAAAAAAAATCAAAGATTGTTTTGATTACGAAAACGTATGTCGCATTATTGTTTCTTTATTGGTCAGGATTTTTGACATGACATTTTGACATTTAAGTTCATTGACAAAATTGAAGAAAAATATTGCCAAGGCATACGTTCAAAACACCATAGCAATCTTTGATTGGTTTTTTTTTTTTTGAAGACCCGATATAATAAGTGATTGTTCAAGTATAAATAAGTGGATTGATGCGCAACTTATGGGTGGACCTCTGCGGAACGAGCGCAGCGAGTTCCGCAGCCATCTACTCACCAATATACCGTTTAACTGTTTAAGTAAGACATTCACCTGAAACGTCTAGTTTTTGAATTTATGAGAAAAACTCATAACTGAGAGAATCAAGTTAGTATTGTACTTGAACAACATATTGGTGAAAAGATGGCTGCGGAACTCGCTGCGCTCGTCCCGCAGCGGTCCACCCATAAGTTCCGCAACAATTCACTTCTTTGTACTTGAATAACTTGTCACATTATGTTTCTAGTTTGGTAAAGTAACATTACTAATTCCTGTTAAAAGGCAAATTGTCGAAAAATGGATAATCTTACAAATTCTGACTTGATATAATAAGTTATTGTTAAAGTCAAGTACGGGATGTTTTTTTTTTAATATATATATTGACACCCCACCTACAGCCTTTACCTTCACAGGTAGATGAAAGGTACAAATACAAAAGTTGTACAGTATTGACTAAATTTTTAGAATCCATGGTCAGAAACAAAACCCAAATGTCAGAAATGTGAAATGTTGCATGCGTTCAGCTTTTTTCAAGTGGGATACCCTACATTTGGTTCTTTATTCTTGAAGAGTACATTTTCCCGATTCCAAAACTATATAGTTTGCTTATATTTGGTTGAGCCGTCTCCAACATATTTGGTGATTGCGCATGATGATCACTTGATCCCGTTACTACTACTTGATTATTTTTATATTCTTGAGAATTTATGAATATATTATTGTCAATACAGGATCGTTTGTCTTTATTCAATATTGTCTGTTCATAGGTACTTACATGAGGCTAAGTCAAGAGATCTAGGACTTTGTCCCTTTTATGACATTCAGGTTTTTACAAAGTTTCAGTTTCCCTTAAAAAATTTACATCGAAATCCCCTCCCCATACTACCACATACCCTTTGTATTTTTCATGCACTTTTCCAACCAAAACCCCAAATAGAAAATGATGAAGACCCCCAGACATGACCTATAAATGCAAAAAATTACCATTTTCTTAGTCTTACTGATAGCTGTACATATTTTAGGTTGTTGTCATTGAAAGTATCTAGTTCTTCACATCTTCTCGAGCATATATTGATACGCCACCTCTATTCTTGTATCTTCTAGAAAATGTTGCTACCAATTTATATCCTTCGATCTTATCTTGCAGATACTTTCAACCAGTGCTCGGATATGCATACTATTGCTGGTTTATTACTTGAGGTCTCAAAGAAAGCTTCTAGATTTTCTAGAGCTGTTTTGATGCCTCTTATATTTTGGTGAAAAAATAAAGAAGCAAGGGTTTGATCTTCTAAAACCAAGAACTATGTTATCGGTAAAGCTTCGATTCCAACATCTAGGTGCTTGTTTTAGTCCATTAAAAACTATGTTACTTCCATCTTCATACCCCTCTGGTTGCTTCATATAGACTTATTTATTCAATTTTTCATAGAGAAATGCAGTACATACATCGAACTGAGTGAGTGTCATATTTTTGCTAGCAGCAATACTAAGGAGTAACCTAATTGTTCCTTCTTTGGCTACAGGACTGTAAATCTGGTAGTATAATCCCCACCTTTTCTTTGTGATTAACCTTTGATAACTAGCCGAGCTTTATGTACTTGTCAATATAGACCCATCTGGATTGGTTCTCACTTTATACACCCACTTACATGTTACTGCTTTCTTTCCTGGTGGTAACATCTTAACCTCCCAAATACAATTTTCTTGTAGTGACTGTACTGCTTTATCCATTGCCAAAATCCAATTGTCTTTATCATTGCAAGTAGTAGCATCTTTGTAGCTTAGTGGCTCCTGAGGTTCGTTTATTTCTGCAGCAACATAACATAGTCCTCAAAACGAGTTTGTTTAGCTCTCTTCTCTCTCTCCTCAGTCGTTTTCTTATTTCATGTTGATCTTCTAAGTCTTCTTGTACTGTTCTATGCTCATTTTCTGTCGGATCTGTCATTTCCAGACTTGTATCTTTTCGGTCTGGTATCTCTAAATGTGGATTATTTTGATCTCGATCAGGTATTCTTCTAAGAACTGTTCTTCTTGTTCTATTTGATCTTTGGGTTCATTATTTGATGAACTCTGTTACTCTTCTTCACCTATAACAAGTTTCATTCGTTTATAAGCAATGAAAAATGAAACAAATCATTAGGATCAAAGTCACCCTCTTTTATACCTGTGGGACTGAAACTAGTAATCTCGCGATATTTTTTACTTCGAGGTTGATCTCATAGTAACCGTGTATGAAAACGGCACCAAATTTGGCACAATTAGAATTATTTGTAGTTTTTATTTATTTCTTTAAAGGCCGCCATTTTCGGGTCAAATCAATTCTTTGAAGCTCTGTACTAGACCTGCAGAGCGGCATGCTTTCTACAAGAAAAGTCACTTTTTTTGCATACCGCTTGTACTATCTATAGAGGCAGAGCCTAAATAATTTACAGGAAGAATGAGGAGAGGAAACGTATCACTACAGCAAAGGAAACTACTCCAAAAACCCATACCAAACCATCGTTTCACTTTCAGTTTTAAAGGCTGCTTTTGTGCTGGAGTTTCACTTTTGAAGCTGATTTTGTGCTGGGATTGTGTTGCCTGTTTTTGAGTTACATTGCTATATATAACTGCTTAATAACACTCTATTGACCTGAATGACTTGATTGTCGCCCTTATTTGGATCTGTTTTCTCTTGTCTTGTTCATCTGTTCTAAATGTTTTTCATAGGGAATATTTTACATAAGTATTCCTTGTTCTTTCCTCTTCAATGTTGCCGTAAAATTGTTCAAGAAACTCAAACCGGCAACTACATTTGTACATAATCCGTGCAGTCATTAAAAAATCCCTAAGACTCATTACTCAACACTCTAATTATCGGTTTTACTAAACAAATACCCAATCTAACCACGAACAAAAGAGAAAAACTAGCCAATTAAAATTCGCAGGTAGATCAAGATCAACCATTTACTGTGATTTTAACTGTGCTTTTTTCCACTGATGAGGTAATTGTTTTTGGGCTTCGTTTTGCAATTAAAGATTTTGAAATTCATTCACGAATTATCCGTCACAGAGGGAGGGTCTTCAAGGCAGAAGTGGGTCGAATGGTGTTTAATTTTTACACAATCGACATTTTTGCATACAATCCTGGCATAAGAGAAATTTTCCCACTAAAACACTTAAATATATCGTTTAGTACCGATATAAAACTACATTATTGTATGTATATTTTTTTTTTTTTAGTAAAACTTTACTTGAGTCCGGTGGAAACCTATTGTACTAACGTTAACTATTACATTCCCGATGAAAATAATGAAACCAAAGATTTCACCGAAGATGCCTGGACCAGATTACGTAAGTGATAAGTATTCATGGAATTTGAAAAATTTATAACTTTTTTTTAGATATGGGCAGATCGATGATAGCTCTTTTCATTCTCTCCTTTTTGGCTGTCTTTGCAGCTTTCTGTACAGGAGTTACAGGTTGCTGGAAAAGATCTCCTGGAAATGTGACTGCAACAGCTATGCTCATGTTACTTGCATGTAAGTTAATATGTTTTAGTAGTAATAGTAATATGTTGATATTGAAACATTTTAACGAGTAGTTTTGGGAGAAAAAAAATATGATTTATAGCGGTCATTTGTTTGCAAAGGTATAATGAGTGACCATTAATCTATGTGTTCCATTCCAACACTGTTAATGACGATAGCCATAAGGAAGTGACAAAATAATGAACTATAAAACCTTTCTATTTCTGTTAATTCTAACGCAAACTCTCATTATTGTTAATAAAGATAAGGAACTGTAATTTCAATATTACGCATACTAACAATAATCAACAAAATAAGAAGCTTGAAAATTTCTCTATTATGTACGATTATTTCTCATCGTTTAACAAGAATTACCGCTTCAGTAAACTGCCTTCGATAAACTCTTTACTCGAATTACCCGAGTAATTTAATCAAATTGATGGCAAGTTCTTGGATTTCCACAAGGGCAACGAAAATATACATGTTGAAAATGTAGAGTAGATCGCCGGTAATAATAAGTAATCTTTCAACCATCATGGGTAAAAAATTATAGTATAATTAGTCGATTATCTCTCTTCGAACAGCAGCAGGCTTATAGCATGGGTAATTAATGTTGGAAATAATCTACCATTAATAAGAAATTGCAGCAGAGCCAACAGGAAGCTGTTAAATGTAAATCGAGATTTATTTTTTTTGTAAAAGTTACAGTGAGAAATTGAAATTTATTATTTGTGTTTGGAGGACTGTGTTCCATTTTTATCAACTACTTACGTTACTATCGCTATTTGTTGCAAATTATTATTAATAGTTAGCTTTTTTTTGCTTAATTAGGTCTACTCAGTGCAGGCGCAATGGGGCTTTGGCACGGAGTCGAATATTTTGAAAAAGAAAAACAAGTCGGTGAAGAATTTTATCAACAATGGAGCACCGTAAGTAAAAGGGAATATTGTATTTTCAGAATTTAAACGTGCTTTTGAAATTCGAACAAAACTATAGTCAAAAAGAAATAATTTTGTTTACAAAAGCATGTTTAAATGACTAATTTCCTAATATTGCTTCATAATCCATATATTATTATACATTCATCATTTAGTTACTTCAAGACAACACAACAACGTACTACGATTGGGGCTTTGCCCTAGGCTGGCTCGGCGTATTCTCTTGTTTAGGAGGCTCGCTGTTGTTCTTCTTCGGTTCGTGTTGCCTGCAAGCTGAAAAAGACCGAGAACAAATGGACAACGTCCAGTATATCGTACCAGGTTAGAGCAACCGTAAATCAACCAGGAAGCAGCCGCTTAATGCTAACAACCAAAAATAACATGTATCATCCAAAAAAAGCTAGATTAACTTTTTAATTTTCGGTCAGAGCCCAGGGGTGCGATTTTCGAAACCATTCGAGTACATTTCGTACACGAAATTTGACTGACAGCAATGTAAATTAAATGGGGAGCAGTCAAATTTCGTGTACGAAATGTACGCGAATGGTTTCGAAAATCGCACCCCAGGGTTGAACTCAATTACAGTGATTTTAAGCTTTGTATTTATGACATAGGTGTAAGATCAAGGCCTAATGATAATTATTTTCTCCAATATTCCATCATCAACTAATAATGTCTATAGCCTATATAAATATCCATTCCTGCACACTAGTGGACTTCCGATTGGTTCTATGGCCAATCTTTACTGGACAGTCTGGATCTAGTTTTTTCCTGAGTGCCCATTGTCTACCTGATCTGGCGACTTTGACTGGGAAAAGTTGAATTTCTGATTCAGGTCAGTTGTTCTGTTACCCGCTTGTGAAGACCAGTGGAGGATAAAATTTCAGGTTTTCCAGGATTCTGGGATCCTTCCTGCTACTTTCATCTACAATAATCTACATCATTTCACTCGTGACATGATATTCTCTCGAAGTTGTCTACAGTTTCCTGAGTTGTTTCTGATGGCATCTGCACTTACTAATGTCAACGTTTACTTATGTGGTTTCTTGGTGAATCTTTCTTCAACTTCAACAACATAAACTATTTTCTTGGCTGTATTTCCTGGGATGAGCTGCTTTTGAACAAGTCTGTGAATGAGATGATTAACATTCTTTTATAGTTTTTTATATGAAGCCTTTGATCTCTTTGTACCTGTGAAAGAACAGCCAGTGGAAGGTTTCCCAAATGGTTCTCATAGGATTTGAAGGCACTCATTATACGGAAAAAAATCTTACACAAAAAATATAAACAAAGTCGCCTACCTTCGGATTATCTGATTCTTAAATCCGGTGACTCATCAGATGTGACTAATTATCGCCCAATTTGCATCATCAGTGCAATTCCTAAAATCTTTGAGAATATTGTCACACAATTTTTATCATCATCTTTAAGCAGCGAAATTATATCCGAGCAGTTTGGCTTCAAAAAGAGGTCATCAACGGAAATTAATCTTCTCACATACTCTGACTTTCTGGCAGGCGCCTCGGAGAGGAGTGAGGAGGTACATACTATATACACCGACTTCTCCAAGGCCTTTGACAGTGTCAATTATTTAGTCCTGATCAAAAAACTAGAGAGATTTGGTATCTCTGGCTCTCTGCTTCAATGGGTGGAAGGCTATCTTACAGGAAGGACACAGATAGATCATATTAGACACTTTAACCTGAATTTCAAACGTATCCGTATCCGCATCGATCTGCGCATGCGCAGAATATATACGGTGGTTTCGTTGCGTTGCATCGTATCCGTATCTGAAAACGTATCTCGATCATTTGACACTATTGAGAGATCTCGTTATTAAGCCCATTTTACAATGGACGTAACGTAACCGTAAAGACATAACATAAGTCCTAAGCATGCGCACATTAGATTTATTCGCGTCAAATATGTCACCGGAAACACAACGCTTTGTAAAGTAAATCATGCTACACGTCTCGTTCGGCGGCGGTGACAATGATCTCGGTAGCACCGATGAGGTGAAGGTGTACAAGGACAAGGGTATCGACGAAGATGAGAAACGGTCCTCGGAGAACATCACCGAGATTAAGAGCAGCCTCATCGATCTCACCGAATCGGAGGTGAATCGATCAGCTTCAATTTGGTGCAAAAATCGGACGAGTAGTTTAGGAACCACGGGTGTAGCCATATTTTTGCAACAACACTGAATTTGCTGTAGCAACAAGTCGTTAGTAGGTCTGGGGCAAAATTCAAATAAATTATTCTTGTAGCAACACTTCATTTGTATAACAGCACAAGATCAAAATATGTAGCAACACTAAGGGAAAAAAATTGTAGCAACACGTCTTGAGTAAAAGTGTAGCAACATTTGTTTTAGTGTAGCAACAGGTCATTTGCGGGATAGTTTTCGCTCAGGGCAAGAGTTTGTTGAATTTCTTATGTAGCAACACGAAAAAAAAGTGTAGCAACACAATTGTTGGGAGTAGTTTTTGGTAAGTTTACAGTAACATTTCAATGAACTTAGCAACACGAGCCAAAGTGTAGCAACAAGTACTTTAGGGGCTAGTTCGTTTTAATGGGTTTTATGAAATTTTATGTAGCAACACTTAGGTATATGAAAATGTATTGAATTCGTTCGTCGCAGCATTTGGTAAAAAAATTTAGTTTCCTGTCGGGTTTGGAATTCGAATTTTGCATTTTCCCGGCTTTTGATTGGTTTGGGAGTTTGAATTTTGATTATTCCCGGCTTTTGATTGGTTTATTTTTGAATTTTTCCGGTTTTTCATTGGTTCAAGAATTCAATTTTTAATCACTGATTGGCTTAGAAATTCAAATTTTGAATATTCCCGGCTCTTGATTGGCTTCCAAAGCCAGTTTTTGAATTTTCCCAATTCTTAATTGGGTTCAAAATTCAAATTTTAAACATTCCCGGCTCATGATTGGTTTAAAAATTAAATTTTTGATTGTTTCCGTCTCTTGATTGGCTTCAAATTTTAAATATTCCCGGCTCTTGATTGGTTTAGAAGTTCAAATTTTAAATATTCCCGGCTCTTGATTTGCTTCCAAAGTCAATTTTTGAATTTTCCCGGCTCTTAATTGGGTTTAAAATTCAAATTTTGATTATTCCTGGCTCTTGCTTGGCTTTGAAATTCAAATTTTGAATATTTTTGGCTCTTGATTGGCTTTCAAAATCAATTTTTGAATTTTCCCAACTCTTATTGATTGGGTTCAAGATTTAAACTTTGAAAATTCCTGGCTCTTGATTGGTTCAGAAATTCAATTTTTGAATATTCCCGGCTCATGATTGGTTTAGCAATTGAATTTTTAATTTTTCCCGGCTTTTGATTGGCTTTAAAATTCAAATTTTGAATATTCCTGGCTCTTGATTGGCTTCCAAAATCAATTTTTCAATTTTCCCGACTCTTATTGATTGGGTACAAGATTCAATTTTGAAAATATTCCTGGCGCTTGATTAGTTCTGAAATTTAAATTTTGAATATTACTGGCTCATGATTGGTTTAGAAATTGAATTTTTGATTATTGCCAGCTTTTGATTGGCTTCAAATTTTGAATATTCCCGGCTCTTGATTGGCTTCGAAAATCAATTTTTGAATTTTCCCGACTCATATTGATTGGGTTCAAGATTCAATTTTGAATATTCCTGGTTCTTGATTGGTTCTGAAATTTAAATTTTGAATATTCCCGGCTCATGATTGATTAAGAAATTGAATTTTTGATTATTCCCAGCTTTTGATTGGCTTCAAATTTTCAATATTTCCGACTCTTGATTGGCTAAGAAATTCAAATTTTAAACCTGATCAAGAGCCGAGAATAATCAAAATTTGTATTTTAAACTCAATCAAGAGCCGGGAAAATTTAAAAATTGACTTTGGAAGTCAATCAAGAACTAAGAATATTTAAAATTTGAATTTCTAAGCCAATCAAGAGTCGAGAATATCCAAAATATGAAGCCAATCAAGAGCCGAGAAAATTCAAAAATTAACTTTGAAAGCCAATCAAGAGCCGGGAATATTCAAAATTTGAATTTCTAAGCCAATCAAGAGCCAGGAATAATCAATGTCTGAATTTTGAACTCAATCAGGAGCTGGAAAAATTTAAAAATTGATTTTGGAATCCAATCAAGAGCCGGGAATATTTAAAATTTGAATTTTTAAGCCAATCAAGAGCCGGGAATATTCAAAATTTAAAGCCAATCAAAAGTCAGGAATAATCAAAAATTAAATTTCTAAACCAATCATGAGTTGGGATTATCCAAAATTTGAATTTCAGAGCCAATCAAGAGCCAGAAATAATCAGAATTTGAATTTTAAACCCCATCAGGAGCCGGGAAAATTCAAAAATTGAATTTCAGAGCCAATCACAAGAGCCGGGAACAATCAAAATTTGAATTTTTAAGCCAACCAAAAGCCGGGAATAATCAAAAATTCAATTTGTCAACCAATCATGAGCAAGGAATAATCAAAATTTGAATTTCAGAGCCAATCAAGAACCAGGAATAATCAAAATTCGAATTTTTAACCCAATCAAGAGCCGGGAAAATTGAAAAACTGATTTTGGAAGCCAATGGGAAAAATATTTAAAATTTGAATTTCTAAGCCAATCAAGAGCCGAGAATAATCAAAATTTGAAGCTAATCATGAGCCGGGAATAATCGAAAATTAAAGCCCATTTTACAATGGACGTAACGTAACCGTAAGGACGTAACATAAGTACTAAGCATGCGCACATCAGATTTATTTGCGTCAGAAATCTCACCGGAAACGCAATGTAAGACATAACCAACTAGGTTTGAAGAAAAAACAGTCTCAAAATTTTTTTAATTTGTATACTACCGGTTTCGAAAAAAAGACTAAAATTGAAAAGTACCAAATGAGCACAGGTTTCATTATCTTCACTAAATCAATCAACCTCTAAAGATGAAGCGTTGAGACTTCGAAACCGGTAGTATACAAATTAAAGAATTTTTGGGATTTTCAAGACTGTTTTTTCTTCAAACCTATCATCTACCCAAAAAATGGACCAGATATACAATCCTTACATAACCAACTCTCATCATCTTCTTTTACGTTGCGTTTGCGGCAACATATTTGATGCAAATAAATCTAATGTGCGCATGCTCAGGACTTATGTTATGTCTTTATGGTTACGTTACGTCCATTGTAAAATGGGCTTGATACGCGCATGCTTAGGACTTATGTTACGTATTTACGGTTACGTTACGTCCATTGTAAAATGGGCTTAAGGATACGATCGTTTACGTAATGTATGGCCATACTTAAAAGAACTTTTAGGCGGTCAGAGTAAGTCGATGCGTTTACGGATACGGATACGTAGAAAAATTTAGGATTTGCTTAAAGTGTCTATCAACAACTTTACCTCTCCCCAGATCTTGGTGCTATCAGGTGTTCCTCAAGTCTCGCATTTAGGCCCACTGCTCTTCAACCTGTTCATCAATGACATATATTCTTGTTTCCTACACTCTCCATTTCTTCTTTTTGCCGATGACTTGAAATTATTTTTGAAAATCGTTACTCCTGATGACTGCCATGCACTGAAAGAGAATCTTAACAGGTTAATTCAGTGGTGTCAAACTAATGGCATGGATCTTAATGTTACGTAGTGTAAAGTTATGAAATTTCACAGGTCTAGAAGTTTCAATGACTGCATATATCACATCAATGGAACGCCATTGGACTGCGTGAATCAGATCAGGGATTTGGGCGTTTTGCTGAGCTCCAATCTTGATTTCTCTTCACACATCGATGCCATAGTTAACAAAGCACTTCGGATGCTTGGGTTTGTGGAGCGTAGTACAAGGGAATTTGCGAATATCAACTTCATCAAAATGTTATACTTCTCATTTGTTTATACACATCTTGAGTATGCTGCTTCTGCTTGGAGTCCAAACTATGACTGTCATATTCATCGACTTGAAGACGTAACACCCGCACATGTCAAACTTTTCATCTTGAATTTCAGAGAACCAAGTATGCATATTACTCTTTCATTCCTCGTACCGTCAGACTGTGTAATGAGTTGGGAGACATTGATTTTTTTGGGCCCTATGAACCCTTTGCGAGAACTGTCACCCTCAAGAAAAAATCACAGAACCCATGCATAGTATAGAGAAAATCAAAAAGATGAAATCTGAATGAAATTTCCTTGCCGCCCATGTAACTTCACCCAAATTATTTTTTTCTTAACCAAATTTATCGATCAACGAGGATATATACATTGTAATTGAGTTCAATACTGAATCAAGGCTCTGTATGTTCCAGGTGCTGCGTGATCAAACGCGAATTTTCTACGATTGGGGATACATGTTGGCCTGGGCGGGAGTCGGTTGGGCCTTGACGGCAGCCATTCTGTTTTCTGGAGCGGCGATTTGCCTACGCGGCGAGAGAGAACGCGAGGAGGCTATTAACATGCAATATCTAATGCCTGGTAACTCTCATCAAACGCAACCAATTGATTTTGGAACAAGTTTTCATTCCTGTAACAGAACAGAGTCCAAATTCTTATTGGAACTGAACCTGTCCCAGAGTCAGACATCAACTAAAGTTGATTTCTTCAGTCCAACTTCCATAGATTTCCTGTCAGCTTCTCTATAATCCTATTTTAGATGTTTGTTTTCGAGAAATTGCTCGTTTGTCCATTATTTTTTTCAATGCAGTTGACTTTTACTGCTTTAACAAATCAACAGGGAATCTTGTTCCAGAATCAAATGGCTCGCAAAAAAAAGGTGATGGCACTAGTTTTTAAGGACCAATCTACACCCGCCTAGGCTCTATATACTTATTTATTTGCTTTACATACAGGAATTTTTCAACACATACAATTTACAGTAATGTAGTTCCTTTTTGTAAAACATTAATATGTTTTTGTAATAATACCTACTAACACTGTTTAGTGGCTTAGGTAAAAAAGATTACCCTGAAAGAATATACCTACAGCACTGTAAATATAAAGATACAATTTTCTTCTTGGGTAATATTTTTTACTACAGGTGAACCACAAATCGTATAAATTCAAAAATCATTCCATATTTTAACACCTAAATCATCAAATTTATTCATGGGCCATGAGTAAATTTGAGTCATGGCTTTGTTTGCTTGCTTTATTATATGTATTAAGATTTAATTAATATGTATATAATTGATGTTTACCATACCTATAAAATGATCCACCTTCATTCAAGTGAAAAACAAACCTTTGTCCTTGCTCAGAGGGAGTCAGAGGTTAATAACAAGCTTGAGACGAGACTTAAATAACAACTATGAGAAACAAGCGTATGAACCTCTTGACTCAGAATGTAGAAATGCTGGAGTGACATACTTCATGGCTTGTTTTTCACTTAAATGTTCTCTTATTCAACTACCTAATGATATTTATTTTCTCTTTAGTTTATCCACAAAAACAGCAATACGCTTATGCAGGATATCCGGTGCCTCCTCAACAGTATTCGGGTCCTTATTATACCACAGGATCGGCAGCGTATGGGCCCTATAACTACTGAAGTCGGGATAACATAAATTATCCAAGCAGGAATAGAGAAAAAACCGTGTTTATTTTGTAGGCCTTTCTTAAGAGACAACGAAGTATTTTTTAATAATTTGTACAGTGCCTTTTTTTGTTTATTATGAAGCAATACAACAATTAGAATACTGCGGTAGTAATTTATTTAGTTAATTTTTTTTTCGGACTGATGCTCAATTAAAAATAAATTTTTGAATCTCTAATTTCATAGATCTGTAAATTTATTTACTGGATTTTCTTCTTGACACATCATGTAACATTAATTTTAAGTAAATTGTAAATTTTTCTAGTATTTTTAAGTAAGTAATAAGATCATATCCATATCAAGTAGATTAAATTTAAGACTTTTTGACTTTTTGAGCCTAATTTGTAATTGTCTTTCGCCATCTGGCCACAATACACGATTTAACGGAATGAAATATCACTTTTAACTGTGATAGAAAAATAAAAGTTGACTTAAATAAACAAATTATTATTTTTTAGGGCCGATTTATTCACCTTCTGATAAACTGTCAGGTACCTATGCAATCTGCTAACGCAGCCTGTTATCCGCTGACCAACAGAATTATAGAATGTATCTTGCGGATAGTTACCAGCAAGTGTTCCTGAAGATGAATAAACCAGGCCTTAGTATTTTTACCAGAAAAATGAATTATCTTTATTATTCGCTTAAGATTTTTTAACCAAGTTTATATTATTTTTTGTATTTTTTAAGTATCTTGTGTACCTCCCTAAGTTATTTTACTTTTTATTTTAATGACTAATCCAACCCGTATTTTTAAATATAACAGTTTACAAATATTGTTTTATTTTCATGTATTTTCATGTAACTTCCAGTTTCTCATAAACAAAATACAGGGTGTACCATTTAAAACGAAACAGGTTGAATATCTGATGCCACATTTATTAAAAAAAAAAAAACGCTCCTACACCTAATTTGATTTTCAAAGGGGGAAGTCGAGGGGGAAGTTTTCTGCAACTCACTTCAACTTTAACTCTCTAGGCGGGGTGGGACCAACCCTTACTATTTCAAATGGAAGAAGGGGTTGAATGATACCTCTTTTAAAAGAGCGTTCAATTCTCTTTCATTTGAAAGAAAATTGAACGCTCCTTTAAAACAGGTATCACTCGAGCCTCTGTTTCATTTAAGTGTTGGTCCCAATCCTTGAGGGTTAAGTTAGTGCTAAAAATGTTTCAAACACTCACACAATCAAATTACGTGTACGAGCGATTTTTTGAAAAATAAAAGTGACATCAGATATTTAGCCTGTTTCCTCTCAAATGATATACCCTATATATTGGGTTTACTTACTTCTCGCTTCTTGCAACTTTGAAGAACAGATATTATTGTTGAATTTCTTTTTTGACTTTCTTAAGAACCATTTCGGATTTTCAAATTAAATAATCGCCTCAAAAATATTACACAAAACTTTATTGAAAAGAAAAACATCATTTAAAAAAAAAAAAAGAAACAATCCTTAAAAAATAAAACTCCAGCACTCTCATAACTTATAAAAAAATCAATCAATCCAAAATATAATACTATGTGAAGATTTTTTCCCAACCAAATTGGCAATATTCTCAAACATTTCCCTGCCCCCTTTTGAAATTCTCAAAAAATCTCTAACATGCATCAACTTATAATCATAAACCACCTTAATAGAGTCGATTTCCTTTGGGTCGTTACAAGCATTTGTGTCGATTGCGTCAATGTCCTCATTCAACCGTGAATATTTACTGGCATCCAACTTTTCCAGACATTTGCTTATAGGAACCCAAACATAAGTCTCAGGACAAGCAAGATAGGAAGGATTCAGATTTCCTTTATAGCGCATTTTAGGACAAGAATGAATATAAAATCCCATGTAGTAGTATTTTAAATCCGGGATTTTCTTGGCGAGGTTTTGTACAAGCTGAATCTCCCTAAATGAATCCACAATTATTGTGATATTTATTTTATTTCTATATCAATAAACTTACCTTAGAGATCCATAAGTTCCAAGACTTAAATCTCTATAATCAGGATCATAAAAAAAATATACAGAGCTGACACAACCTGGCAATATATCAATCACTCCTACTGCAATAAGTTTGTCATCTAGCCAGTATTGTTGGTGAAATGACCCATAGCCAGGTCCTTCTATGCCATTTGGAAATGGTTTAGACTAGAAGAAAATTGAGTTTATTTCAAGAAAATATATGAGTAGTTTTCAGTCAGTTAGCTATATTGTCTACCCTAATTTTTAGTTAAAATATTAATTAAAATTGATTTTTCTTCTCAAAATAAATGTAGTTGATATAAAATATTCCACAACTTGCAGAGCAAAAGAATACCTTTAGAGGTGTGCTGACTAAAAAACTCCGATATTCATTGTGGCTGCACTCGTCGCTTTTCTCATTATGAACCATCATTTGGTATTTTTTATATAACTGGGCACTCTGAAGGAAATAGTCACTATTTGAAGAAACAGGTTCTAGTACCATCTAAAGAAACATTGATTAAATATAATTCTGTTGCTCCAATAAATAGTTATTCTTTTACTCTGCGTAAATGGCCATACATAAGTCTACCTTTAACGGTGAGGTAACTAAAAATCTTGTAAAACCACTCATTGTCACGCTTCCAGGACTATTATTGTGTACAATTGTTTGATATTTTGAGTACAAGTTGAACTCTATGTCCTTTACTTGTTCCCACTCTGCACTGGAAGTACTTGTAAGGATTAATTTAAGCTGCACAAAAAAAAAAGAATAACTATTTATTTTCATACTTGCATTAGTTATTTAAAATAACTAATTATTCTTACTTTAAGTTTGTGTTTCGAGTTGGCAGGAATTTCCTCTAAAAATTGACTCAGCGATTTTTGGTTGTTTGAATGTGATGTGGGTTCCAATGTTTGTCCTTTTTGCATTAGTTTTTCCTTTTTTCTTTCTAAGCGTATCAGTTTAGCTTTTTTGCAAGGCGGCTTGTTAGGATCAGGTCCAAGACTATCTTTTGAGGATTTTTGAACTGACTTCAATACACTATTAGGGACGTCTTGAATATTTTCACTGCTATTGCCAGGTTGTGATTGAAGGATTAAGGATTCTCTTGGTGTGTCTTTTGTGATCATTTTACAGTCACTATTTTGTGTGATGGTAATAGATTTGCTTAAGTTTATTGCACTATGCTTGTTGTATCCTAAAGATTTAATAAAAGATTAGACTAATAAATACATAATTGGTATAACATACCAGGTATTTCGCTAGAGGTTTCTTCTTCATTATCTTGAGAATTAGGAGGGGTGTTTTTATTAAATACCCCATCTTTGAGGAATTTGTTGAATTTTTTGATAATTTTTTTATGGGATTTGTTAAGGGTGAATTCTGTGGCGTCACACTTGATTGTGTATTGTGGACAGCAAGTCTTATCCATGGTGGGTTTGTAACAGTACCTGCCTGATCTTCTCCAACCACGGTCAATTAAATCTTTATAATCTTCCACTGTTAATTGCTCAGTGAACATACCTAAATATTTGTTAATTTTTGTTTCAAAATAGGCATAATAAGATTGTTCAAAGGCAAATTACTTAGCGAGAGTTTTTGAGCAATTTTACCTTACAAGAGTTTTAATATCTATGAAGTTGGTCTTCTGCCTTTTGGTTTTAAGATTAAGCCTCCTAGTCTATTTTATCCAAGTCGGTATCTTGCTATCTTCAAAACAAGGACAGATAAGTTTTTTTAATTTTTTTTTTTGTGAAAAAATGCTTCCATTTACAACAAATTGAACCTCGAATTCAACATCAGCAAATTCAATCTAGTGTTTTGCAAGTCTAGGAAACTAATTCCAAGTTAAGGTCTTTTATATAAATCTTGAAGACATTTGATTAGATTAAGCAAATTGCAAGGGGCAAACCACGTAGGAATTCTTTGCCAAAAATATGGGGAATTTAGAAGAATTTGTGAAAAATTCAGAGGAATTTGAAGGAACTCATCGGAATTTATGAGAGTTTGGGGAATTTATAGGGAATTTGGAGGAATTTATGGGGAATTTGGAAGAATTTGTGAGGAATTTATGAGGGATTTAAAGGAAATTGTAGGGTCACGACGTCACTGAGGTTCACATTCTTATTATAAGAAATAGTAATAAATGGAAATTAAAAAAAAAAAACTAGTTTTGTGTTGGACGTTGGATATTCATTTTTATTAAAGAAATTCTCCCAAAATTTCACTTCATGATTCAAGGTCCAAATTAAAAAATTCAAAAGAATAATGAATATAGTTTTTGTAGGTTGATCCTTGGAATTTTTCATGTTATTTCCCACTGGAAAAATTTGAAATTTTGCGAAAATGAGCTTCTCACCTTCCTTTTAAGATGCAAAAAGATTCAAAATTTTCCCTTCACTAGCTTTCCAGGAAAACTTTGAAATATGTGAGACTGTATTTTCAATTAAGTAAGTAATTCAGTTATGGTAAGTTGATTTTCAAGATTCCTCATGTTGTAATTTTCTACTGGAAAAATTTGAAATTCTGAGAAAATGAGCTTCTCACCTTCCTCTTTACATACAAAAAGTTTCAAATTACTACCTTCACTAATTTCCCAGGAAAACTTTGAAATGTGTGAGACTGTATTTTCAATTAATTCAGTTATTGTAGGTTGATTTCCAATATTCCTCTAGTTGTTATTTTCCACTGAAAAAAATTGAAATTTTGGGAAAATAAGCTTTTCACCTTTCTCTTTACATGCAAAAAGTTTAAAAATTTTGCCTTCACTAGTTTTCTAGGAAAACTTTGGAATGCGTAAGACTGTATTAACAAATAATTGAGTTTTTGTAGGTTGATTTCCAAGATTTTTCATGTTGCTGTTTTCTACTGGAAAAATTTGAAATTTCCGGAAAATTAACTTCTCACCTTCCTCTTTACATGCAAAAAATTTCAATATTTTTCCTTCACTAGTTATCCAGACAAACTTTGAAATATGTAAGACTGTATTTTGAATTAATTCAGTTATTGTAGGTTGATTTCCAAAATTCCTCATGTTGTAATTTTCTACAGGAAAAATTTGGAATTCTAGGAAAATGAGCTTTTAACCTTCTTCTTTACATGCAAAAAGTTTCAAATTTCTCCTTTCACTAATGTTCCAAGAAAACTTTGAAATGTGTGAGACTGTATTTTCAATTAATTCAGTTATTGTAGGTTGATTTCCAATATTCCTCTAGTTGTTATTTTCCACTGAAAAAAATTGAAATTCTAGGAAAATGAGCTTTTAATCTTCTTCTTTACATGCAAAAAGTTTCAAATTTCTCCCTTTACTAATGTTCCAAGAAAACTTTGAAATGTGTGAGACTGTATTTTCAATTAATTCAGTTATTGTAGGTTGATTTCCAAGATTCCTCATGTTGTAATTTTCTAAGGAAAAAATTTGAAATTCTGGGAAAATGAGCTTCTAACCTTCTTCTTTACATGCAAAAAGTTTCAAATTTCTCCTTTCACTAATTTTCCAAGAAAACTTTGAAATGTGTGAGACTTCATTTTCAACTAATTCAGTTTTTGTAAATTGATTTCATGTTACTGTTTTCCACTGGAAAATTTTGAAATTTTGGGAAAATGAGCTTCTCACCTTCCTCTTTACATACAAAAAGTTTCAAAATTTTCTCTTCATTAGTTTTCCAGGAAAACTTTGCAATGTGTGAGACTGTATTTTTAATGAATTCAATTATTGTAGGTTGATTTCCAAGATTTTTCATGTTGCTGTTTTCCACTGGAAAAATTTGAAATTTTGGGAAAATGAGCTTCTCACCTTCCTCTTTACACGCAAACAATTTCAAAATTTCTCCTTCACTAGTTTTCCAGGAAAACTTTGAAATGTGTGAGACTGTATTATGAATTAATTCAGTTATTGTAGGTTGATTTCCAAGATTCCTCATGTTGTTATTTTCTACTGGAAAAATTTGAATTGAATCGAATAATTGGATAATTTAAAAACATAATAAAAGTTAACATTTATTAGCTAGTTCTGACACTGTTTCAGAAGATCGGATAAACTTTAAAAGCGCATTGATTATGATTTCAGAAGAGTTAAATACAAAATCTCCTTAAAAATGACCCTAAGTGCAAAGGAACTTCAAGTTTTTTGAAGTTGATACAAGTTTATCTGTATCCAAATCCGATGAAGTATCCTAGCATCATATTATGGAAAAAAGGCTGAACGTTGGATCTAAGCCTAAAGTTTAAAGTATCTCAAGCTTTGTTGGATATTTCGAAAAGTTCGGAGGTGTTCTCGTCCGTTCTAGAATGTTTCTGAAATTCTAATTTGATTCTAAAGTGTTTTGTAGCGTTTTACAATGGTGCTGCAAGTTCCAATTTGTTTCGAACAAATGCAGGAGGATTAAAAATTGAATTGAGAATCTTGTTGAAGCTTATCAAAATTCTAAATTTATTTTAAAGTGCTCTAGAGCGTCTCAGAATGCCTAAAAATATTCCATTTGGCACCAGCGCATTCTGAAGCTTTTCAAACTGCTTTATGAAATTTTTAAAATGCTTTATGAAATTTTCAATTGCTTTTTTGCTCAATGCTCTCAAAGCGCCGGAATGTTCTACAAGGTTCTTGTCTGTTCTAGAATCTTTCTGAAATTCTGAATTGGTTCTAAAGTGTTCTGCTCGGTGTTCTGTAACGTTTTACAATGTTTATAAAGATTCTAATTTGTCTCAAATAAATGCAGGAGGTTTGAAAATTGAATTGAAAGGCTTCTGAAGCTTGTAGAAGTTCTTAATTGCCCTAGAGCGTCTTGAAATGCTTAAAAATGTTCTAACTTGCACTCTTTGATACATCTTCAGTTATCTGTTCGAAGATGTTATCATAAATCTCTGAAATGTCCTTATGCACTCTTTGATAAATCTTTAGTTATCTGTTCGAAGATGTTATAGGTAGGTACATAAAAATAGATATGTATACATGAAAAACACAAATATCCACCAAAAACATCAAAAATCCAATTCTCTATTCCCTGGTTCAAACTTAGGACTACTTCTGATTTTAATTCTCATAAATAGTTTAAGTCATAAAACACTCAAAAGTATCATTAGTGAGGGGCAGTTGATTGCAAATTATTTATATTTGAAAATATTGAGTGAGTATGGGACTGTTACCATTTTTAAAGAAAGAGTGATCTGGATGAGGTGGGTGGTTGGAGCTAGGGTTGCCAGGAATCACGCATTAGGCGTGATTGTCATGATTTTTTAATGGTTGTCACACATCACGCCTGAGTATGCGCGTGACACGCTTTTTCATAATTTCATGTAAACGCTTTCTAAATAATTTATTAATTAGTTAAAAATAGATTTGCCTCAGACCTTAATATACAGGGTGTTTGTTACATCGATAGGAATATTTCAATAAGTGATAGTTGAGGCTATTTGGAAGCTGTGTGACCATATTTACCCTGATGAAAAGTGGTTTGTTGGCCGTTTTTTGAGATATTGCCATTTTTAGATATTTTGAATCCATGTATTTCAATACATAACTTGGGCTACATATTTTTTGTATCAATCATTCTGTTTTTTAACATTGGGAAATTTCCGAGAATATTCGCCGATAAAAAATGGAAACGTTCCCCTGAATGAGAATAGGTATTCCCGGAAACTTTCAATCAAAAACTCTCAAAAGAATATTTCCGAGAACTTTCGAGAATATTTCCAAGAATTTTCCAGAAGAATTGTATAAAAGTGCGAGATTATTGCGAATACAAGGTCTCAGTGACGTCATTTAAAGGACATCGCACACATCTTATGGGTTTTTGGGGACTGGTCGATTTTTTTAAAAATTTGGTATGTTGTAGTACTAGTGAAAATAAGTATTTTTCATTATTGCGCAAAATCTCTAACTATACAGGGTGACCCAGTAAAGTGGGTCCGAAAATCATTGTCAAGCCTTTCATTTATTGATGTTGGCACGCATTGCAAGCTACATATTTCGCAAATAAATAGTCTAGATAAGCCTAATATATTATACAGGGTGGCTAACCTTACGTATTCTTTTAGAAATACTGCACTATTTTTAGTAATAGTGTTACGAAAAAGGTCGTGCTGGAATTAATTTGCCCGTAACTTTTCCAATTTTTTCTGATTTTAGAAAGACCCAAATTATACTCGTAAGATTACAAAGACATGTTGGATGGACATTTGAAATCTGTGTTTAATACAGAATGTTGTGACTAGTGCAAAATATTGAAAATGCCCTACATGAAAGGATTCAAAGAGAAAACCTCCAACTTAGGGGTGGTGGGGTGGGCCTTAAGTCGATTTACATGAAAATTATATTAATTTTTCTATTCCCACTGTTGAGTATTCATGAACTAAAACTTTCCGAATATATCTTAATATTTTCGGGGTTCACACAAGATAAGTAAGCAGAGATTTTCTGTTTATATCATTTTTGTTCTCCCCTGGGCTGGATGGAGGGTATCCAGTATTGGGCACATACTGCACATGCAAAGTTATCGCGTTGTTAGGTACTTTAGCTACGCTCGACATGAGAACAATGTGAAGTATCCATCAAATACGTTACTTATATTAGGGCCGGTTTATCAATAGCGAGTCATTTCCGGGTTGATTATAACTCCAGGGTAAACGTTTCTCCCTCCACAGCGAGTTAGCTATAACTTTTGGTGTAACCTTGGGTTAAATTGGCTCACTGTTGATGATATTGCGGGTTTAGCGATTTATGGATTTATGGATTTACCCTTTGAGATAACCTGATGATTCGTGATCGTTATTTGTCAATTTTGTGGTAATATTTTTTTTTTTTTCAAAATAGAAATATATGGATTGATTGATGAAGATGAAGATTTCTACAATTTCGTAGGAAAAACGCCTCATATAATCCGCCAAAGGATTAATCCTCTCGAGAAATACGATGACTAGGATTTCTCTACAAAGGCTTAAAAGTTCATGTCTGACCTCGTGCACCCTATATTTCGCTTATATTATAGCTTGATTATTATTATTTTTTCTAATTCAAGGAAGTTTTTTCCTCTTGCGATATATTTCTTCTCCATGACTATTGACTACACACACTGCATTAACCACGCTCTTCAAAAATTAACAAATTGTAATGAAAAAACGGTGCGCCAAAAAGAATACTCGAACTTATCATTAACTTAACAACAAACTCCAAAAAGTTTTGTGAATGGGCTAATTTGACGATCGACCCATGCGTGACTGCTTTCGACCAATCAAAAATATGTTAGGATCACCATTCTGGTAAACAATAATGCTACCAACTATTGCTTAACCCAGTGTTTATTAACTCCACCTACAGTGGATGCTTGAGAAACACAATCCCCAGTTAACTTGCAAGGTTGAAATTAACACCAGGTTAGTTAACCCCTAGAGTTACTCGCAATTGAGGAACCGCCCCTTAATTTAGATGTATTTGGTGTATCCAAGACCCTAATCGAATGAAAAGTACTACTTTTATCACGTTCAACCATCTCGAATTTTATCACATTTTTAATTTTTTTAGATTTCATGACATCCCTGTGATATAGGCTTTATTTTGATACCACATTTTTTTGAATCGGACAAAAATTAAAAAAGTTACAGCTAAATAAAATCCAGCGCAACCTTTTTGGTAACACTATTTCTAAAAATAGGGCAGGATTTCTAAAAAAATATGCAAGCTCAGCTACCCTGTATAGTATATTAGGCTTATCTGACTATTTATTTGCGAAATCGAAAACAAAAATCTCGATATTTAGCTTGTAGGGTGCGCTAATACCGATAATAGAAAGGCTTGGTTTATGATTTTCGAACCTACTTTACTGGGTCGCCCTGTATAGTTAGAGATTTTGCGCAATGATGAAAAATACTTATTTTCAGTAGTACTACAACATACCAAATTTTAAAAAAAGTCGACCGGTCCCCGAAAACCCATAAGATGTGTGCGATGTCCTTTATGTGGATGACTTAGCCCAGTCCAACTGCCTTCACGGAAATGCTGATCGAATTTACCCGATTACCAGCTGAGTACCTACAGTTTGTCTTTTTTTTTAAATAATCTTCATTGAAGAAAGATAAGAAATAAAGAGCTGAGAGATTGGGTTAGTTAGAGATTGGGTTAATCGGATCAGCTTTTCCTTTAAAGCCTTGTTCAACCGTCCATAAAAGTGTTTTTATTACATAGTTTAATTTTTAGCTGATCTTACAGAAAAAAATAGGTGTTTTTCTTGGTTTATAGTTTATAGTTAGTACACTACAATAATAGGTTAATAAAGCCCACTACGATTTGTCTGATTTAGCTATAAATTAAAAAAAAGAACAATATTTCCTTAAGTTCCTTATATTCCCGGAAAGTTTCCCAGAATGTTCGAGGCTTTTGAATGTTTCGGGAATTTTACATCAGTACCCCAACTGAAGGTAACCGCAAATTCCTTGTGCGTGGAATAGAAATAAAAAAATCCTCCCGTCGTTTTCACGCTTTTCCCTCTAGTAAATCTGGCAACCTTAGTTGGAGCAATGAAAGTATGATCAAGACAAATACAAAAAAGTGCACTACTTTCCTCAGATTTTTCAGACATCCGATGATTCAGTTTGTAACTGGGTTTGTAAAGCACATTTGAAGATATGATATGAGAAAACTCATTTTCATTTTAACCTACTATTTCTTAGCCATAAACAGGAGCTACAACCCAGCAGAAGGTGGGTACTTAGGTGTAGGGAGACAGGTGATTTGCACCAACCCAATGCTACTTTTAAATTAATCCAGTCCATTTAAAGACTTGTTTTACTCAACTTTCTTACATCACTAAACGGACCTTACCTAGTACCTACTAGAAATGATACCCAAAATAGAAAATACTACAAAATTCACAACCCAAAAACAGGTAGGTACTTATAGATTAAAAAAGTAATTTGCCTTTTGCTCTAAAAGTAGATTTTTAAAGTTTGAGTTTACCATAAGATATACTTCCAGCGGGATTTTTGCAATAACCGCACCTGTGCCGTTCGCGGTCAGGACACCATTGGGCTATACTCGATTCTGTGAGGTCCACACTCATATTGCTTGGAAAAATATTAAATTTGAAGCAACAATAGTCAAAATAATTATTAATTTGTTTAATAAGAAAGAACAATAATGAACAAAGGCAATCAGCTGTTTTGTTGACAGTGACGTCAGCGACATATGTCACAACCTAAGCGAGATACCTTCGAAAAACTTTATCTATCCCTTTCTTTCACATACTTGAAGCAAAAGCTGGAAATACTTCATTGATTATTCAAACAAAACATAAAAAAAATTTAAATAAATAATCATTTTATTTATTATATAATTGTTTTAGTTTAAAAAGTAATAATTCAGTGATTTTATTGACTTGTCGTTGGGTTCGATGGATTGTAGCCGATTCTGTTGTGTATTTCCGTTTTCGTTTTGGGGCCACCGGTCTCAAAGAAAACCGAGCAACTCTTCGAGATGCACTTTTCCAACTTTTCTTGTCTCACCTTAAAAATTCTCATAAAGGTACGGCTTTTATTAATTAAACAGTTATAATACCTTTCTGCGCTGTTGTTCGAACTCAATTATATCGTCCATAGTCAATTCGATCGCTGTAGGAGGTCTTCGAATCATTTTGGGGCTTTGTTTTGTTGCTCTTTAGTGTTTATTAGGTTAGGTTATGTGAATAATACTATTTTATATATATCTCTCTTGGTTGCATTGATTGAATGGTATGGCGATTTGTAATAAATGATTTCGTTAAGGGTATGTCTATCTCTTGATAAATTCAAAATATAGAAAGAGATGGCTATTGCACCAACGCAATCTAAGAGGAAAATTTCTGCCCTCTACTAGTGAATAAGTGAATTATTTTATTCTGTACCCTTTCTATCAGCATGTAAAGGACAAAGATAAAGACTACTCGAACGAAAGCACTATATTTTTCAAACAAAAATAATTTGAAAAAGATAACTTGAATTGTTTCTATATAAAAATATAATAAATTATTGCAAATAATTCTGCCGATAAACATAATTATTGTTGCATAAATCCGATAATAAATTCAAATTCTTTATCAAATATCACACAACCCTGACGAAACAACGACCCCACGCGAATGTTTAACTTTTAGGAGCAAAAGGTCAATGAAATTGGATAATTTCTAGATTAAAATGACGTCTTTTACGAAGAATTTTCATAAGATACGCACAGAAACTGAGTTTTTAAGGTTTCTTCCCAAAAAAATTACAGGTGCCTGCGTTATCTTGTGTCAAAATTCAAATTATGTTTTCCCGCCTTGCCATCACGTGTAAACACCTGTTGATAGAAGTGGTAAGGAATTTATTTCTAAATTTTTAAAATTTTTGATATAACTGGACTTAATAACAGCAATTGCAACACATTTATTGTCATTTATTAGTTGCTTTTGCCTGGCAGCAAATAACTATTGGGTAAGAATAGTTATTGTATAAAATAATTTGACCTCTTTTGAAAATGCGTTATTGATAGGTTATCACTGGATTGTATTTTTTTCTTATATATTTAATCTTCTTAATATTACTTCATTAGTATGATAATAGTAGTAGTTTGCATTATACCTATTTGAATAGGAGCCACCTATTATAGTGATTAACATATTTCAAATTTAAACAGGTAAAACAAGTAATTTAATTAATTTTTAACCTTTTTTTATAAGTTGTCATCTATGTAATTTTTTTTTTGGATAGAAATTTTAGTTAAAATTGTAGCCAACATGAAGATAGTCTGGAGATTGTGTATGGTACAAGTAACTATTTTATTTAATGTTTGTTTAAGTTGCATCAGAACTATATCATTGCTTATTTTTGTGCTAGATTACAATTTTATACTCTTTTATTGAAATATTATTGTTAGGATGTAGGTTTTTCTTGTCTGAAGCTGGTTTTGGCTTGTATTTGGTTTAAATTTGAGCACAGAAACCCATATTTGAAGCAGTGTTGGCAAGGGGTTAAGCTGGATTTATAGTGTCAGTATCAGTCTGTTTCTGCAGAAATCACAAACCAGTCAGAGTGAATTTCATTGGTTGAAACTAGTTTTCTGACTGTTTTCAACCAATGAAATTCGCTCTGAGTGGTTTGTGATTTTTGCAGAAACAGACCTATTAAAACACGGCCGATCGTAAAGCCATTTATAGTTCACTTAACAAACTTATCAGTTATACTTAAGAAATGGTTATTTTCATATCTGTTCTTAAGTTTTGAGTTTTAAGTTACTGTTACTGTTACTGCTACTGACACTATAAATCCAGCTTTAGTCATAACATATTTGTTTGTGTATACAAGAGATATTTTTTTGCAAAAAGATATCCACAGATTACCCTGGATCCCCTAAGGTTTCTTCAGATTTCCTCAAATTTCTCAGGATTTCGCTAGATCTCTCTAATTTTCCATAGAATACCAGTGAGAAGACAACTTCTGAGGCTCGTTCTGAGGTCTTCTCCTTAACACAACATTCTTCTCTCTAGATCTTTTAATTTCCTGGAAATATTAAAGCTGCATTTATTACAATATGAGGTATAATATTTTTATTTCAGTGAAAAACCTGGTAACATGATATCCTCTTGAATACTTCCTTCCCAATCAATAGAAAATTAAATTTTGAACGCGCACAGGGTTTCACCGATGTTTTCACCCCCGTTTTCACCCATTAAGATTTTCCTCAGATTTCCCCAGATATCCTTCACATCTCCCATAGATCTCCTCAGATTTTCCTGAATCTCTCCCTGATTTCGTTCAGATTCTCCCGAGGGGTTTTTCAGCTAACAAAATTTGTACACCGACTAACAGTACTAACTGAGATATTTCCATGTATTAACAGATATTTCTATGTACAGGGTGGGCCAATTTGGACACTTTCTTATGGAAACACCCTTTAATTTTGGAGATAGAAAAAAATGAACCCCCCACTCTGAGGCTCAAATTTCATGAAATTTTGATTGGTGCAAACCGCATTTTGATCTCTTCAACCGTTTAGCCGCTAGAGGGCGATTCTCGATTTCTAGCAATACTGTGAAACCTTCATAACTTTTTTATTTATGAAAATAATTCATTTCGGTAAAGACTTTCTGGAAGCACTTTTATAAGTGGAATTCAGTGACGTTCTCAGCCTTTTTCTATTTGGCTCCGATTCCGAGGTATTGACCAAAATCCGATTTTTTTCAATAGGACATCCTATATATTAATAGCTCATTGAAAAGTTCTGCTTTTGCTGATTTCAATGATATAAAATTCGATAGGTTTATCTCCAACGATTTCCGAGAAAAAAATTATTTCGATTTTTGTCATAAGACACAATGTGTTGGAAAAGGACTTTATATCTGTAAGGAAAACGAGAAAGGTCTCTTTCTAACACATTGTTTCTTATGACAAAAACAGAAATAATTTTTTTTTTCTCGAAAACTGTTAGGGATAAATCTATCGAACTTTACATCATTGAAATCAGCAAAAGCAGAGCTTTCCAATAAGCTATTAATATATAGGGTGTTCTATTGAAAAAAATCTGATTTTGGTCAATATCTCGAAATCCGAGTCAATTAGAAAAAGATTGAGAACGTCACTGAATTCTTCTTAAAAAAGTGCTTCTAGAAAGTTTTTACGGAAATCAATTATTTTCATAAACAAAAAAGTTATGAAGGTTTCACAGTATTGCTCAAAATCGAGAATCGCCCTCTAGCGGCTAAACGGTTGAAGATATCAAAATGCGGTTTACACCAATCAAAATTTCATGAAATTTGAGCCTCAGAGTGGGGGGTTCATTTTTTTCTATCTCTAAAAATAAAGGGTATTTCCATAAGAAAGTGTCCAATTTGGATCACCCTGTACAGGGTCATTTTTTATATTTTCCCACCCCCCCTTAACTTTTTTGTGCCACTACTGTGTGTAAAAAAAATAAATAGGCAAGTTGTATTGCTTGAAAAATAGTTCTCAGAAAACACAGTTTGGTTCATACAGGGTGTTGCAAAAAGTTTAAAAAACAGAAAAATATATTTTTTTTAAAATGGAACACCCTGTATATTATGACATTTCTGGATTTTGTGGAAAATTCTAAACATATTTCATGTATAATGTCATATACCTATCTACAACTGTTTCGGAAATAATGACATTAGAAAATTGACTTTTTTGCATCTTTGACAGACTGTGAAACCTTAAACAGTTGATTTTACAGCAAAACCGATTATACATGCTTTTCCTATTTTTTTATAAAACATCATTTGACATCAACTTTGAATTTAATCCATGATTGAAAATTCCAATTAAATTTAATCTCCGGTTAAATCCAAAGTTGGTGTCAAATGCTAGCTAATGAAAAGCTGTAGACAAGAATATGAAATCGGTTTTGCTGTAAAATTACCAGTTTAGGTTTTACAGCCTATCAAAGTTGCAAAAAGTCAATTTTCTACTGTCATTATTTCCGAAACAGTCGAAGATAGGTATATGACATTATACATGAAATATGTCTAGAATTTTCCGCATAACCCAGAAATGTCATAGTATACAGGGTGTCCCATTTAAAAAAGTATATTTTTTTTGTTTTTTAAACTTTTTGCAACACCCTGTATGAACGCAACTAAGTTTTCTGAGAACTATTTTTCAAGCACTACACCTTTCCTATTTAGATTTTTTTTATACACGGTGGCACAAAAAAGTTAAGAGGGATAGGAAAATATAAAAAATGACCCTGTACCTAATGACAAGTTATTGCCAACTATTTCCATGTATTAACAAAATATTTCCACATATTGCCAGGTATTTCCCTAGTATTATCACATATTACCAGGTATTGCCATGCTATTGACAGACTAAAATCAAATATTTGTCTTGCCAGAATTCTAGGTATTGACATATCCACAGGTATTTACATGTTTATAATGGGTATCAACCAATGACATTAACATGTATTGCCTAGATACAAGTATTGACATATATTACCTACATAAGTACTTATATTCAACAAATAGGTATTGCATAGTATTGACACTATTGATATAGTATTTACCTGGTATTGACATATATTAACCAGTGATTTGTACACAGATTAATGTGAAAAACCCCCTCGGATTCTCCTGAATCCCCCCAAAAATTTTCATTAAAAAAACTCATTCCTTCCATAGTGACTACAGATTGACAAATATCAATAAGAAGTCTAGGATTATTCCCAGCAATAAATTATATAATACCTATAGTCTAATTTTTCCCAAGATAGATTTCAACATTGTCAACTTTGAAACATACACCATGCCGCTAATGCCGCTTATTGGTCGCAAGATGCCATTTGCACAACACGCATTGTAAAACTGAAGTCAACCTGCAGTGACACTTTATTTGGCAACCAATCAGGGCCAAGAGGTATTGTTTATATTTCAAAGTTGACAATATCCAAATCTATCTTGGTAAAAATAGACCATAGGTATTTACAGGATACCAACAAGATGTCATTGGTACCAACAATAAGCTGATTTATTAAAATAATTTTCCTCTTCGAGGCTCTTGAATTTGTTTTAAATGTTCATAATTTAGTAGTCTGAAATAGACAATATTTGGAGTGAAAAATCAAAGTAGTAAAGAGAAAAAAACTACTCCATTACATTACACCAACATTCTTGCTCTGGGTCTAAGGAATTCAAAACTTAGCTTCAAAAGTTATGAACCAATGAAGCTTCCTCTCAAATCTTTCTCTAAATAGAATCTGATAGTTGAAATGCTCAAAAACTCTATCTTTGTCATCTGAGCTGTATTTTAGCTCTAAATTTTGTTGTGAATAAGATGGGTTTATAAAATCTGGAACTTTTTCCTGAAAATTTCATTTCTAGAATCTGCAAAATGTTGTCCATTTGAAATTCAGATGACATTGTTCTGAATCTGAGATATCTGGAAATATAAGTAAATCACAAAATCTGAAAATAAATTTAAAGAAAACCGAAGTTAGGTGTTAGGATTTGTTCGATCCCAATTGAATTTTATTTATTAGTTAATTTGGTGATTATGGGTAAATTGAAAACAAGGTTCATTGTATATATATTTTTGGGTTATATGTAAAATTTTCCCAGCCTACATTAGGCCTGGTTCATCCGCGCCCTTTTGCGGTACCTTCTTCATGTATGGGTACCACATTCCTACTGATCGACGAAAAATATATGCAATGCATTGGGAGAAAAGGAAGAGTGAAAATGAAAAGAAATTTTTCTTGAGTTACCTAATTACTAGTAGTACCATAACCAAGAACATAACTAAAAAAAGTATTTGTGCTGGTGAACTAATAAATAAAAATATACTATGTCGTCAAGTTGAGTAAACATAAAATCCTAGAAAAACACAAAAACCTAATAGAAATTTTCAAAATTCTGGGTTTTCGCCAACCCCAAATCTGCCCAGATTTTCCCAAACCTCCTAAGATTTCCCTGAAGAGTTTTGTATATCTCCTGCAGGGTGTACACGAGTTATCCTGTTGTGAATGACCCCTCGAGTGTGGGTAATTGGTATCTACATTAACCAACCCACTGTGACTTATGGGCAGGCTTAATACTTTCGTCTGAAGACTTTTAGACCTTTGGTTGCATCCAAATCCAATCTGTCTAAATAGAGTTTACTTAGGGTTTTTTTTTTCATACACATTTCATTAAAGTGTCTAAACTATACCTGCTATTTAAATTAAAAGGAATACAGGGTGTCCCAGCTGAGAGTGACCCATTTTAAATGCTCATAAGTTTTATACCAGGTGTGCTAGCTAGGTACCTGCGGTTTGTGCCATTCGATTTTTCTTGACCCAAAGTTTTTTTAGTAGTTTGCAATTTTTTTGAAACTTATACAGGGCGAGTAAAAAAAATCGGTTTTGGAACATTGAAATTCTCCACTATTTTTAATGGAACACCCTGTATATCACAACGCCAAAAAAAGACTCATGTTCAAGGTATCCTTGTACTAATAGACATCGTCCCTAAAACTTGAAGTTTTAGCCGTAAAAAATCAAAATCGAAATCTTCGTATTTCGTAGCAAATGCTAATGCAATTTTGTAAGTGTCTAGTTAGATATCAATTAAGTTGAAAAACATTTCCCAAGAAAATTAAACAAGTTCCAGAGTATTTTCTCTGGAACCAACGGAACGATAACAGAAACTGTATACACTTATATGTTCTTTTTCCCAAAGTTAAGACAGGAGGGTATCTTGGATGATATCTATTCTCAGCAGGATGGTGCCCCCATCTCATTATTCTTTAATAGCAAGAGAATCACTAGATATGACATTTGGGGAAAGACTGATAAGGAGAGCTGGTCCCATAGGATAGACACTTTACTCTCCTGACTTGAGAGTTCTAGACTTTTCTCTCGGGGGTTATGTCAAGGAAAGATGCACTAATACTTTGATCGATAGCTCAAATAGCCTGGTAGATCTTAAGCGGAACATTTGTAATGTCATTGATGTGAATCTCCAGAAAATTTTACAAAATTTATTCAACCATTTACTGATCTATAAATGTCTGGAACAGAATGGCTAACATATACATATACAGCATTATTTATAGTTTTATGCAGTTTTTTGTTAGGCAAACATAAATTCCAAGCTTTGAAAATATGCGTTTGCAAAAATACCAAGATTTCAATTTGATTTTTTACAACTAAAACTTCAAGTTTTAGGGACGATGTCTATTTGTACATGAATACCTTGAACATGAATTTTTTTTTTTGGCGTTTTGATATACAGGGTGTTCCATTGAAAATAGTGGAGTATTTCGATGTTGAAAACCGGATTTTTTCTACTCTCCCTGTATAGGTTTCAAAAAATTTTGCAACCTACTAGAAAAAAACTTCAGGCCAAGAGAAATCGAATGGCGCAAACCGCAGGTAGCTAATACACCTGGTTTAAAAGTTAATAAGCATTTAAAACTCTCGGCTGGGACACCTTGTATTTCAAAAAAGTTTTATTACAGCGGAATTTTCTAGCATTTACCAATAATTAATTCTGCCTGCATCTACTATATATTTTGGAATAAAGCATAATTTTTAAATTTTCCCCAATTTACAGAATTCAAAAGGAGTATTCCATCAAGCAATCAGAATGAGTTCAGCAACGTTACAGCAAAGCGTTTGGGAAAACGATCCCGAACTGTACGAAATGATCAAGTCTGAAAAAAAACGTCAACTGAGAGGCCTGGAACTGATCGCGTCTGAGAATTTTACATCTACCGCAGTATTAAATTGTCTGGGTTCCTGTTTGACAAACAAGTACGCAGAAGGGTATCCTGGAACCCGATTTTACGGTGGTACCAAATTCGTTGACCAAGTTGAGACACTTTGCCAAAACAGAGCTCTTTCCGCGTACAGATTATCTCCGGATGAATGGGGCGTTAATGTACAACCTTTGTCTGGTTCACCTGCTAATTTTGCTGTATACACAGGTAATAATAGCACAGTTCAACATCACTTCATATGTTATCCATTTTGGAATACATCATATCAAATTACCTCTAAATGAAGCTAAGTTTATAGCTTTTTTTAATTGTTACTGAATAGTAGAAAAAAATTTTAGGTGTTGTGGAACCTCATGGTAGAATCATGGGTCTGGATCTACCAGACGGCGGTCACTTGACACACGGTTTCTTCACTCAAAACAAAAAAATCTCAGCAACTTCGATTTTCTTTGAATCGATGCCCTACAAAGTAAACCAAGAATCGGGCTTGTTGGACTATGAAGCCCTTCACAAAACGGCACGCCTCTTCAAACCCAAACTCATCATCGCTGGAGTCACCTGCTATTCCAGAGTCTTGGACTACAAGAAATTCAGGGAAATTTGCGACGATGTCGGTGCTATTTTGATGGCCGATATGGCTCATATTTCTGGGTTGGTCGTTGCTGGCGTAACTGCTGACCCGTTTGAGTATTGCGACATTGTTACTACCACGACTCATAAAAGTCTCAGAGGTCCTAGGGCTGGGTTAATTTTCTTCAGGAAAGGTTCAAAGGTTAATGAGAAAGGCGAAAAAGTACATTACGATTTTGAGAGTAAGATTAATGGAGCAGTATTTCCAGGATTACAAGGTAAGAATGGGTTTGCTTTGAAATTTGTTTTTGGCTTATATATTTCTAATTGGTAGATTATTAATAAGTCTACTTTTATAATTTTCAGGTGGTCCTCATGAAAACTGTATAGCAGCCATTGCCACTGCCCTCAAACAAGCCAGCACTCCTGAATTTAAAGAATACGCCACACAAATTATACGCAACGCTAAAAGATTAGGAGAAGGCCTACAAGCAAAGGTAGTTATCAATTACATATTATTATTCCATACATGATGTGATAAACTAACAAATTCTAGGGCTACAAAGTTGTCACTGGAGGTACTGACGTTCACATGTTGCTCATAGATTTACGTTCAGCTAAAATAACTGGTGCCAAAGCTGAATACATCCTAGAAGAATGTTCAATTGCTTGCAATAAAAATACAGTTCCTGGTGATAAGAGCGCCCTAAATCCGAGCGGGCTTCGTTTGGGAACTCCTGCTCTAACCACTCGTGGATTTAAAGAGTCTGATATTGATCAAGTAGTTGATTATATTGATCAGGCCATCAAGCTTGGTAGAGAGATTGGTGTGAAATCTGGACCGAAACTGGTTGACTTCAAAAAGGCGGTACACGATGCAGAGTTTAAGGACAAAGTTGAGAGTATCAGGAATCAAGTGGAGGCTTTTAGTGAAAAATTCACTATGCCTGGATTTGAGTGTTATTGAGTCAAAATTCTGGTGAACATTCTGTGAATGTTTTTCCTATATAAATTGCATTTGTTTATTTTGAATCTCCAGTTTCTTCTATACAAAATGAGGTCTATTCAAATCCATTTACTTTTGTCTATTGTTATTCCATTATTTATCTTTTTTTTTTTCTGCAAATTTTAAATTTTTATTGTATATTTGGTAATGTAATAAACCGATGATAGTATGAACATTGTTGTTATTAGGACACAAAATCTCAACAAAAAAAAAAATTGAAATTTCATCGTTTTAGTAAGAAGGTACTTACCTTATGATTTAGATTTTGAAAAACTTTGAAAGGTCTTAACTTTTTTTCTATTAAAGATATAAAGCTGAAATTTTCAGCGATTCCTATTCCAGTATAAGACTACAATCCTTGAAAATTTCAACTCATTTGGACTTATAGTTCCTGAGATAAAATCGTGTTAAGCAATTTGGGGTGATTTATCAATTTTTCAATTTTTCTGAGTGCCTTTTTTCATAGATTTCGGCTTCAAATCTGAGAATCATTTAGGGCCGATACTTTTGCTCTCGATTAACGAATTTGATACGTTTTGCATGGGCCAAGGTCTATAAGTATAGTGTGGTTAGAGCACATTCAAACCTCTGATTATTTTTAACAGCTGTCAAATGAGAGCAAAAGTACCGGCACTTAGTGTACGAAGTTTGGGGGATCCCAAATGACTATTAGGACACAAAATCTCAACCTTTTTTCATAGATTTCGGCTTCAAATCTGAGAATAGTTTATGGTATGGAGTTTGGGGGATACCGAATGACTATTAGGACACAAAATCTCAACAAAAAAAATTGAAATTTCATCGTTTTAGTAAGAAGGTTTAGATTTTGGAAAACTTTGAAAGATCATAACTTTTTTTCTATTGAAGATAGAAAGCTGAAATTTTCAGCGATTCTAATTCCAGTGGAGGACTACAATCCCTGAAATTTTATCTCATTTGGACTCATAGTTCCAGAAATAAAATCGCAAATTGAAATTTCATCATTATTTTAGTAGGTACCTACTAAGGTTTCCTTATGATTTGGATTTTTGAAAACTTTGAAGTCCCATAACTTTTTTTCTATTATAGATAGAAAGCTGAAATTTTCAGCGATTCTCATACCAGTGGAGGACTACAATTTGAAAATTTTAGCTCATTTGGACTTATAGTCCCAGAAATAAAATCGCGTTAAGCAATTGGGGGTACATTTATCAATTTTTCAATTTTCTGCCTTTTTTCATAGATATCGGCTTTAAATCTCAGAATAATTTAGTGTATGGAGTTAGGGGTATGTTAATTGACCATTAGGATACAAAATTTCAACAAAAAAAAAAATTGAAATTTCATCGTTTCAGTAAGAAGGCTACCTTAAAATTTAGATTTTGGAAAACTTTGCAAGGTCATAACTTTTTTTCTATTAAAGATAGAAAGCTGAAATTTTCTGCGATTCTTATGCCAGTAGAGAACTACAATCCCTGAAAATTTCAACTTATTTAGACCTATAGTTCTAGAAATAAAATTGTGTTAAAGAAAATGATAAAAAAATCAAAAAACTAACATTCTCTCAGTTTTCATTGGACTGGGTAAAATCTCGTGGGACATCCTGTATAATAAGTTTAGGAAAACCTTATTAAGACTAAGGTTAGAGGAAGATGAAGAAAGCTTTTCTTTCTTTTACATTAATCCCAATAAGTGCGACAAAAAATTTATTTTGTTGTTTGTGTTTTCGCAATTGTATCCTACCTTATCTCCTTTTTTGTCTTCTCACAATTAAGCAATATGACTATCAACCATGAGTTTGTCTTGAAACACTGAACGCTCGGAGCATCTTCCATCTTTTTTCCTTTTGATAAGAAGAACAAGGATAAAAAACAATACAGCCGCTCTGAGCCTGAGCGTCTACTCGAACTTTACCAAGTAGGCCCTGGAATGTCATTTTTATTAAAATTGAACTAAAAGGAAGTTTCCAATGCTTTATTTCCGCAATTTTAATATTTTTAATCATTATTATTTAATTATTTAACATCTTTTTAATAAATTTCGAGCAGAAAACCATTAATTTTTCAATTTGAGATATGGCAACGTCGCTTTCAATATCACTTGCCATTTTTGATAGTCGGTCATTTTGAGTGACACATTTATCCAGTTTTTCCTCGAATTTTCCTCTTTTTCAGGGCCTTTTTGATAAACTTTTTAATGGGGTAAGTAACGAAAACCATATTTTTATCAAGTAGGCTTTGGAATGTCATTTTCTTTGGATTTTCCGCTTGTTCGAAAAAAGGTGGTTCTACTTCAAGGAGAATACACACTCTAAGGAGTGCTTATCGGCCTCCGTTTTTGGTAATCGCCGCCATATTGGTTTTTAACTGATTTCGACCATTGCCGACGTCATCATAACTAAGTCGTCAGCTGTTTAGACAGCCTTCGTCAAGGCGAGAAACGCCATGCTGTTTACGTCACGAGTAGTTGTTTGGCCCGGTGAGGTAGGGGGGATTTGTTACATATAAGCCATCCTGTAGTGGTAGTAGTATATATCATCCTTGGTTCTACGTACCGGGCTGTGAACTTGCGTCTTTTTTTACCAGATTAAGCACTCAAATTATGTCCCACTTTATCTTTCTCTTTGTCTTACTCATTCATAATCTCATTTGCTGTTTTTGTAATGTGCTATAGCCATTGTATGTTTTCCAAAAATTATTATATTATCATTGAAAATGGAAATTTCTCACTTTTCCAAGCTGCGAATCCATCGAAAAATGAAAAAAAATCTGGAAAAACGGAAAAACGTTCGGTTTGAGATTGTAATTGTGACAACATCGCTTTCAATCAAGTAGGCCTTTTGTAATAAATGTCATTTGCCACTTTTTACACGTGTTTTTATCTAATTTTTCTCGAATTTTTCGCTTTTCCAGGGCTTTTTCAGTCGGGAAAACTGATGTAAAGTACGCCGGGGCTTTAGGTTTTCTTCATTTTCTGCAAAAATTCCAACCTTTAAATGCTAAACATTAAGGACGAAAAGTAAGAGAGAAAAATGTATTGAAAAACAACCTTTTTTTGTTTCCAATGATCATTTAAACACAATATCTCAACATAAAAAAATTTGAAATTTCATCGTTTTAGTGACAAGGTATAGGTATAGTCATATTCACGAGAGAGTTTAAATTTTGACCGTTATTTTCACCAGATCTGTCCCTTTTTCTGACAACTATCAAATAATGATACATGACATTTTGATCTGACACATAAAAATAACAGATTCGGGTCTTTGAATTTTGAATTTCGAATTTTTGTGCGAAATCTTTCAGTTTTTTGCCGTTTTCTGCATTATTTTTTTATTTGTTATTAGAGAGTTATTGGACGTGCAATAAGGACAAGCAGTATTTAAATTAGTCTTATTTTGACATCTACGCATGCGCATTTGGGTCCGAAAATAAGGATTCCCTTAATAAGGTTACTGCTTGTCTTTATTTGTGTATGGTTAGTGCGAGGCAGTAAACTTCCCTTATCCAATATTTCTGACATTTTTGATGATTTTGACGTTTCGCCTTTCGACGATGACGTAATTTTATTTAGAAAATTGGTTTTTCACAATAGTTTTTCATTTTGCTGTAGGTAACATCAAAAAATTGGTATCAGCGGGAACTCACAAACAAAAATAAACACTTTTTGAGGTTGAATTTTATAAACTTAGCTATCATCTGTCAAAATTATGAATACAAAATAAGGTAATACTCTAGCACCTACTACAGTCTTCCAATAACTGTATTTTTCTTGGAAAAATAGTGCTGATGGACTAATAAAATAACGTAGATCCTTAATACTGCGAGGCAGTATTTAATAGTTCCAATAACTCTCTATTATCGCAATCGGTTTTTTGGTTTTTTATGTAGTGTTCTGTGCCTTTGTGTTTCGGTGTTGCGTTTCAAACCTGGTTTTAGTATGGATTTAAGTGTTTACTCTTATTATAAGTGTTTACTTTGGACTATAATTTTAGGGTTTTTGGATTTTAATAACTGAACTTTCTTTAAAGAAATTGAAAATAAATTTTTATTCTGAAATGTATATCACTTTTCTAAATACGACCCTGTCGTTTATCCCAGCTGACGGAATCGAAGCGCTAACGCATGCTGACAACCTAAAGAAAAAGTTTACTAAAAATGTCAACGCGAACTGTCAACTTCACTTTCTATCGTGATTTAGTCTATACTGTACCTACCTTATAATTTAGATTTTGGAAAACTTTGAAAGGTCATAACTTTTTTTCTATTGAAGATGTAAAGCTGAAATTTTCAGTGATTCTTATTCCAGTAGAGGACTACAATCCCTGAAAATTTCAACTTATTTGGACTCATAATTCCTGAGATAAAATCGTGTTAAGCAATTTGGGGTGATTTATCAATTTTTCAATTTTTCTGAGTGCCTTTTTTCATAGATTTCGGCATCAAATCTGAGAATAATTTACTGTATGGAGTTTGGCGGATCCCAAATGACCATTAGGACACAAAATCTCAAAAAAAAAAAATGAAATTTCATGGTTTTAGTAAGAAGGTACCTAGCTTATGATTTAGATTTTGGAAAACTTTGAAAAGTCATAACTTTTTTTCTATCAAAGATATAAAGCTGAAATTTTCAGCGATTCTTATTCCAGTAGAGGACTACAATTCGTGAAAATTTCAACTCATTTGGACTTATATATCCTGAGATAAAATCGTGTTAAGCACTTTGGGGTGATTTATCAATTTTTCAATTTTTCTGAGTGCTTTTTTTTTAAATTGAGTTTTTATTTTTTTTTTTATGATTTTCGATAAGGTTCCACATTCATCTTTTGTCAGGTGATTCATACTTTCTGTATCAATATATTCAGGCCTACGACGTATCATTTTCTGTTATTTTAACAGCAACAAGTTATCTGTCACTGTTTGTTCTACACGTAAAAATAGAGACAGGTATAGATTTTGAGCTATAACACAACTGTTAAAATACCGGGAAAGGATACATCATAGGCCTGATTGTGTCTAATAATCTGAAGCAAATCTCTATAAAAATTAAATCATACATACAGAAGAAAACCTGGGAAAGTAGATTTAGTTGCTTTAAAACTTTGGGAGGATATAATTGGTTACTTCGTTAGACTAAAATAATCTGTGGTCACTTTTAGTAGGCGGTAAATTATATACTGTAACCAAAGTCTACTGTAACCATTTTTCTTGCAACCTATTGTGTTTAAAAATTGTTGATTCATACCTATCTTTTCACATTTTCCATGAACTTCTGTCGACCGTCTATGAGAACCTAAGGTTTATCCTTTGTCCAGTTAACAAAGGATACATTTCCCAAAATAATTAGAAAACTAATTGATTATCGACTTTTCCTTCAACCGAAGTATTTTACCTATTATCAATTTTCAATAGTACCGTATATAATTATATTGGCACGAGTGAAAAATTCATATTTTCGTAAATACAACGATAGGTAGCATAGAGCATAGAGGCATAGAGCTGAAGTTGCCATGCCAACCCACACAACAATACAAAGCAATCAAAACATCAGAAAAAAAAACTTCAAAGTGAAACATTGTTGACAAGGCACAACACTTCACCGACACAAAAAAATATGTAAAAATTTCAAGTTTAAAGTTTTTTCATTTTGCATATTTATTACCTAATTTGCTAATTTTTGCCTCGCAACCATGGATAAAAGTGCACCCAATAGCTCCGGAGACGACAAAAATGATCCATCTAAGAAGAAAAACCCCCCAGCTGAAAGGCAAATGCCCAAGTGGCTAGAAGAAATTACAAGGCAAGTAATTAACTATTAGTTTTTGATACCTACATACATTTTTATTTTGTGTCGGCAAAATATCTTTTGAAATCAAAAATCCTTTTCAAGTTACACGTTGGTTTTAGGTACCAAAACAGTTTTATTACACTCTATTTAACCCTTTTTACGCAATATTGACAAACTTACAGAATAAAAGAATATTGGCGCAATAACCGAGCAATTTCACCCCCTCATTTACCCTTTTCGAAAGGGATGCACACAAGGTCAGACGGACGACTGATAACCACCTTTTCCGAAAGGATTCTCCGAGAAAGGGTGCAATAAACTTAACTGCTTTGCATATTACAAGTATTTGGAGCAAAATTTTTAAAGGAGTTGCGAAAAAGGGATTTTTGTTTGAGTTTATTGATGTGTCAATTGCATTGGTACCATAACGAATAACGACACAAAAGGGTGGAGAAATTTTGTTGCAAAATTCGATGGTTCTGGGTTTTGTGTGAAATTTTTCAGCTGCCAAGCAAATTTACGCTTATTTTCGCGAGGTTTTTGCTTCAAATTTGACTGTTTCTAGTTGAATTTTATTAGTTTCAGCGTAGAATTCAAGTTTTGTAAAATTGCTAAGGCCCGCTTGTACCAGAGTGGTTTAGTTGAACTCTACTATAGTACTTGATCTTTCTCATTTAAAATGCATTGATGTTAGAAATCTGCCAAAGTGTGTACCTATATGTTTTGACAGCAACGCATTTTAAATGGGAAAGATCAAGTAACTATCATTAGAGTTCAAGTGAACCTCTTATCTGGTACAACCAGGCCTAAGAAGGTACAACAATCAATTAGTATACCAATATTTTCCTTAAAAACGATACCTAGGTATCAAATTTCAATCTGTGTTAGAAGAATGAAAATCTATGTAGGTAGATGAAAATTCAGAGTTTTTGGGTTACAAGAACAAAATGCGATACATTTATTTTTGAATCTACTACTGGATGACAAAATTCATAAAAGTCCTTTCACACTTATACTTTTACCTAATACTTATTACTGCTACTCCTAACATTAAAAGTTAAACTTTTTGTCCCATTTACGGTACCTAACATAATATTTTTTTTGCATACTTTCCTAAACAGTTACGCCTGGCATTTTATGGTATTTGGGCAATTTTGAAACCTAACAGTTATACCTATTGCATGAAAAAATTTCTTTCATCCGGTACCGACTGTTTGAGGGTAGGTGTCCGTTAGTTTCTCGAAATTACGCAAAAAAATCTGACCTTAGAATCGTAAACAGTCAAAAATAAGCATAAAAATTGGCAAAATAAGGGCGATATTATACAAAACCTACCTAGTGTCGTAAAAAATCAAGACTTTTTAGGTAACTTTGTGCAAGAGGTTATACAACCGTTGTAAAAAGACGATACTTTTTATGACGAAATTATATTTTGGCAAGATCTTTTCTTTTTTTTTTGAGAAAAAAAAAAGGTTGAGCAATTTTTTTTTATTGTGCAAACCAGAATGGATTTTTTTTTATTGGTGTTGGGCAATTTTTTTATGAGATTTTATGACTAAAAAGAATGTCTTTATCGGCTCTTGAGGCTCTATCAGACTTTTATATTTTCATGAAACCCGATAATATTAAGTGAAGAACTATGTAATAGTGGACTAGAAGATGTAATATGGGGACTAAGAGGAATATAATAAGAATTTGCTGGAAACTGGATATTGGCAAAAGAGATGAACAAAGTTTGAGAGAATCTTGTTCAACCAATTCATAATATTATCTTTTTTCAATAATGATTTTGTTGGATTTTTAATTTTGATTTATTGCAGAATGTATGGAGCATTAGATTATTAAAAACGATGAGAGAATTTTCAGAAATCTTTAGCAAAGGCTTCTCTGATCTAATATCCACTTGATGAAGTTTTGCTTGTTTATCTGACCAAAATTTTGACTGGCTCTTATGGCCATCATGAAAATAATCCAATGGATCAAGACCCAGTGATAATCGAAATTTAAACTATTGTTGGCAGGGTTTATGGGTTTTTGCGGGTTATTGTGATAGTTTTTGTAGGTTTATTGTGTTTACTTAGCTAGACAAACACAATTTCTTATTTCAATAGTTTTGCACCTGAGAAGCTTCAATATTGAATTTATCGAACATTGAAAATTTGCCAAAAATTACATTGAGACAGTTTTTGCCTCACAGCTCTATTAATTTTCATATGATTTCAATACAATTAAGCTCTATAGTTGAAGTCAATTAAATTCTCGACCAACCTATTAATTAAGATTTTATTGTGGTTTCAACAGTTTTGTTGCCCAGTAGTCAGGCAGTTGTGAAAGGTTGAACATACCATTTTTTAATTAGTTCATGCGTCGTCTTTATACACTCCACCATGTTTTCCTGCAAGACTGTCATGTCTTTGTTCAGAACAAGGTGCGTTGCAATTTGCAAGTTTTGATGAAGACCTCTGTCTTTACATAAAATTTGGTCCTTTCGCTACCGGATATTTCAGGCAAGTTACAGCCAGTTTTCCAGTTAATATTGTGACAATAAAGTTCAAGGCTTCGAAAGAGTGTTACGAATTGTCAATTGTGATTATCAAATAGTGTGGATAAAAAGTCACTAACCAAGTATTTGTAGATTAGCCTTTGTTGTAAAAACTACTTTGAACTAGAGCAAGGATAGACATTAAATCAGGATAGGCGCTATATAGCTCCAGAGTTCATTTTTTTACCTATAGCTAAAGTCAAAGTCTTGAATTATTGTAATACATTGAGAGAACGTTTACCTTCAATCAGGTTCAATTTTATAACCTTTTGCACATTTTGGCTCATATAAGGTTGCCCATTCGATAATTTCTATATAGACCCTCAGATAGTGACAGATTTAGGTGCCCCATTTTCGCATACAAGTCTCGAAGAGGGTTAAAAAGTACATCGATTTTGAGTTGGATGGAGGGGAATTTAGGAGTGGCTCCTGCGGATAACATGTGAAAAATTCGATTTTACTTATGTTACCCTAAAATGTAATTTGCTACACTGAAGCCAATATGTTTTCTTGCTACCGAACCGACGCGACGTTGTAGATTTTCATCCTTCCGATGGGCTTGTGTGGAAAAATCGCCCAAAATCTCGATTTTTCCTTACAAGATTACCCTTATTTCAAGCCTTCAGCTACCAGCAATTTTCCATACGTTATCCCCAGGAGCCACTCGTAGAAATACCTTCATCCTACTCAAAATCGATGTACTTTTCAATGTTCTTCGAGGCTTGTATGCGAAAATGGGACACCTAAATATGTCCCTATCTGACGGTCTACTAGCATAATCAGTAAAATGTCTCGAAGAAAGAGTAGGTAAACCAAAAAATAATCTATCTAATAAAAGTGAAGTGAATTTTCCCACTGATCAAGAAGAAATGTCTGCTTTAGTTCGTAGAAAAGCAGGTTTAAAAACTAGTTTATTCAGATTTTCTACATTTTTTCTAAAACTGGAACTGAGTGAGTTTGATCATCGAAAAATAGCAGAACTTCAAATGCGAATAGACAGTTTAGAATCTCATTTACTTCAAGAATTTTCTACTTCAGATTTTGAATTACAGGACGCAGGACTTAGACCCAACTTACTATGACAGTTTAGAGTTAAAACATTTTGAAAGCCAATATTTTTCAATAATTTCAGAAGCAAAACATTTTATTACAATGCAGCTCAGTTTTTAAGTAGGTACTCAAGATTTTTCTGAGCAAAACTACAGTGCTGCATGGGATATTTTGTTTAACAGGTTTGACAACAAAAAACTACAATTCCTTAAAATTTAAAAGCACCCTCTACCATGACATAAAGTCAGACTCCTCTGGGGCGCTTTGATTTGTTGTCGATTCAATGTCAACTAATTTAAAATATCTTGAAAACTTGGGTATTCACACAAACGTATGTGGGACCTTTTAGTTATATTTTTAGTCACTAACAAGTTGGATGCAAAATCGCTCAGAAAGTGGGAGCAGCAGGAATTTCAGGCCGAATTACCTACAATTGGAGAATTCAAAACATTTTTAACAAACAGGGCCGACTTTTTAGAAAAATTAAGTATGCATATGATCAAACCTAAGCCCCCTGGCAAACCCCTAGGTAGATAAGATCGATCAAGGCATTTTCAGGTAATGCAACAGGAAATGAAACTCAAAAAAGTAAATTTGCTGGCTATTTATGTCAAAAACAACATAAATGTTCTCAGTTTCTTTTTCTTACAGCATCTCAGAGACAAGATAAGGTTTTGGAACTAAAATTGTGTCCAAACTGTCTGCAGCGTGGACATTCTTTAGAGGGTTGCAAGTAGGGTCATTGCAAAAGGTCTAGTGAGAAACACAATTTTCTGTTACAAGCTCTTTCTGTAGTTAATGCTCCAGTGCTTCTAGAAAATTCATGTTCAGAAAATGATCAGGAGGATAGCTACTCCAGTTTACAGTGCGTGTAATTATGCGTCGTCAGGCCAAGTTTTGCTCGCTACCGCTCTAGTTGAGGTTTCAGATGGTTTCGATGGTGAAGACACTGATTTGGTTTGCAGGGCTCTACTCGATAACTGTTCCATGTGAAACTTCATTAACAATCACTTTGCTGAGAAATTGAAAAGTCCCCAACATCAAATATCATCAAATCATTTGAAACATTCTTGCAACATTAACGTTCATTCCTTTGATTCGAAATTCACTGTACCACTTCATTGTTCAATAATTCCAGAAATCACTGATAAAATTCCAATGGCATTTATCAACCCAGATTCTTTCAATATTCCCGATTATGTTCGACTTGCAGATCCAGAATTCTTTAAACCATGTAAAATAGATCTTTTATTAGACGCGGACACCTTTTAGAGGTTAATATCTTCCAAATTCGTTCCTTTATGAAAAAACATGCCTTTTATCCAGAACATTAAGCTTGGATGGATCATATCAGGTCCAGTTAATGCAAAAAAGTTGAAGGTAGTGCCCAAAGTCACCTCATGTCACTTCACAAATACAT